GTGGGACAAAACTTATATAGGCCTTTGCCTGTTGTTCAATCCAATTCAGTTTATTGAACAAAATATTGTTTAAACTAACCGGGGAAACCCGATAGGTTGGTCAGGCGACCATACACCGTGTCACGTATACTGGGAATCGAATCGAAACTACCCCAGTTAACTCAAATACAAAATGAAATAAAACCGGGTTTAAAGACTTACTGCTCTATTCCGACCGCCCCCCCCTCCCCTCCCCTCCCCCCCCCCCCCCAAATTCAGTAGAACGCCCAACACGGTAACAAAAATTTATTTTCGGCATATTATTTTTAAAGAAATGAAAAGTTATAGTCTGTCATCGTGTCTAACAGAAAAGGTGTAAAACAAACCATGGGCACAACAAATCACTAGTACACAGCAAAGGCAAACACTCAATAGTAAGTGCAGGAGGACCACACTACACGTAAAACAAAACTTATACGATAAACCTGCGGCTAAGACAAACTACATAGACATTGCAAAAAATATAAACAACAAATATCAAATCAAGAGAATGGGTCTGGGGACCAGCCGTAAGCCTGTCTGCCACTGCGCTGTACAGTCCCGGGCCTGTAATGATACACTCAAAATGAAAAAAAAGATATATTTACAAGAAATAATGCGACCGATTTTGACGGTGGTCTCTCTTGAATGGACGTTATGAGTTATAAGGTCAAACAAATTTAACAATAAGGGCGATAACCCTGATATAATCTCGGAAAACGCTAAAAAATAAAAATAATAATAAAAATACTATAATAAACGGGCTTTATTAACAGACACCCAATTGACGCTTAACTTCTCTCAGTTCGCAGCTCTCTGTCATACCCATCTCAAAGCTCAAAGAAAAGATTTTTAATTAAGATTTTCAACAAGGTTTTGATGAAATTTCATCATTTTGAGTTTGGTTGTGGTGATATGTAAAACCCCGAGGTAGTTTTTAGAGAGAGAGAGAGAGAGAGAGAGAGGGGGGGGGGGTAAAGTCCACTTGACACAAACTAGGTCATTTCGGGACTAACACATGGTTCAATTGTATTTCAATAATTCACTTGCGACCATACTCTTGTCACGTACAACCGGAGAAAACCATTCGGCCATCCAACCCCCTCCCTACCTTTTAGAACACGGGACCTCCTGTTTGGCTCTCATAAAATCAATAGCTTGTATGATTAAATATTATCCAAATTATAGGTTGATATTTTTTATACTTAGACTATTTTTATGTCCGAATATTGGTTTTTAACACAATTGAATAATCATTTCCAAACGGCTCAATATTTTAATTTCAATACTTCCAGGCTTTTATGATACGTCTGTAATTGTCCATAGCGAAATGGCCATGCAAATTTCACTTAATCATAACTTTATGAAATCTTTTAAAATTTGGATATGCTATGTAGAATATGCATATCGAAAACACGCCTTTCCGTGTCACTATTTGCTATACTTTAGACGATACTGACCCAAAAACAAGTAGGATATTATTAGTAATATATGGAAGTGTAGTCTCGGTCACCCAGAACCCCCTAGTCTTCAACGTACGGAGGGTCTGGGACAGTTGTATCTATGACAGATTGGCTGATATATTAAAACACGGCGGGATAGAGTTTTTCTAACGAAATGAAATGGGGTTTAACGTCCTACTGTTTTGCTCCGAACTGGGCTAATGAAGACGGGCATACGCCATACAGTATGCTATGAGGGAAATTTTGCCCGGACAGCGGCACTACGGCCTACTCTTATATCGAATTCCAACTGTCAAGGGATCTTTTACGTGCACGCCAATGTGTACACGGGACCTCGGTTTTTCGTCTCATCCGAATGACTAGACAGCTGTCCTTGTCAGGCCCTCCGTCCTGCATCACTGACAAGGGGGAACCACGCCGGAAAATCGAGATGAACTCTCTCGGCCAATGCAGGGATCGAACACCCGACCTCCAGGCTAGCGAGCCAGCGCCTTACCCACTTACATTCTATTGCAGGGGCTAAAGCTCTACAATGGAAAAGGTCACATGCGTACCAAAGTGAAACTCATCCAAGAACTTTTGATCTTCAACACATAGTTTAATTTTTTATTAAATTGTGGCCTATGAAAGGTCCACAAACTTTATTCATATTTCACATTTTGCGTAAAAGGCATTTGGCATAACTAAAGAGAGAGGGAGAAATGGGGTTTAAAGTCCACTCGACACAAACTAGGTCATTTCGGGATTAACATATGGTTTAATTTTATTTCAAAAATTCGCTTGCGCGTAGGGGTCCTTAGCAGTGGGAGGAAACCGGAGGACCCGGAGAAAACCCACGAGATTGGACAGGCGGCCCTACTCCTTGTCAGGGGATTCAAAACCACGCCAGTTGACTCAATGACAGGCCTTATGATACAGCGCCTGATAAGCACATATCGGAAATAAATTGTGACCTCCCAACCGTACCATGCGATAGAGCACGGTCGGAATAGTTTAAGGATTCCTGAAAAGGATGATACGTGTGTAGATTTGTCTGAAAAATATAAAACTGCCGATTGCCAATGCGTTATATACACCATGGACCGTAGCATTTCAGGGTCCATGGTAACACCCGGAAGTTAGAGAATGGGGGTTAGGGTATGGTTTATTAACAACTTTGAACTTTATTCAGTTTTCTTAATGAATTTGACAGATTAAGATCTTCTTATTCGAATATAAGCCCACGACAACCCGGATGGAGCCAGCGTTGTAAGATAATGTCTTAAAAGCATTTCTTCATCCCCATCGTCAAAAATATAGTTTTAGGAATGAGTAAATAGTAGAAAATATAGCAGGCGAAACAACTGACATGGGCCAATGGTACGGGCCATTTGCGTTCGGGTGCTGGTTCAGACTGTAGTCGCGATTACAGTTTACATCGGATAGTCGCCCTGGGTATTATATATTCTTTTACATCATTTGCGTAAAGGGGAGCGACCTTTTGAACTTGAATTTGTACTCAGTCGTAATGGCGTAACTGTGATATATTTGACGGGTTTTTCAATCAATAAAAATTGTGATCTCTAGGGTGCCCACAAGTTAAAAATTGTGTTTTCGTACAATCAGAGGCCATAATCCAAGAAGATACGGTTATAAACATACATTGTAAGTTTCATCAAAATCGGATAAAAACTGTGAGATCTAGAGTGTCCACAACCTTGGTAATATTATGTATATAATAATTTGTCCAGTTCAACATCACAGGAAATCAACATCGACTACAGTGGTAAGGGATTAAAAAACAAACATAAATACTTCATTGCTAATTTTACAAGCCAGAAATCGTTTAGTAATTTCATGGGCGCCAACATCTTGTTTTAAGACTAGTTATCTCCCTTAGACTTTGTTCATGATAATGTGAAAGACTTGTCAGTCTATCCAATTAACTATTATTCTAAATAGTTGATAACGCATCCAGACTAATATTCGTAGAATATTTTCTGGATGATAGGGACTAGGAACCGAGAAGGACTTCAGCACAGCCATCTTTGAATTGTTACGCTATATCAATCGACACACCATCATCAACGGACAAACGGGCCCAGTTTCATGTCGATCGTACTTGAATTGAGCGTTGCGTCCAAAAAGAAGAACAACCAGAACCACTTCCTGGTCCAAAAAGGCACAAAAATATTACGTCATATATTTCCTAACAGTGCACCACAAGACAACACTACAAGCAGTGACTGGAAACTGTACATAATGACGGGTGTCGTGCACGATACTGGAAATGTTTCCTCTTTCTAGAACTCCTGATTCCACTTGAAGTAGCTAAGCCTCTAACTCAATATCATCCAAAGTCTTACACGTTGAAAACACGAATTATTTGTCAATTAAAATCAACATGGGTGTTGTTATCTTACCGGGAAAAGGTAGGCTCCTGATATCCAAAATTTAAGACAAAATAAACATGTTACCATGTATGAGGTTCACCATGAAAAACTTGAGATACACAAGCTGGAAGTAGAGACAAGTAAACATGCAATTTCTGGCCCTACATTTCAACGTAACCAACCTCACAACTCTTGTATCCTTCCGCCTCAAAATCATTAATATTCACCAAAACCTGGCAGAAAATGTATTTTCAAACCCTTTTTTTCGATTCTACACCAAAAAGTCAACAAAAATCGACATGCAAAAGGGGGTAAAAGGGAAAGGGAGAGAGAGACTAAAAATAGCTTTGGCCCTTGTTTCGTAGTCATACGGCGACGCCATATCTTATCTGGAATAACCAGACGCTAGAAATTTCTATTCGGTTGAGACCCTTGCCGTATTTCGCTGGACCTAACTTATTTGAAATTAGAGTCAAAACGGAAACAATTGAATGTAAATCAGTTCATATACAATCAGATTACATTATTATATGCGTTGCGACCCATTTGGGTCAATTTAGCGATTTAGCCCCTTTAACATGACTAACAAATATTTGCAGCTCTGTAGTAGTGGATGTGGCTGTGACCTAATACAATTTTTAAGCTACGTCATTGTGTGTTATTTAATCGATTGATCAGAGCTTGGCTGATTATGTCGAAATTTGACTACCAGTAGTGCTATTCCGTGTCATGACGAAATGGTCACGTACATTATTAAATTTTTTGTATCAAAGCATATAGGCCTACTCTGGTGAACACAAAAATGACATAGAGTACCGAAATATAAGGTTCAATATGCTGCGTTGAAATCGTTAAAGGGGAAAAAACTCTTTTTAACAGAAAATAACCACTACCGCTACTGTTCGCGCTTCCAGTGAACAAATCGCACTACTAAACATTCTGTTCACCATAAACCGTTATATTTGTATAGAGGATGTAATTGAGATCTTTGTGAGATTTCATCAATACTGACGTAAATTTATATGGTCGGTGTGTGTGGGGTGTGTGGGGGTGGGGGGTGGGGGGGTATGCCCGTGAACCAAATCAGGTCAAGTTTCCAGGCATAATCAAAACAACTACGATCATTTTAAGAGATATTATGCTTTAGTTTTGTAGTATATTTAAAAAAATAAAATGAATGTTAAATACAATATAAAAATAAATTTTATAAAAATAATATAGGGTTCAAATTTTAAAAAAAAGGCACTTAAAAAAGGCATGTATACTGTACGTTTGGATTAATATTAAAGGCACTAAATGCTCAAAATAGTACCTATATAATGCTTAAAACTTACAAAATAATTTCAAAAAATAAAAATCCCGTGTGATATAAGTTTGCACTGTGTATTGCGACACAGAATCATGTTTGGACTGTGTACGGGACCCAGAATTATGTTTAGACTTTGTATTGCCACATAGACCTATACACAATCAAGCGTTAGTCTTTTCTGAAACCACATTAGCAAAATAAACTTTAAAATTGAATAACGAGTGATAACTCTCTGCCCAAACAGCAACATTTGACTCCAATACCAAGTAAATCTTGGATAGAAAAACAATTCTAATAATCAATTTCTTATTACTCTCGTTTCACATGTTTTTGTTCCCACTCTCTTTGTCTTTGTTTTTCTAACTTTCTTCCCTTCTCGGCTGCCTGGAAATTGAAATAGCAATTAAACAAGTTAATTACAAACTTTTATCTTCAAAATAGATGAACCCGGTCTCGTGAAGGAATTATTAGTGAGCAGAAATTCGCCCGTGTATCTGTTATTACTCGTCACTTAGTTAGTTATATAGAAGGATAACTCATGTTTTCTTTTTATGTTCGTCACTTCCTTTTGTAGAAACCTTCATTACACATCTATCATAGCAATGATCTCTGTGTTAAAATTATACTTGGAACGTGTTAACCCAGTTCTATCACATATGTGATAATGACTGACACCAATATTGTCCCTTAAGAAGTTGTTAGTTCAATATATAATTCTAATTAGCATTAGCATTGTTGCAAAAATTGGTATGCCTCCCTAAACACTGAAGAAGCTCATAATTCAATCCCGAAAGCAAATGAAATCTGTCTAATTTTAAGTTTGATTTTGTTGGAATGTTTACTAGCAAAGAATTATTATATTCTCAATGTTTAACTCACCGTGGTTTTCAGTTTATATACAAGATAATCCACCTGATTCTTCAAACTTTCAAGTTTTTTCGTATGTTTATCTTCTTCATACTGCAGACTCAACGCCCGATTTAATGGGAAGAAATCTAAACGTTTTCTTAAACGCTGTGAAAGAAAATAATTTAATAAGGAGAATAATCTCAATGCGTCTCGCCCAATAATCTAAGCTCGTTAACTCTCAGGAGTGGTATCTTTTAGATTCTGTATCGTATAGCTCCTTCCTTAGATAATTTCACCTGATTTGCTAAATTTCCAAGATATCTGACCACAGGAAATAAGAACTTGGATATCGAGACTACATAGCGTTTTACTACCGGTTATAAATGCGCCTTTAAGAAGAGTAGTCTCGTTCGTACAAGTCAAATAAAAATAAAATCTTACCCGATTATTAACAAATAGTTCTAGAGCTGAATAGTCATTAGGCTGAGTATCCTCTAGATGTATAAAGAAGAATAAATAGGACCATTGGTTGTGCTCTTTCTTAACATGATGTTCAAACCCCTAAAATAAAATTTATTCAGATAAACACTGGAAATAATCAACAGGTTTATCATGGAAAGCACAATGAATCATATTTCTTACTGATTCTTCTTAATTGTTAATTGGGTGGTCGCGCGGTCTACGTGTACGCTTTGTGTCATAAGGTTTGTCATTGAATCAACTGGCGTGGCTTTGATCCCAAGGTTGTACGTGTTTTTTGTACCGGGCCCTATGCCCCCACCCCCCAGTACAGGAGAATCATTGAAATAAAAATGTACCATATGTTTTCTCCGGCCCCCCGGTTTCCTCCTACTGTTAAAGACCCCTTCACGCAAGCGAATTATTTAAATAAAATTGTACCATGTGCTACTCCCGAAATGACCGTGTTTATGTCTAGTAGACGCTAAACCCCATTTATTGAATCATTCGCGACAAAACAAACAATTATTTAGTGCTTACCCAATCACTAATTAAGATAACACAGAGGACCAACATTCAATACTTTGTTTTGACCAATGAGAATCAGCTCATTTAACATGAAAATGCATTATGCTAGATTTTGATAAAGAGCTGACCATTAAAAATAGGTAATGATATAATCTATAGTATCAATTAAATGTTCACTTTATTTTGCCGTCTGAAAATAATTAACAGAAACCGAGAGAATCAATTACTTACATTGCCTTGTCTCTCAAAATCATAATTTTCTCTACTACAAATAAAGCAACTGGATTTCATATCGTTATCAATTTGCCACTGAAATATAATATTGTTGTAGTGTAAACAGTTGTATTTTCTAAACACAATTATCAGAAAGCTGAACATGAACATTTTCTTTCAATACTTGATTAACAGTTTACCGATCACCTTGAATGATTCCTGATCCTGCATTTTATTTCTGAACGACAAAAAAAAAACCTTTCACGAAAATTAAAAATTATCCAAGACATAACATTTTAAAAACTAATCTAATGATACGGTGTTGATGGAATGCCATTTGAAAAGGTTCGCTATAATGTATACTGAATAATAATACGGCGTAAATATATTTGAAAATAACCATTACCAAGTCCCACATTAATGCCCCTTATCTTTGAACGTAGTATTATGTACTTTTTGTACTTTATCTATAAGCTTTAAAGGTAAACCAACTAAAAGTGAATTAAAGTTATCTAATCGAGAAGTGACCAGAGAATTAACAAGTGACTTAGTGGCCTCTACAGTTACACATTTACGTATTTTACCTACATTTCTGATATAAAAATAGCACAATTTACAAATATTATTTACTTGAGCTCTCATAAGCATAAAACAATCAAAGATTGCGCCAATATTACGAGCAGAATAAGATGAAAATATATCACAATTACCAACTACAACAGGCTGGTTATCATGTGCAAATTTACTTAATTGACGCCTTGAGCCGAATAACAAATATTCGGTTTTATCATCATTCAATTTTAGAAAGTTCTTTGACATCCATTTTCTAATTTCACTAATATAGTTCTCAAGTTGCAGTTTTGATAAATTGAAAGAAGATGGACAATTAGGTGTAAATGAAATATATAATTGAGTATCATCGGCAAACAAATGAAAGCTGAGACCATATTTTCTGACAATATCACCTAATGGTGACGTATAGAGGGTAAATAAAATCGGATTAAGTACAGAACCTTGGGGAACCCCAGATGACAAAACGGATTCAGACGACAATTTGCAATTAACTAAAATACACTGTTTTCTACCCACAAGATAGCTTTCTAAAAGATTTAATGCACAGCCACAAATACCGAATTTAAATTGAAGTCTACGTAGAAGAATGGAAGGGTCCAGCGTGTCGAAAGCAGCAGATTTAATAAAATTAAAAATGTACATTTTCTATTATCAATTTCCATTAAAATATCACTTGAAACCCGGGTTAAAACTGTTTCGGTACTGTGAAATTGTTTATAAGCACTTTGAACTGGTTCATACAAACAGTTATCATCTGGATGGGCCTTTATCTGAGAAGCAATACGTTTCTCCAATATTTTAGAAATAAAACCTAAGTTAGAGACAGGCCTGTAATTTTTGTATTTCAGTACAGAACAATATATAAACTAAAAACACAAGTTCATCCAAAATACAATATATACTTACCTTGGAATCTCTCAACTCAGAAAAGGTATCCACGATGATACCAAATATAATGTTTAATCCAATGGTCGTAATGATAATGAAGAAGATGACGTCAAAGGCTGCCACGGCTGCTGTTTGAGCAAATGTTTTATTTGTTAACTGCTGCTCAAATGTCTGAATAAAACCAAGCAAATGATATGGTTAAACCTTAAGTAATGACCATATTAGAAAATACAATTTTTGGTTATGGAAGTATAACAATCTGAACTCAAATGTGTACACTGTTGATCTATCAGATTTGGGTCATCAACAATTTTTACTTTTAAATTTCGGTTCCATTGATTTATTTCTAAACTGATGGGTATATGGTTGGGGCTGGGTGGGCTTGGGATCATCTAGTACTACTATATTGTGTTATACTGCAACCGGCATTCCTCGATTGATTCAGGTAATTTCCGGTAAATTAGATTATATAAATGTTTCCAATATTGTATAGGGTAATCATACTTTTTTGCATAAACAGGGCTAATTACCATGGGCTTACGCCATGCACTGTGCTGTGAGTAAAAAAAGCGGCCTACTCTTTGTCAAAGTGTTCTTTGACGTGCACATCAACTTGGACGAGGGACTTCGTGGTTTTTTTTGTTCTGCTCGAACGACTAGACTCGGTTCCTTGCAAGGCACCCTGTCTAACACCACCGACAAAGGGGAAACCTGGTTGAAAAATCCTTCTGAGCCAACACCGGGGTTGAACCCTGGGACCCCTGGATTAATAATTCGGGCCTTAAGTCGTTTATACCGAATTCTGGTAATTCTCGGACTACTCACCGTGTACATTCCTTCTGCTAGACCATGATGTATAACAGTTACAAAACATTGGAACATTGTATTACACTGACGACCTTCATTCTGATCCAAATAATCACGGAAAAACGCAAAGGCAAATAAAGAATGAATATAGAGAACAGCTAGACCCAACAATCCTACCGATATTAACGACAGTCCTGTAATAGAAGAAATAAATCAATGTATTATAACTGTGATACTGTTTCAAAACCAAGGCAAAATACTCCAGACTTTCAGACCATACACGATTGCTTTCCATTTTATCCACGAACATTAATTTAAGCTTAAGATGGGTGCAGGGGTGGTGGGTTGGGAGGTGGGAAGGGTGGGGTGGTAAATTGTTTAGATCACTATACTTTTAAGTTATATTTAAGAATTGAAAACGAATTTTCAGAAATTGAATGAGAAATAAATCCATTATTGTTCAAGACTAATAGACGACGTGCACGTTGTTGACATAAACAACAAAATGAGTTTTTGTCAATAAGGTGTTTACACGATGATAGTCGCTGCAGATACCGGAAGCATTGCTTAAATTTTGTAAATAACCCTTTCTCTACTAATTAAATATCACTTGTTTATTTGTAAGTAAAATATCTGACTGAACATACACAGCAGCAATAGGACCAAGTGTTACGGAAATATAACAAAAATTACACGTACCATTTCTAGTCACAGCCTGGATTACTCTAATTAACAACTGATTTAACTTAGCCATATGTAGTAGATGGAAGGAGAAGAAATAACCATGATAAAATGTTCCAGCAAATGAGAATGCTAGAAACATCTGAAAAAATATAAACACAAATATCTCTAAACCAATGTAATACGTATCATACTAAATTATAATTTCGCTATTTAATCACGGTTTAATAGAGCAAGTGCACGACTTTTATTTCATCTGTAGAGTAGCCAAACGCGTGCACTCCTCATTATCATCAAACAATTTATCTATGCAAGTCACGAGTTTCTTTCGTTTTTTTTACTCCAGCATATCAATGTAGGTTTCTTTCAGTTATAGTCCGGCAGAACTATGGCTGAACCTGGAAATTGTATGATTTTAGTAGCCTATGGTGTCCTCTTTCAGAATCTTCCGGGTGAATCTCGGTCCCCTTTGAACGTTTTGAGAAATTCAAGATGGCGCCAAAGACGGCCCCCATTTCAAATAATCGTTGGCGACCGGACTATTACCCCTGATTCCCCCAACGCCTTAACACCCCTTTGCGCCAGCGAATGATTGAATGTATTTCTTCCTACGCATGAAGACCCCGTGCTCAAGCGAGTTAATTCAATGTATTTCCGGCTAATCTAGACGAACTCACCACATAATAGAACGTTTTAAAACTAAACAGATTAACATGGCGCTGTTTTTCTGGTTTCTTTCCTTCCATGTTCATATACTTAGGTCCTCTAGAATGAAATAAGTCTACATTTTAGACGATAACAGATTTATTCCGCTTATGGTTCACATGCCTTAAATACTCTTTTAATTTAAATGTCTTTATGAGACCACATTCAGTAAATTCAAGATCATTCTATTTAGATTTAAAGGAATCTAGCTTTAAATGACATTTTATAAATTCATTATAGTACAGTTTTGTGTCTATTATATAGTAATAATTATATCTACCTTAAGGCTGATTTGATATTTTTCCATCGAGGTAATTTTGGATGATTTGACAGAAGATAACTAATCAACATGAGCAGTGATGTCAAGTTATGTATACCACCAAGAATATACGTAGCTTCTCTAACACGTGGATAATCACTTATATCTGGAACAACACTAAAACAAGCCAAAACATAGATTAGAGCTTGTAAGGACCAATAATACGTCCTCCAGCAGCAGAAAAAAATATTGAGCATTAAACTAATTAGCCAAATGAATGAAATATAAAGTTAGTACCGCAGGCTTAATGTTATTTCATTTACATTGGAAAATGAAACTTGGGTGCATGGATGAAAATTGCACATGGGAAGGATGAAGCCTACAAATACACCTGATTCATTATTCTTACGGCATAAAGAAGAATGAAATAATCGGCCGTTTTATCGTTCTATGACCTCCATCGTGTGAAGATAAAGGCCAGGGGCTCTTAAGCCTATAACGCTAACGCGTAATAATATTTAATCGGTGGTCCCATATGATACGCATATTCTTGAAAGTGGCCCTTTATTTCATATGACAGGGGTCACAAAATTTATCGAACGTTAAAAACGGCTCTCTTATATTAAATTATATCTCAAAACTGGCCTTATCATGAAATGTTTTTTGCGAAAGGAGATGTCCATCTCTGCGAACAAATCAAGTATCAGATCTACAAGCGGTTGCCATACAAAGTACGTTCACATTTTGCAAGAGATCAAGCTAAAAAAAGCGATTTTGCATATAACCAGGGGCCATAATTCAGGCTCTTGACGTCAAATATCGAAATAAACCAAGATCTTTGGGATATAAACATCGATAATATTTGGCACCTAGAAATTGACACAAATGGGTCGCAATGCATATAATAATGTGATACGAATGTATATAAACTGATGTACATTCAATCATTTCCGTTTTTACACTAATTTTAAATCAATTATGTTCGTCGAAATACGCCAGATGTCTCAATCGAATGGCAATCTCTAGCGTCTGGTTATTCTAATCTTCACCGATAGTATTTATTGTGCATGCTCTCCAGGTAAGAATATGGCGTCATCGTTTGACATGACTTGTGGAATATGTCTAGCCTCGTTCTACGATTCCCTTGTTACAAATGCCGCTAAAACGCATTATGGTACACGATTCGTGTACCGATGGTAAAATTTTTATTTTGTCTTAAATATTGGATATCAGAAGTCATCTTTTCCCGGTAAGATCACAACACCATTGTTTATTTAAACTTACAAATAATTCGTGTTTTCATAGTGGAAGACTTTGGATGATATTGAATTAGGGACTTAGCTACTTTAAGATTTTAATGTGAGCAAAACTAGAAAATAGTATACAATAGTATGCAATCGTTTACAATATCTCGAACTCGGTTAATTCGATACCACGCTATAATATGTCTAAGACTTTAATCAGATTTAACCAGTGGAGGATTAGTATTAATCCAAATATGATCTAAAACTTACACGTCACCAGAAGCATCAGCTTTCCAGGTACCTAAAATCATTGCAGCTATAGCAACAGATAATAATAAGGCAAACAGATTCAGCAATGGCCTGAAAAATATAACATTTTAAAGAGTGAATATTCTTTAAATAATCTACATGCACTTACAATACACACTTTACTTAACATAATAATCATAGAGAGAGACGGAGAAATGAGGTTTGACGTCCACTCGACAAAAACTAGGTCATTTCGGGACTACAGAATAATCCTAGATATTAGGTCTAAATTGTTTCAACGGCATTTAGTAATTGAACTGAGTAATAAGCGGTAATTGTATTCCATAGAATTGTGACCTATTTATTAGGTCTAAACTTGATAACTTCATTTAAAGCAAAATTCGACTGGGTGACTTAAAAAGCATATTATTATACATTTCAAAACAACCACGTCTCTATTTCTTTCTAATATACAGGAGCCACGCTGGCTCAATGAGTAAGGTTGGATTACTTACCATGGGGCCCGGGATTCAATCCCGGTGTTGGTCGAAAGATTTCCCGGGAATTTCCAGCGTTGTTTTCCCAGTCAGTGGTGCAGTACGTAATATCTTAATCTTACAAGGACTGGGTGTAGTCGTTCGGATGTTACGAAAAAACACGATCCTGTGTACACGTTGACTGTATGTAAAAGAAACCTTAACCGTGTGTTCATGTTGACGTGAATTCGAAATAAGAATATGACGTAGCGCCGCTGCCGGGGCAAAAAAATCTGATTAAAACACAGATTTCGTTTCGTTTTTTATAGTTTAAAATTTATTTCGTTTTACTTGTCTTTACTACACCAGGATCTGGAAGAGTTGTTGTTATTGACGTGTTTTGGGTGATGAGGGGGGGGGGGGGGGTAGCCAATGAAACGGTCTGTTACAGCGAGCTTTTGGTGTGTGGAGCACAGGTCATAGGTCAAAAATCGCTCGTATGACGTCTGACGCGACCTATCACTACACCCAGTCAGATCTTCATGTAGTGTAGTAGGCTGTGTAGGTCATCGAAAGTATAAAAAACGAAACGAAATATAGATCTGTATTTTAATCAGATTGTCCGGGCAATGTTTCCCTCTTAGCACACTGCATGGCGTACGCCTGACTTAATCGGTGCAGAATAGTGGGACGTTAAACCCCATTTTAAATATACATTTTATACAACAATCAGTCAATTTGAAAGAGACATTTAGTTAATTTACTTACCATATCTTCAGAAGAAATCGGGCTATAACACTAGAATGTATTTTTCTTTGGTATCGAATGTCTTCAATTATGTCACTGGACCATTCCATGAAATCACGTAATTTGTTACTAGGACTTGAACGATCTACTTCATACTTGAACTTTTCTTTCTTTTCTTCACGAAGTACATTCTAAAACATATTCATATAACAGCTTGCTACAGTGTCTTGTCGTTCAGATGGGATGAAACCGGAGGCACCATGCACACGTTGGCGTGCACGTAAAAGAACCCTTGATAGTAGGAATTCAATTACGGTCCATGCAAATTTTCCCTCAACGCACATTTCATACCCGTCTTCATTAGTACAGAAAAGTAGGAGGTTAAACCCTATTTCATTCATTCATTCCAAAACAGCTTCACATATTAACAGTTTTCTAGACATATATATACCCACATTCCGTGATTCTTTGAGACATATAATTGAAGCAATCGTAGAGATTGGATACGGGTTCGGAAAACCATAAAGAAATATGGGAACTTGGATTGCCCAAACGAATTACCTTGTCTTTAACTGTAAAGTAAATCTTCTGTAGCGTGTCATCTTTAATAATCTCAATAGAAAGTGTACTATTAGAGAAATATTTCCATGCTGCTCGCAGAAGATCATCTTCATATAGTTCTGGTATATGAAATTTAAAAACATGGACTGAATTTTGGCGAAAGTGATGGATTAGGTTAGTGTAGTGTGATATTTTGATTAAAGTTGGAAAAGTGTCATAGGATTACATCAGTCTGTTTACCGAATACGACTTTCAATTTTTACCCAAATCTGATATAGATGTATCTCATAATATGTTATAGAGGTGAAACAGGAAAATTAGACGGTATTCCATCCATTATCCATCTAATATTAGAATGTAAAATGCACATACCCTCTGGATCTTCGTTTCCACGGAGATCAATTCTACGGCATAATAAATGATGGAATTTGAAACCAACGGAACTTATCAATTTTGCATTTTCCCCGTATTCTTTCTGCGGTGACTGCAAAAATAAGACAAGATTATTTCAAATGTAATCAAACAATATTCTTGAATAGTCGAGTGTGACCACGAAATGTGTAGATAATCATCGAGGTCTGGTAGATTTGAATATTCCGGCTGAAATACGATTAATAAAAATAATAGGCTTTCAACTAAAGAAAACGGGCGGTGCGTAACCTTAAATACTCAGTAGTGGTCAAGCGTTAGTATTATTTGTGAACTACCGGTTAAACGCCTGATTGTATCAGTTTACCGATTCTTAAATCAGAATAATCTGGTCTCATTTTAAATCAATCGATTTAACCAGAATGCTCCTAACACATAGCTTTTCATTCGACATAAATAATAATGACGGCCTCGGCAAATTAAAGGTGTGGGGCCAATACTGTCAGCCACATTATGTTATAAGTCGAATGAATAACACGATTCTGGGATGGATGGTGTGTGACATACATCATAACAAATTGGCGTGTAGTTCGGGTTATTAGTTTGGCAAGGAAACAGTACTACCCTTCTGATAATGTTTTTAAAAATGATTTTGTTTTTACAATTTTTAATTATAACATACCAACAGATCTTGGTAAGCTTTCACCATGCAATATGTAAGAACTGATTTTTCTAAATATTCAAAAACTTCCTGTAAAGCAAAGTGACAATATTATATTTTGAACTGACAAAGATTATTAAAAACAGCACCATCTGGTAACACTATATTACGAATGGTTAAAGGGCTGATAATCATTTCGAGATGGTACTGCTGGTATTTTGCAAACAAAGAAAATGAAAGGGACAATTTGCGACACGTTAAATGCGATTTCATTACAGGCTAAAACTTAAAAAATATTTTTCAAGTAGATAGTATTCGACACTTACCGAAGACGTCTTTTCTTTTAAGCGTTTAGATGGTCTCTGAAATATGTTGAAGGTTCAGTATTTAAATATATAAATATATAAAATCATAGGTGAGGTTTACATCTAGGCAAATTATCACGTGGGTAATGTTAACATCTAGACACATCAGGTATATAAACACCTAGATGGGGTTTACATTTAGCCACATCAGATTTCAGATCTTAGGCAGAATTTTCTACAATGACTGACACCTAAAAACCGTGACCTGTCAATTTAAAGTGACCATTTTCCTTAATTCATTGCACAAAATGTACGGCTGTTTTACTAGGCGGGGGCAAATGCTAAAGACCCACTGCTAAAGACCCCTACGCTCAAGCGAATTATTGAAATAAAATTGAACCATGTGTTAGTCCCGAAATGACCTAGTTTGTGTGTGTGGGAGTGTGTGTGTATGTGTGTGTGTGTGTCTCTCTCTCTCTCTTTCTCTCTCTCTCTCAAAAGTACCTAGGGATTTTTACAGAGTTCTTTCCCTTGTAGTGCAGGACAGAGGGTCGGTCGAACTGGACGAAAAACAGAGATCAAGTGTACACGTGGATATACACGTTAAAAATAACTTTGAACGAATATGCCGTTCAGATTTTATGAACATAATTACGTTACCCCCACCCCCCTCTCTCTCTCTCTCTCTCTCTCTCTCTCTCTGTCTTATACTAGGCAAACCGAACAGCGCCATTAACGTTAAAGAAAAACTCACTTCAACATCATCGCCATCAGCTTCATCATCATCATCATCTTCTTCAAGAACTGGTGGATTTTCTTCTGTAAGCGAACGTAGTAATGTGACTATTGACTGCTTTAATGTGTAAACCTATCGGATTAAAAAGAAAACACACATAGAATAATTCATTAAACTCTTGTCTAATCCTATGGCGTTTATGCGTTATGAACTGTCAATAAATTCTGAATTCGCTAATTTTGTGTTTTAATATTTCAAATTTGGATGTTTCGTTTACCTGTTCTAAAGTGCAACCTTTATAAGTATCCAGCTTTAGAATATGTGATATATAATCACAGATTTTATTATCGAACACTACAGCCTGATTAGCGAAATTACCCTGAAAAATAAAAACATCAGTTAGCTTAAATGGTCATCTGACGGGGTATTCAAATTTAAACATCTTGCCACATTAAAGTACAAGGAATCAATCCATTTAAAAAATCTTAACCATATGGATTATTTATGTCGCGCAAAGAGTTAATTCAAAACGCAGACTAAAATTTTATATTTTTTCTTAAACTGAGTTCAGATAATTTTAATAATGTTAATGTTAATTTAAATAAAACTTAATTTACAAAGCGAACTTACCGACGTAAATTCTACCAATGTATCAAAAACTTCTGTAATAAGTGGAATACTGACGTCATCAATGTTGTTATACAGTAAACTAAGAAACTTAGTGACTTCTGCTACTACATTGACGGATTTGATATTATCTGGCTGCTCTCTTAAATAATTCTGTAAATCAAAATAAACTTAAACACCTGATGTATAATTATAAACTTTCCATGCTAAAAACATTGATTTTCATTAACTTCAAGCTTTCCAACGACTGGTGGGCGTTGCTCCGACTTTAGTTTCTAGTAGGCCTAAATACCAAAATCCATGTCTACAGCATTTCCCGAGTTAGTGATAGAACATTTTCCCGAGCATCCAATACCAGTTCTCTATAGGTTGGCGCATTAGGTTGTACTTTAATATTAATTATAATATCGTCGATTTCTTAGTTCATTCATATCGTCATGGCGATTTAGCTCTAATTCACCGATATATCCATATTTCCAAAAGTAATACATCAGTACATGATTAGATAATAAACGAGCTAACAAATAAGATACTTTCATATTAGGAAGGTATAGACTTTATAAAAGACAACATCCCTGACAAAAAAAAAACAATTTGAAGTTCAGTAGGTTGATGCGCTAATATTTTTGTGGTGAAGAGAGGTGTTAAAATATTTTAACGATTAATATGGTTAACGCCATCCTCCCCTGAATCTAGCCCTAGAAGTAAGTAGTTTACCTGTAATCCTGTGTACTGATTATCACACATCAAACCCATCATTCTTAACATCAGTTCTATATATGCATCATCTTTAAACTCTAGGTCATCTGGCATTAACATAGCACTAGCATCTTCTTCTATTAATAACTGTAGAAATAAAAAAAATTAATTCGGTTAATGGTCCGCGAATACATTAGCACATTCATTTCTACAACTTTAAAGTTCTACAAAAATTGTTTATCAAATAATATAAATACCTAAGTTACAATAGCGTCAACATATCTTCCGACAAAGATTAGCGTTGCTTCCCTCATTGTTAATTTGTTTTTAATTTTGAGGCCCAGACAAGGGACTGTACAGTGCAGTGGACGCTTACGGCTACCCCCCAACCTCGACCGATTCATTCACTATATACGTTTGTTGTTTGAGCTGTCTGGTTGTTGTATATTGTATTATTTCCGTAGGTTAGGTTTGTCTTGTTTATTTGAGCTGCCTCCCCCCCCCCCCAACACTTACTAGTATTCTCTATAATTACACTTTTTATAATAAAACATAAAGGGGTACTAACGGGTGGTAAAATAATTGTCGATTTGACCCCTTTCAAATAATAGACTTCTACTTACCGCTCTTCCTTTCATGGTTTTTTGAAGAGCTCTAGCTTGATTTATTGTTTCTTCAATTTTAGCCTGATGTTGAGCATTTAACAAACGTCTGTAATATATATTAAATTTGATCGATTATCATGTTAATTGTGGGAGTAGGCTATTATCTAATACATCCATCAAGCTTTTATCAAATATACACTAGTAGTAAGTTGAATAAAACATAAAGGTCCATTTTTCTCGCAGCTTTCGTTGTGTATAATCATGAATAACATGGGTTCCCAAATTGATATCACTCTTAAAATCTGTGAGATCAGTCAACAATGGCTTCCGGGTATAGTAAGTAATCACTGCATTGGCTTCCAGTTAATTGTTCAGAACCTAAACTTACGATCAAATATTCAAAATAAACTCCAAATTAGAAACTGAAACCTGTCGGTGCTAGATCCTTCAGTACCAGATGAACTTCGATCCATTCCGACTTTGAGTCACTGGCTTCGGGATTATAGTGCGTTACCAATGGACATTGGTCATTATTATTAGTTTGAATATAAACAAAGAACTTACTTTTCCCTTGTTGCAAGAGTTGCTCTCTGGATCCTATTTTTGACGGCAAAAAAGAACGTTTCTTCCCTTGTTCCAGTAAAAGAGGCAAAAAGGCTTTTCTAAAAACAAAGAAATATTTCAGTTTTCTTAACCCTAACCAAGCTGTAAATTCGCCAAAGTTTGTTATTTCTAAAATATATAACAATAATGAAGCTTGGATCCGGATTGATACAAACTTGATTCGACTGTACTACTGTACTATTCATGATTGATCAAGTCACACAATCTTTAAGAAAAGGTATGGAATTCAACGTTTAAACAGCCGCGTTTGTACATATACTCCACATCGAATTGTAACCGTGAAGTGTTCGGGGTTGTTTTCGGTTACCCCAAGAGGCTAATCTCCAAACAGAAATACTATTGAACCTTTTAAATGCCAGTGACACAGGCACTATATTCCCCACGAGTGGCAATCGTAATCGAAGAATCCAAAGCCATAGACAAAATTAAAGAAGTACAATTTCCTCCCAAATCTAACCCAAATAATATACTTGGAAATCTTACCTGAACTGCCTCGTTACCACTGAATAAAAGAGCACACATAAAGGCCAATAATTCTCTAACGACATTATCAATAGGACTGGTAAAATGTGTACTAACACTGGGTATTACATCATAAGAATTAATGGCCGTCTGTACAGATTCTATAGCATTCAGATATCTGAAAATAAAATAAAACGACTTTGTTGCGAAATAACACAAGCTTTCCAAAAAACACAAAACGGACAAAGCTTAGGATGTAAATAGTGAACAACTGACAAATTCGTGCTCTTCCAAGATTTCAAGATGCCGAGTTTTCATTTTAATGTAATAAAAATATAGATTGGATCAAGTTTACAAGATATTAAGGGACAATAATTTACAAAATAAAAGACAAAACTGTATTTAAATTTGAACAAGGATAGAAATCAAAATAACATGTTTCAATAAAATCGAATAGCTACAAAATCCAAAATACAGTAATTTGATGTGTTTCATTAAAATCGGGATGACAATATATACCGCCTTCACAAAAAGTCTAAACGGACTGACGGACAAGCAGTGTCTATAAAATACAATGACAAATTAATTGACGATCACGATCCCCTGTCCTGGGCGATTTGGCCAGTTATCCCTTTTAGCAGTGACTATAGTTTCTTTCAAATCGAACTCTTCAGACTGATTTAGCTCACTAGGCGAGGTTCTATACTCTATTGAAACCCCGGTAAGATTTCACCAGGGTTTGAGTTTTACCGGGGTTTGGGATTTTACCGGGGTTTGAGATTTTACCGGGGTTTTGGGATCTTACCGGGATTTACAAAAAGACCCCTTCCCGGGTTTAGGAAAAGGCGAGGCTAGAGTAGGGCCTAAAAAGTCCGGGTGGAGTTAAAGGCAGGGTATTACCATTGACCAAAACTAGATGGGGTGTATATAGGAGAGTTAGGAAAAGGGGAGGGTCTAAGTGAGACCAGAGGTAAGTCTGAAAAGTTACAATTATTTAGAATCCTTCTGTAACTATCCCCAATGCAATTATTGCAATACGTTAAAAGGAAAGAAAACATTTTATTCTAGCAAAACTGGCAAATCTTATAATTGCCATAGCAATTACACTTGCCACAGCAAAAACGTTATCTACCTACTTACTTGCAACCTATTCCAAAAACAATACGTTGGTGAAACAAAAAGACTGTTTCGAATTAGACTGAAGGAACATTATGTTGATATTAAAGAGACACCCAGTTGCCTCCCACTTCCACCTACCGAGCCACTCTAGTCGAAACCTTGACTACCAAATAATTAAACAATTGGGTACCAATCCTGACCTCCCAAAATCTACCACCAATAGACGCACCATAGAACTTCATTGGATCATTAGATTGAAAACCTTTCAACCATACGTTATCAATGACAAAATCTGAACTTGGGCACCCCCTTCATTTTTTCTTTGTTTATTACCATATTTAACTATATCAAAATTTCTTACTTTGCATTACGTTTCATATTGGTTTTCCAGTCTCTAGGTAGTTTAACTAATTCATTGTGTATGAGACCACGTAATAACTGAAAACATTTTATATCTAATTCAGTCTGGTCTAATCGTTCTTTTTCAGTAAGATTGTTCAAGTTACTGGAAATTCTGAAAAATACAAACTATCATTATTAATATAACATTGCAGCAATATAAATTTATAACGAAAATACCAGCAAATAATTCTTCAACTTTTATATAATAAAACATTGCTCAAATAAAATAATATATTTTCTGATCGATTGCTAAATTGCATACTGACCTGAGCTGCATCACTAATTTTTCTGCTAGTTTGAACTTTAATATGGGATCCTTGGCATCTGGGTTGACAAAACATTTCAGATGATTTTGAAATTCCTGGCCGAGAGGCAAATCTTCATCACCACCTTCTTCAGTATACTCTAATAAAAGGAAATTCGTATGACGTTAAGTATTATCTCATACGTGCGACAACCGGGTCTGTATGTCGACATATAACTGTAAACAGGGCAGCGCCGTAACATATTTATCCAGATAAGTTTAATAATTTAACAGACAGGTTTCAGACAAGGAAATAAATGTACACAGAAGCTAATTATAAATCGTCCGGACCGTACAGGCAAATTGTTACAATTTCAATATAAGAACCCCTTCCTTTCAGGTACGCTTATTTAACATTGTCTTCAAAGAAAACCAAAGTAGACGGTAGACCTACCTTTATTACTGGGGAATTTGATCTGATACTGTACTGTATTCAAACCACCATAAGATATCTTCATATTACCCACAAATACATTTAAACTAACGTTTATCTCTTCCTCTGCCGCGTAATATTCATTATAACTCTGAAATAAAACATAATTGAACCAGCGGCTGCCAGGCAGGATACGCCCACATTTTGCAAGAGATTGTTAGAGAACAAGCTAAAAACAAAAAGGATTTTTTGTACAGTCAGAGGCCATAATCCAGAAAATTATGGCCTGAAATGCGCAAATATCAAAAGGGACTGAAATTTTTGAAAAAAGATGTTTTAAGTTTCATTAATATCGGATAAAAATTGTGAGTTCTAGAGGGTCCATAACCCTTGTATTTTCATACTTATACACAATTTGCGTACAAAGAGCAGCCATTTTGTCGAACAGTTTCATTTCGAGTTTCCCGAAATACATGCCAATATCGAAAGGAACCGACATATATTTTAAGTTTCATCAAAATCGGATAAAAATTGTGACCTTCAGAGTGTCCACAAAGAAATTGTGGACGGATGGACCGCCCAGACGGACAGGGGCGACGACCATATACGTCCACATGAAAATGTGGACGTATAAAAACACATCCTTATATCACTTCAACTCTTTAAATTGCTAAGTATTCTGCATCATATGTCAGGTTTCTACACTACTATGTGATATACTTTCTGTGGATTTTGGACTATTAAAATATTTAAACGAATACCTTACCTCTCTAGCATCACTAAGTATATCGCGATTAATCCTTGCTCCATATCGCACATGGAATTCCTCCATTTTCTGAAATTTTATTAAATTTAATAAGTATTGATAAGCGGGTTCAGAGATTTATCTTCCCCTGAATTAACTTATATTCCAATGATATTTGTGCAAATATACCAAGAGGGGTGAAAATACTAAAGTAATCAATGGAATAAATATTGATTGTTAATGAATGTTGGGAGGAAGAGTTGCCAGTCAGTCAGTCAGTCAGTGGGGCTTAACATCCGCTTCCTTCTAGGGTGATATCGCAGACAAAGGAAGAGTAGTAATTGCGTGTATAATTTATGACGGGTGAGATATTAATTCTTACCTGTTCAGGAATGGCATTTGTAGCCGTCATCAATCCACTCATTGTTGCAGTAAGATTCTTCATCTGTCGTTCATCACTAACAAGTGGGGCAATAGCATCAAGGAATTCCTGAATTTTATCAACGGAAAGAAAATGATAACATACAGCGTTATGTATGGTTAACATATCAAAATATTGTGGGTACATGATTTTTGATCAAACCTTTTCCCTACATTAAATCATAATCTACCAAATGACCTACAAGAGGAATGGTGATTAAGCCAGCACGCCCTCTTTGATTTGGGTCCATTTTTTTTACTTTATTACCGTATTGTACAGCAAATCTATCTTTGTTCAAAATTTTACGTCCATACAAAATGGCTATGTTGGTTAATATCGATTGCGTGTTGCGACACAGTAAGTCAAATAAAACAAAACTTAGTAAATAAACTCTGACTTCCGCTTAGTCTTTAAAAAAAAATAAAAACACGTAATCATAATATAGCTTGTCCTAACCACTGGTCGAAATAAAAAGACGTTATTATTAAATCAATGAGGTTAGCTCCTTTATGTTTACTTGTGGACAGATAGTGTTTATTGATAAATGATACATCATTCAACAACTTACTACATAAACCAGGGCAAGGTTTGACAACTGGTTTGTTTCTTGGGCAAAGTCTGTATCTTGTTGAAAATAACTCCGACAAAATAACTATCAAAAGAAAAATATTAAAGGAATATTTGATATCAGAGTATATAGACACCCTCGGGGGAACGAAACGTAGATCACCAGTTTTCAGTAGCCCGGGTTTTTATATCTATTTGTATGTAAAGAATATTCCAGAACTTATTAACTTCGACCTGTGAAGTGTAGTAGTATTCGGGGATATGACCAGATAGACAAGAAATCCTAGAAGCCATAAACCGTTTCATTTAGGGCCACAAATACTGACCAAAGGTAAGATATTAACGATTCAATTTTCGGCTAGTCTCGATTACCATTACACGCGTTGGTTCTATAATTCACAAAATCTCGATTATCCATTTTGACGTTAAATCATCCATTACAAAATGTATTTGAATCCAGTAAAAATCAGCAGGGTACCGATGGCCTTGATAAGTTAATTAATGTCTAATAAATAATTTAGATAAGATTTCAGGCCCAAAGAAAGACCTACACTATGCAGATTTAGCTGTAGTATAATGCATGTTTAAGTTTCCCATTTTTGAGACTAAAACACATTTAAGTGATTTTTTTCCCGAGATTATCTGGGATTTATCTATAAGGGAGTAAATTTTGAATGTTTAATTACCTGTAAAAATTGCATAACACCATCAAATAGGTAATGTAGAGTTCCCCTCATTTCTTCTAAACTGTTGATATCATAACTACAAAAAGTAGAACATCTAATGTCAATTAACTTTTATTCCAAATATTCATCTCCAAATATGGATCCCATTTTTATTCTGGCTCAAAAATAAAATGGTCGATTTCATTGGATTAAGAAATACAAATCATATCACCCATAACAAACACTATCTGTTTACCTAAATCAAGGAATATTAGGTACTTTAAATTATAACATGCACTTATCGCAAAACATAACCAATGCAAAGAACTTTTGTATTGAACTTTAAGAAAAAATATATAAAAATACTGAATTTAGGTTAATAAAAAGAAAATGAACATACCTATTTCCCGGGCTATCAAAATAGAAAGGAAACAAAATTTAAAACAGTGTCAGACAGTAATCATATATATGGTACCGTAACGAAGTATTAGTAGTACGACGTTATCAGAACAACGATGTACTTCCAAATTGAAATGATACGGTATGGACAAAAGCAGATTTTGTATCTGAAATGCCATGGCATGAAACCACAATCATTTGACATTGTCTTCTGTGGATTTGTGGCGGACGCTGTTGATCATGGGCTAGATATATTGTGTTTGTACTTGACAACAGGTAGGATCGCCTGCCTAATCTCCTAGATTCTCTCGGGTTACTTCTGTTTCTTCCCACAGCTAAAGATCCGTATCACCATGGACCGTATATGAGTCAACTGGGGAGTCACTGCTAAAGATCCCTACGCACAAGCGCATTATTGAAGTCAAATTGGAGTTTAAGGTCCACTCGTCAGAAACCAGGTCATTTCGGGACTAACATATGGTTTAATTTTATTTCAATGATTCGCTTGCGCGTAGGGGTCTTTAGCAGTGGGAGGAAACCGGAGAAAACCCGCGAGGTCTATATACGGTCCATGGTATCACAAACGTATTATTGAAATATAGCTGAAACATATATTATGTAAGTGGATGGTAAGCCCATATGTTTTGCCCGACGGTGTAATTCTGAGCCAAAGGAAACACCTCATCAATATTTGAGAAAAGGTCCCTACCTCCTTGATGGCGGCCGTTTCAGCAACTGTTTAGTTTGCTCTTTATTATTTTCTATAAACAGTTTAACTTGTTTTAGATTATGAGTTGTACTGTTGATAAATTCCCAGATTTTTCTGCAATATATAAAATAAAATGACGATAGCAAAGAGAAATACAATTGAATCACTCAGCAATTCAAACAAATTCGCATGTATTAGCTTTTTCCTTTTCTACTCTCTAAATAAAATTTATCCCGTTCATTCGGTTGCTCACTCCTTTCACTGATAGATATTTTAAGAAACACCGATCTGTACCTGTGACGACTGCATAATATAGTACTATTAGTACCCATGACCTAGACTGGGTCTCTGATATTTTAGAATATATGTGCTTGATACATGTACTGATTTTAGCACGTTCTATTGTCTATTTGACATGAGCTCAACTATATACAGAACCATTTTGAATCCTGAATATAAAACATCATACCTATCATGAGGAAGGTCACCGGCACCACTTTCTATCATACCACTAGCTGTATTCATATAAACCCATAGTAAGAAACGCAGGAATGGTTTCTTCACATTATCACTGATATCTTTATTAATTAATACTTCTAACAGATCATTGATTTTAAATATAGTCTGACAAATAGATTCTATAAAACTATTCTCTCCCTGAAAATACAAACACTAATTAATTTCAACTGATGAACGCATAAAGGAATTCAATCTAATAAATAAAAAATAAAACTGGCTATAAGACAAATGAACCCAAGCCAAAGGGCTTTTTACACTCCATTCTCAATATTATATAAATAAAATAAAATGAAATGGGGTTTAACGTCGTAATCTTATTGGGTATACGCTTCAACATTAAATTAAAACTGTCATGAGATCTTTTACGTACACGTCAAGTAGAAATGGGACCTTGTATTTTTACCCCATTCGAATGACGAAACGAGGAACCGGGATCAAAAACAGGACACCCTGGTTAGTGGGTTATGGGCGCCATATCTACTGAACAGCTAGCTAATAAATGTCATAAGCCTAATTTAAAGAAAGTACTGCGGTACCTCTGCACATGTGGCTAACAGATCCACCATTGAAGTCATATAATCCAGTTCTTGTGTATTTCTTGATTCTAATACCGATTTCCTATACAACATAAGATGTTATTAGTAAAAGATTTAAAAACATCATTAAAACTAATATCTGGACTTTATACGTGAATGACTTTAAAATATTATAAACTAATATCTGAATCATAATGTTTCACTAAAAAATATCATTAAAGCTTATATCTTGACAGGATGAACGATTTGGTTTAAAATATCATTAAAATAAATATCTCAGGTTTTGCCTGAATTAGTTATTACTTGCCTTAATAATATCATAAAATCTAAAATCTTGACAGTATACGGAATTGAGTTAAAATATCATTAAAAGCAATATCTTGATATAGTTTTAGAAGTAAACATCAACCAAATTCCTATACAGGTAGGGTTTCACGCCAACTAATTAGTTTATCCATTGTACATGTGACATCCCAAACAAATAGTACACAGTTGTGAAATTTAAAACATATTTTTAAAAGATATCGAACCTGGCTTCATCTGACTGGTCAATGACTTGAGCAACATCTGATCTATACTGCATGAAATACGTCATTACAAATCCTTGATTTCTCTTCATTGGTAGATCTAGTTCTTCTACTTTTACTACAGCATTTAACATATCTAAAAACTGAGGAACCTCGGACCTATGTTTCACTATTAATGTTACTACTCTCTGAACATGATGACCCTGTATCTTCATGCACGTAGTTGAATTCCCGGTAAATATCTGAAACATGTTTGTAAGGTCCATTTACTATTACTTGTCTCGATACAGGGATTACAGTTGAACTGGGCCCTAGGAAAATCACTAATATTCGATTATATTCGATTACCCTTTTTCAGCTTCCCTATACTATCAGTGTGATGCGATTGGTTAAACTTGACTGGTACCAAATCTACAGCATTGGTTGAAATTTGAATGGGGGTAAATGGCAGCGTTTTATGATCAAGTCGTTTTTACAAAATTGATGGAAATATCGGAAAACCATCATCTACTTCTAAAAGTGGATTGAAGATGGCAAACGTTCAGTGGTCTCTTGTAGCTATATTTGTGATTTATCTGTAGTAGATCAAGAAAGAAGTCACTAATATAATGAACTATATGACTTACCTCAGTAAGCAGTTCAGCTAGTTCTATTGGAGCACCTTCTTTATTGAGTAACATATCTAATCTATCAAACAATCTCATCTGTATAACTTTATTATTCCTAGTCATCCATTGTAGCAGCACAAATGTCTTAGAAAATACCTTCTTTAAATTTTGGACATATCCATCCTATAAATTATATAATTTTTATCACCCAATAATGCATTCTACAGTAGATATCGCTTGTGTGATATATTTCATAATCTAATGCGATATCTCCTTAGAAGATATCGCTTTTCATTAATTTGATTGGTCAGTTGAAAAGGAGCTACTTTTTTTATTTTCAAAGAACAGTTCATTTCTTATTAAAAAGTAACATTATTTTAATTAAAAATGAACTATTGTTATTTAACTGACCATTGACCTTGATGGAAACACTGTGTCAATATAAAGGATTTGCAATGGTTGAATTGCTGTCAAAAAATGATGTATCACTACGCCGTAATGTATTCACGTTCAGTAAAAGGGAAATCTACAGCAAAGAATTATATTTATTTATTCGTGCATGTAAGAAAGGATTGGGTGATAAATAAAATCTCCTACTCGTCTTTTTGGATATCTATATATATACACAAGCATAATAATATAAACAAATGGTTACTTTAATGATTTGTGAAATTAGTTTGAAACCCACAATATTGTACTCATAATGGCGATATTTTAAATATGAAATAGAACACGTTTCTATTCCTGACTAGTAAGATATGTAAAATGTTGTTCTCGGCAACCACTGCTTTCGCCGTAGTTTGTATATAGCAGCAATGTCAATGGTTAAGTAAATAGGAGTTCGGAGTTAATTTCAATTTAAACACACGCTGTTAAATGCTGCAGAATCAATATTTAACAAATACGAGTATATTAATTATGAATTCAAATATATATACCAACAACTTGACGTCGATTGCCTGAGATAAGATTGTTAGAGCATCTTCGAGCACACCTAAAACGAAACGAAAGAACAAACAAAATTGGTAATTATCTCACGTCTTACAAGAGATAAGTAATTCATAATATCATTTTGTATTAATTTGATTATTTTATTCTTTGTTAAAAGAAAAACAAAAAGAAGAACAGTCATATTGTCTAAAGACGTAGCCTACCATGGTTATAAAGAATGGTTTGGTTCATCCTATGTGTTTCACACACATCACCATCTAAATGACACATTCTGAAATTCAAGAAAAAAAATACTCATGTTTCAAACTAGTAATCAAAAGATTCAAACAAACCACTCGTCGCAATCTCTTGAATTTAGTTAGTTGACGATGCTTACCTTTTCATTTCATCTAAAATATTACTAAGTTCCACGGCTTGGTCATCACTGAGTTTTGCTGTTGCCAAGCGACGTAGTTTGGGAAGAATAATACTTAATCTGTTCATTATTTCAACAGATGAATCCGTGATTAATACCTAGAATAAGAAATATATTCCTAATATCTTAAAGTAACAATACACTTCTTAAAGCCAACCACGCCCAGTCTTTGCAATTGTTGACAAAATACTATATTATGGCCGTCTACAATCTTATAAATTCTTACAAACCTCCACAGTTCTTAAAGTAAGTGATGACAGGTTAAACGAGGGGTATTACTCGGGAATATTGCAAGCACTAGATATGGTGGCTGTTAACGGCTATTCTACATTCTCGACTTGTGTGCCCGCCTTCATTAGCCCAATCAGAGCAGAACATTAGCACGTTAAACCCCCATTTCATTTCATTTTCAAATCACATATCATTATATGTCGTTATTTGAAGGTTCCTGGTGATAACACGTCATTTTGTTAATTAGAAACTGTATTGTTTTTATTAGAAATTATATACTTTTTATAAACAAAAACAAAAATTTTGGGGAGAGAGAGAGAGGGAGAGAGAGAGAGAGAGATGGGTTTAACGTCCACTCGACACAAACTAGGTCATTTCGGGACTAACATATGCTTCGATTGTATTTCAATAATTCGCTTGCGCGTAGGGGTCTTTAGCAGTGGGAGAAAACCAGAGGACTCGGAGAAAGCCCACGAGGCTGGACATGCGACCCTACTCCTTGTCACGTACAACCAGGGATTCGAAACCACGCCAGTTGACTCAATGACAGGCCTTGTGATACAGCACGCACGTGCTAACCATTCGGCCATCCAACCCCCTCATTTTGCACAGACAGCGGTGATACGGCCTACTTTTATTTCAAATTCCGTCTAGGGTTCCATTACGTGCATGCTTACACGGGACTACGCTTTTCCGTACCATCAGAAAAACAAGACACTGTTCCCTTCCATCCCTGAATCACTGACAAGGTGATACCACGCTGGAAAAGCCAGCATGGGGACAAAAATAAACTTCTTAGGTGCAGACGAATGTTATTTTAAACTCCAGCATAGTTTATCAAGCAAGCTATTTTTCTGCACCAATGTAGTGTGCTATCAGGGAAATTTTGTCCAGACAGCGGCTCTACGGCTTACTCTTTATTTGAAATTCCAACTGACAAAGGATCCATTACGTGCACGCCACTTTTGGTCTTCGAAACAATTATTAGTGAGCAGTAATTTGCCCATGTATCTGTTATCACTCGTCACTGCAATCAGTTATATAGAGGGATAACTCGTGTTTTCCTTTTGCGTTTGTCACTTTGTCAAGCATTGTTTACGCATCTATCGTAGCATTGATCTCTGTGATAAAATAATATTTGGAACGTGTTTAACCAGTTCTATCACATATGTGATAATGACTGGCACCAATATTGTCCTTTAAACAATCAGATTTTAAGATTAATATTCAGTATTACTAACGGGTGATTGTTTTAGCTTGCATAGACTCTCTGTTTCGTTTTCTTCAAAAAGAATCTAAATGAATTTTCAGATGTATTTCATAAAATTCTCAGATTATTTTATGAAGAAGCACCATGCTATAAGTGAAATGATTGCAGTGAATCTAATCTTTCTAAAAAAAACAATCTTACCTGAGCTTGTATAGCTTGACTAAATAGTTTTTGATGAAAGGAATAATATCTGTTTAACAGGTGCATGGATTTACATACCATTTCATCATAATGATAATGAGACAAATCCTTGAAAAAAACAACCCAACAATATCAATTTGTTGTCAATTGATATATTAGACATCTGTAATTTTCGGAATTTGTGGCGCATTTGAATGTAAATTTTGATATGTGTACTGTCGTTTAATAATATGTACTATGCTATATTTACGCAGCTAATATTTTGCAGTATTTTAATTTTTATGAATGATATTTAGCTAAATGCTTGGTTTTTGGGTTATGTTAAATGTTGATCTTTGTACTTACCAGAAGAATTTGTGTAATTTTATCAGGTATGAAAAATTCTGTTTCTTCAAAAATGTTCTCCAAAATTTTTACTGCCGATTTTGAGCTTCTGAAAAAAAAAATGTTTCATTGCTTACCGTTTCCAAATGATTTAAATTTAATTTCAACATGGGCTTATAATGTAACAGTCACTTGAAGACATTCAATCTGATTAAAACTAGATTTTAATTTTGTTTCGTTTTATTTTATTTTCCCCTCGTCTGTCCCTGGATTTAAAGCGTCCGTGTGTGTGTCGGAACTATGTTTCGCTTTTAGGGTTAGGGGTCTTCTAAACAAAATACCCGCGTTGGCCTTTATGCCCATATGATGGAGGTCATAAATTTACCAAATGGGTTGCCGTTTACGTCCTTGTGGGTCGATTTATTTCGTTATTATTATCCCCTTCGCGGTGGTAATAATGATCGGATGGAAATGTTGAGAAGTTTAAAGCGAGAATTCCATGTTTTCAAGTTATATTTTTAAAATATATTAAAATAAAGCCTTAAAATAGATGGTATCTATAAACAGCCCTACCTTGTTAAAGAATAATACTTTTAATCCTTTAATCCACTATTGCCAGTTGAGAAATTGGCAAAAATATCATTTTCAACTTCAAATTCAAACGTTTGAAGATAGCTATTTCATGGGGGGGGGGGGATAGAAAAACAAGGGGGATAATTGTGTTATTATTTCAAATATGAATGATTTTATAAGTGTGATAATGATACCTACGATCGTATAATCGTGAGTTGACAACCTATTGAGCAAAAGACAGAAATAATTATGTTTTGACTTTCTTAGAAAATATGAAAGTATCGCTTTAAGCAATTTGGAATAGAATTGTTCACATAAATGTTCCTCTTGTTAGCACTTGGTTGTGACATGTACACTCGTACATGTTTACCATAAACTAACATTTCTATATCAGAGTCAACACCACTTAATTACGAACTAATATTTTCGTCATATTAATAACCTGTACGTTATTATCGTATAACTTACTTCGCATGTTCTAAGGTAAAGCCTTCGTACAAAAGAACACTAAGTTCTGGCTGAAACAGGCGATATTGGTTGGCTTCATCATACGTTGATTTAAATAGTTGAATTAATTTCTAAATTAAAAATATTGAAATGTAATGAAAGACAAGTCCCAAAACATTATTATTTTTAAAAAATAAAACATGGCTCATTTTTCGATTGGACCAATGCACTTTTTACGAGTTTTTAGAATGTTCTAGTTCTAAAAGATTACTGAAAGTGTGAACTTTTATCTATGTACTATCCCTTTAAATGATTCAGCTAACTACTGAAACTTTGTTCACCTTTTCTCGGAGAGACATTAACAAACAGTATTACATACCTCTATTCTAAGATTAAAGGTGAAGTTAAAAATAAGATTCAAAACATCCAAGGCTCTATAAATAAACAATTAAATGGATACAATTTAACAGTGACTCCGTGCTCTATCTTTAACAGATATGTGTCCATTTGAACGTAATCATTTGAAAATCCTTAGTATCTTCGAGGAATTTAGACCGTTTTGTATCTGAGTCTTGGAAATCGACATCTCGTTATCAAAATCATTGCCATGCCAACCGGGCCTTATTTCTTTTAATAAAACCAGATACAGCTTTAGTATCAAAAAGAGCATTTAGAAAATATATTAACAATAATACAGCGCATATAGATGGCATCAATATATTTTTTAAAATTCAAGTCAGCAATAATATAAATTCTACGCAGGAAAACTTAGTTTCTACTTGGTTTGAAATTAAAATACCACGTAGAAACATTTTTTAATAATTAGTAAACTATTTTCTAACGAGGTAGTAATTAATTTACACGTAGGTAGAAACTATAAAGCGGATTATTTAATTGACAAGCTTACATTGTCGGTGGACTTACTGTATCTTAGCATCAACAACAGCTCGTGTTTCAGGACTTTTCTGGTATCTGGCAACTTCACGAAAATTCTTCCGAACTTGGGAGGCATCGTGCCCTGTAATATAGTGATATCATTAATACATGAATATACTTCAACAATGGTTTATACATTAATTAACCAGTTTCAAGAAACTTCATTTCGCTTCCAATCAACACACATTTTACAATGACAAAGCTCGGCGCTATAGTTGCATACCGGTATCTTAAATAACCAGCGCCGCTATTAAAAAACCCCAACAAATTGACAATGTAGGCAAACCTCATAACAAGACATATGAAACGAACCATACAAGAACATAGTACAATTAAATGCATTTCCCAAGAGACGATATAAAATTAAATATAAACCGAAATCAAATCAACCGGGCTATATTCGAGTGTCTAATTTAAAAAGTTGCGATTTGACACGTTACACTATTTTTTTTTATAAAAGCAAAGAATCACATCAAGAGAACTTTTTCACCTTTATTTGTTCTTTTAATATTAAATTACTAATACTTACCCCTCGCTGTATCTGGGTAAGGTTTATCATTTCTACCATCTAGTAGACTTAGTAATGGTTTAAGTAAACTTTCTATGTCTTCTCTTTTATTATAAAAGTCATACATAACTAGATAATACACCAGCCTTAATACCTGTCAAATATATTATACACTAGACTTAATATCTGTTAAATATATCATAAACATTACATAATTAGATAATACACCAGCCTAAATACCTGTCAAATATATTATAAATTAGAAACGTACACGGATAACTTTTGGTTCGGTGGTCTCATGGCACAAATACCAAAATTACTTTAAGAAGTAATACATTTATCTTATTAATTCTGATGTAGATATTTCAAATTCTAATCGCTACTTTTCAAAATAAAAATTCAAGAAGAAAGTGACAGTACGGCCACGTTTTCTGCTAAATGGTTGATACGTTTACCCCATCAACCTTTTCAGTCGAAAAAATGAATTAAAATATCATATCCATGCATAAGCAGTGCCGGTTTCTCTCATAGCAACAATTGGTTTCAGTATTTGTACCAATGGATTTTAGAACATAACCATACCTGTTTAACCAGCATGTTATGTCCAAACTCCGATGCTGTCATATCACCATTATTACCAAGAAAATAAGCTATCCAATCCCTTAGTTGTGGAAAATATTCAGTGGTAGGTGACGACGATTGATCAACTGTTGACTGAAATATAATTTAAAAAATAAAACAGCGGCATGTGTTAGAAAGAAACAACAAGTGGCATATTTCGTAAAGCTTTAAGCCTACTACAATGCAAATTATCATCAAATTAAGGAGCCAATGACAGCCATCGTGCTGATTCTACACGGTTTCAACACTTTCCTTTAAGAATGTACATGCATTACTTACTTCGTCAGAGGAAATTCCTTTATAGTTATAAGACAACCTTACACGATCAATTACTGAAACATTGCTAACAATGTCTACATATAAAGCTGAAAAAACAAATGGCCCACATTTAGATTAGGTTTATGAATATCTGTATTTTGAGGGTATATGCTAACATTATTAATCTTTAATCTTTTTAGAAAAAAATAATAACCAGCGCAATGTTGATACATTTTGATCATCTGGCACCCAAACGCCCAAGTAAATATTTTCATTTTGTCCGAGGAAAAATTCAGACAGGTCGGATAATTCCAGAATTTATCCGTTGTACGAGTACGTTTCTGACTGTGTCTGTTAAATGTAACTGAGCCTAACTTTTTTTCTGCGTATAAAAAAAACTTACTGATTATTAGTTCACAATATTTAGCTCTTAATCTGCCTGGTATTGTATCATCTTTTAAACAATCAAACGCTTCTTCCCATGTCAGAAATTTCAACTGCGATGTTATAACATCAATAGTAAACTCATTCTGTCCCTGTTGTATAGAAAAACAGTTTAACAGTGTTTAAGGATACTGCATATGAACACAACATGCTTGGCTTAAATAGGCATTGGCCGGGGGTATTTCAATACTAATTAGGGCAGTGCATTGATATGTATGCATGTAAACATGGTTTCATAATATTACTGTTTTCAAACCTTATTGGCAAAAGGACTAATTACTATAATTGTATACCAGAGGCGTTTGAATACAATTAATATTATCTTGGATAACCGGGGCTATATTTACGCACATGACCGTACTCACACTGACAAATCGCGCGTGAAAATGGACTTAAACATACATTATGCAAGAGCTAATTTGCCTATTGCTGGTCTTTCTTTAGGCCTGAAATGTTACCTGAATTATTAATTAGTCATTAAACAATTTATCCAGACCATAATCAACTCTCGATGTGATCGCTAGCCTGCGATATTTACCGGATTTGAATCCGATCTGCTGCTTAACGCTCCTTGATGATTAAATCCAAAAATGAATAATCGAGACTATGTTTTTTATCGTAGCTACTTTAGTAATGATGATCTAGGCTAGGCCGAAAATTCAATAGCTAAAATCTCGGTTCAGAGTGGATCAATTTGACTGAAATTTTCAGCAAATTCCCTTTACACTATCTAGATTTAACTATTATAGCGAGAACTATAAGAACTCTTAACGCTCTTTTAAGTATAACAAATAAACCTAAGTGGTTTTTTTTTAGAAGAGGACTATAAGCCTTCTGCGAAAACAAATTACCATGGCCACGCTCGTGCGTACATAATTGAATGACTGCTTATCTATCAATCAATAAACCATGACAATTTTGTACCATAGTTAGGTCAACAAATGTAACATCAAACTATTTAGATCGTGGTACGCCCGAGATTGCCATAATATAATAATTAGTTTATAAACTTACCTGACATAACATTCTAAATAATTCCAACTGATGCTCTAAGTACATTTCATGTTCTTGGGGTCCATCTTGGGAACTCTGCAATAATACAAAGCAAATACATAATGACTTGTCATTGAGTCAACTGCCGGGGTTTCGATTCACCGGTTGTACGTGACATAGAGTAGGGTCGCCTGTCCAACCTCGTGGGTTTTCTCCGGGTCCTCCGGTTTCCTCCCACAGCTAAAGACCCCTACGCGCAAGCGAATTATGGAAATAAAATTGAACCATATGTTAGTCCCGAAATGACCTAGTTTGTGTCGAGTGGACGTTAAACCCCATTTCTCTCCCACATAATGACTTCATTATTATTACCCATTTAGAGTGCTAGTTATTTATGCGGCTCTGCTATTTTGGTTCCCTCAGCCTATGCAGTTACTTTCGACATTTTTCTTTCCCTGTTGTCTTGATCCTGTTTTAGTTTAAGTTCAATTAATAAATAATACATACATATTGTCTGATAATGATTATTTCAGTAAAGGTAAATAAAATTATATCATACTGTTTGTGCGGAGATACTGCTTGGTTCTTTCCATAGCCGTCCGCCATAACGTAAAATAGTGTCTGGAGTTTTCTCATTCTTTTTACTGTTCAAGTATATTCGTGTCTGAAAATAAAATGTAATACTGATTTGATGCTATTTGTTTTTAGTTTCCCATTCAGGTATAAATATTGTGTACATGATTCTGACCCACTACTCTAGATCGTACACGTTTTAGTTAGATATATGGTTTAACAATGAGAATCCCATATATATCATGCCAGAGCAGGCTGCATGAGCTGGACAGTTCGGGGACCTCGCACAAACTGGTTTCCTTAGGGCTCCATCACGGCGAAGAATACGTGACATGACGATCAATAGAAACTAACTTGAAGCACCTTTCCACCACCCCACTGTTATATGACGATAACACGATGTAATGCTAATTTTTGTTCAATCGAGATGATTGGCGCCGGCCACTCTGAGCATTCGGAAGTCCGACGGTCCGAAGCTCAGTCCCCCTGTGTCAGAGCAGTAACGTGTGTCGTACAGAAGACACAGGACACTTATTTGATGTTTAACACATAATACTGGATACCAGAAACAGTTACATTATACCATTAGAGTATTATTATTTTGTACAATTATACACTCACCACGTGACCTAAATCGGGCTTTTGTACATTAGCTTGACCCGAATCCTGAAAATAAATAATCCATTTCAATACTTTCAAAGTAGAGTAATTTATCAAAATGAAACATGTATCAATATAACTTACTGAGTTTAAACACCGTTTATTTTTAACTTATTTTCTTGTGCATTGATCAACTGCATGTATTTAACACAATACGATACATGATTATATTTCTGAAATGAGAGATCATACCTCGGTGTCTTTTATCAGCCATTTCTTGGTGATGTAAGTTTGATTATCAGCTATTGATACACCATCACAGACACACAATACGCCTAATAGTTCTAAATATCGGTAGTTCTAAAATAACAAACACTTCATTATACACTACACAAAATGCGGATAATAACAAACATATCATGCTACACACAATTCACATAGCAGTTCTAATTTTGTTCTAAAATAACAAACATAATATATTACATACAATACGCCTAATAGATCTAAATATTGGTAGTTCTAAAATAACAAACACCACATACTACACAATCATGATACACGTAGTTATAACTTCCTATAGATAACAAACAAAAAACAAGACGACACGCCTAATAGTTATAGGCTAAGTAGCGATAGCCCTAAAACAACAAACATATGATTTAACATATAAATGATCAGTAGTTCCTAATATTTATAGATCTGAATTTTTGTATATTATAATATACATAAATACCAGGCGTTCTAAAATAGTAGCCCATAGAGCTACCTTGGACTCTGTGAACATTGGTTAATATCGTCACATACATATACTAGTTCTAAATACCGTAAGAAAGTATACAATTCTGGACGGGCGTACAACAAACCTTTTCACTATTCAGCAGGTCTATGAAGTGATCTATCTGTTCATGTGACACGCGATCTACAATTTTTCTGTTATCACGAATCAGTTCCATAACCATGTGAGCAGCGTACAGACCAATCTTTGCCTGAATTAAGAAAATATTGTATACATGTATCATATTAAATAGCGTATTAATTAGTCTTATGTTCTATTATAGGGGAACTCCCTGTTTTCAAGCGACCTGCGAAAATAGTCCGTGTATCCTGAAGCAATGGTCCGAGAAATCTCTTTCTGGCCATTGCTGGATGGGCTTCTTATACTTGAGCTTTTGAGGGAGTGTGTCTATTCTTTCCGTTCAATCAAATCTATCCCAAGTACAGCAACATGACAGCCCTTCGTTTGATCTGGGGTCTTTAAGGTATTAAAAACGGTGAAAGCATTGTTCGTCTCCAAACAGTATTGTTTACATTGTATACGTGTTGATAGCCTCGTTTGTCCCACAATTAGTTTTTCTGCAATATTCTGCTATGCACTGGTTAATTGGGCATAATAAAATCGTGAGTTATGACGTAACATATGTAAACATATTTGGTCCAATTTGGAGCTCTGTTTAAAGTGTATGATATTGTTACGCAGTTAGTTATTGGTTGTTAATCGGACTATTGACCAATCATAATTTGGAACAGAAATTTGTTTCCATTACAGCAGTGTTAATTGGGATTAGCTCTAATCAAACAAAACACTGCGAGGAGTATGTGATAAATGTGATTATACGATAGGGTTTTTAAACTTGCTAAGAGAAACAATAACATATACCATTCAATAAAGATTAAACTTATTTATTTTAATGTTTAATTCTCACTTCCATAAAATACTATATAGAGAATCTCCTACAAGTCTTTTTTTTATATGGAAAAAGACGAGTAGGTGGGGTTTTTTATCACCCATTTCTTTCTTACATGCACAAATAAATAAATATAATTTTTTGCTATAGATTTCACTTTCACTGAAACTGATTACATTACCACGTAGTGATACATCATTTTTTGACAGCAATTCAACCATTGCAAAGTCCTTTATATTGACCCAATGATACCAACAAGGTCAATTAAATAAAAACAGTTCATTTTTAATAAGAAAGACGTTACTTTTAATAAAAAAAATAAAATAAAAATGAACTGTTCTTTGAAAGTAAAAACAGTAGTTCCTTTTTCATTGACCAATCAGATTTGTGTAAAGCGATATCTCCTAAGGAGATATCGCAGTAGATTATGAAGTTTATCACACAAACGATATCTACTGTAGAATGTATTATTGGGTGATAAAAGTTAATATCATATCTTTACAATGACGTAATATAATACAGATTGGCTTGTCCATTGTTAGAATTTGTCTGCAAAGTGGTATTTGAATGGATCTAGGAAATGAACTCATATTTTGCACATAATCTAACATCCACGCTAAAGCCTGTACATATTGTTTTATCTGATCGTCTGTTTGCATTACTATATATTTATATGTACATTAAAGAGCTGGCAGATATTTCAGATATAGTGCTGGCAGTTCTCGCTATAATAGTTAAAAAAAATAGATAATGTAAAGGGAATATGCTGAAAATTTCAGTCAAATTGTTCCACCCTAAACCGAGATATTAGCGATTGATTTTTCGGCCTAGCCTCGGTCAAATTACTAAAGTCTCGATTATCCATTTTTTGATTTAATCATGAATGAGCTTTGAGCAGCAGATCGGATTCAAATCCAGTGACAAGCTGACACATAAGATGGTATCGAGAGTTGATTACGGTCTTTTCGTGTTAATTAATGTTCAATTAAAACTTTAGATAACATTTCAGGCCTAAAGAAAGACCTGCAATAGGCAGATTTAGCTCTGGCATAATGTGTGTTTAAGATTACCTCTTTATATGTAAATTGAGTTAAGAAGAAGTCAATATATTTAGCTATATACAACTCATTCTTTCTACTGTTACCAACAAGGTAGGTTTTTAATACAGCATAAGCTTCTACAAAAATCTTCGTTAGATACCTGAAGATAATTACAGAGAAATTGTTAGTTTAACTAATTAACGATTTATTAAGGTGTATTGTGGTTTTATAAAGAAATATGTTGTTTGTGTGAGTAAACTTGGGAGCAGTAACTCTCAATCGGCATTTAAATCTCACGTTCTCCTAAGAAGGTCTTTGACTTGTTTTATTGGGGTTTTGTATCTAAAAAGAGTAAATGTTTTATGGCACAGGTGGCTATGTGAGAATTTTAATCTAAAACTAAAAAATATGTCATTGCTGACATTTTTCTTATTCTTTTATTAGCAAACTCGTTCGTTATAAAGGGATATGCCCTTCAAGAAATTCTCACTCACACTTTTTGGTACCCATGAGCGATTACATACTTTTTACTGAGTTGTGCTATTTACACATAAGCCTATTGCAAATTTCAAATTGTGGAACAAAAAAAAAGATAATAATATTTAATCATAGCCTATGATACATTAAATGTTAATATATGTACGTACGTTTGATCTGGTGTATCTTTAAATGGGATACGCAGCAAGTCTACAAGTAAATCTACGATCTGAAAGCAAAAAAATCACACCTTGCTAATTTTATTTAATCAACAAATGTAGAAAATAAAGAAATGTGCAATCGTTCGTGATATACAGCTGGCTATTAGAGAATTTCTTAGCTTTATCAAAAAGTACCACCCACTTTAAATATTTTCTTTGAGTTTTAAAAAAGAACTAATTTCATCTGTGCCCCAATCATTTCACCACTGATATACATACTCGTAAATTTCTCATCAGTTTCTGACGATTTTTAGATGGTAAACTGTGTACGATCATAAAGGAATTTAATTCCTTTAAGGCCTGAAATAATAAGAACAAATATCTGTTGAAAGGCTTAACGTCGCGAGATTCTTTAAAAATACAAATAATTGAATTTATATTAAATTTAGATACGAAATATTGCTTTACTAACTATGGCATACATGAGTGAAATACTTAAAGTCAAAGCTAATTACCGTTATGACGTCATATGTTGTTTTGTATTTTAAAACCATATCATCGTTTTTCTGGAGAAAAAAAGAAGACATACATAAATTTTCTATAAGTATACTGCAATCAAATAAAAATATTATTTATGGATAACAATTACTATTGTTTATTTCACTGCGACGTTTCAACAAGATTTCACAAGCAGTGAAATAAATAATAATTGTTATCAATAAATAGTGTTTTTATTTGATTATGTTCCTATTGCTGAATGCCATTCAAAGAATATATACTGTAGTATTATAAAGTTTACAAATGAACATATTATACATAAAAATGGAATGGGGTTTAACGTCCCATCTTTCTGCTCCATCGGGCTATTGGAGACAGGATATATGAATAGCGTATATCCAGGCGTCGGTATATTAGAGTTTAAAATTAATGTCTGGCTTGTGGTCACCTGAAACCTTGTTAACATAATATTAGTATCTAAAGTTAGATATAGGTTAATCTGGTATAAACTTAGCTAGAGATTAATATTTAAAGTCTGGTGTGAAAAATTTTAATTCTATTTCGCGTCACCAATACTTAACTTTTACGACTTTCGTCAATCATATAATAAAACTATTACAGACCATATAGTGGAATGACTTACATCACTGAGAAGTTTTTGAAGACAAGGAACCATTCCTGACACATAATTAAATATAGAACATAATTTTGTGCTGACAGACTGTACTGTAAATGCATCATCGTAATGTTTGTTTTTAATGGCTGTAATCTGAAAAAGAGGTTATCTCGTTCGAAAAACAAATCATGCAACCGGTTAATCACAATGGAAATGGTTGCATATAGAAAGTTTTATTTGGGGAGCATGTTTGGAAATAGTTGGAGGTGCACTATGGTGTAGTATACATGTATTAGCAAAACAAATATTTTGTTATGATAAGACACAAAAATGAAATGATATGGGGTTTAACGTCCTACTGTTCTGCTCCGACTGGGATATGAAGACGGGCATACGCCATTCAGTGTGCTTTGAGGGTAATTTTGTTCGGACAACGGCGCTATGACATACTCTTATATCCACTGCCAACTGCCAAGGGATGTTTTACGTGTACGCCAATATGTAAACAGGACCTCGGTATTTAGTACCATCCGAACGACTAGACAGCTGTCCTTGTCAGGCCCTCCGTCCTGTACCACTGACAAGGGGAAACCACACCGGAAAGATAGATAGAGTGGTGTGGAAAAGAAATAAAACATATTAGCGTTATTATAAGAAAGGCGACCGTGTTTCTTATAAGGCATGTAATATCTTACATATCACTCATGCACAAAAATGAACTGAAATGTGGTTTAACGCCCTATTGTTTCGCACCCATTAGGCGAATGAAGACGGGATTACGCCATACAGTGTGCTTTGATGTGGTTTTGTCCGAACAGCGGCGCTAAACGACCTGCTTTTATTTCGATTTCCAACTGTTAATGGTTCTTTAACCAATGTGTAACGGGATCTCGGTATTTCGCCCCACATGACACGGTCCTTGCCAGGCAATCCATCCTGCAGTACTGACAAGAGAAAATGTGCCAGAAAATTCCGAGGAACTTTCTCCGAGAGCGAGAGTGAACCCGAGTTATCCTGGTTAGCGAGACAGTGTCGCACTCACTGATCCACCACAGTTCCCATACACATGAATGTACATACCTCTTTAAGTTCTGCCGTACTATATTTTAAACCAGACATTGATTTGTCATCTTCATTATCAAGCTGGCTTGACAATTTATAGTCGGCTTTAAAATGACAAACAAAAACACATTATAGTAACATGGCAGATGAAGGTTCTCATTATGCTAAGGCTGGAATGGAGTCCAATAAAAATCATCTAATAGTAAGTGCAGGAGGACCGCACTACAAGCAAAACAAAAATCTACAAGATAAACCTGCGGACAAGACAGAAAATAGACATTGCAGTATTTGCACCAAATAAACAAATATCAAATCAAGTGAATGGATCGATCCGGGAAGAGCTCAGTGTGAGACGGAGGTTGCTGAAAAGGTGTTAATTCGAACCTGATAATAGTATGTCTTTATCACATCAGGTGAATAATGACCAGTGTTTAAAAAAGAAGTCCAGTATATGATTTGGTACAAGATTTAGCATGTTTGGAGAGAAAACAATTAGTATGTAAACATGTGTACCTGAACCGGCATGGAGCCATTTACCGGTTACAACGTGTTCCATGCGACAATAACTGTCAAATGGTATATCATCACTATCCTGAAACAAAGAGTGAGTTTTAATAAAACACCTTATAAAAAAATGTATGTATATTATGTATCCACTGCCACCAGATATTCGCTCGACGATGCTTGTACATGAATATTGTTGATCGTTTAACGAGGGCATGCAGTCTACTCTTTTAGTAACAGTGTGTAGTTTCAAATATAACATATCCTAACAACAGCTTGCAGTTTCAAATAAACTTACCCTAATAACAAAGTGTAGTTCAAATACAGTTTACTTTAATAACTGCGTGTAGTTTCAAATATAACTTACTTTAATAATAACAGCGTGTAGTTTCAAATAAGCTTACCGTAATAACAAACGATAATTTTAGTTACAACTCACGTTAATAACAGCGTGTAGTTTCAAATATAACTTACTTTAATATTAACAGCATGTTAATAACAATGTAAAGTTTCAATTAGAAATTACCCTAATAACAGCTTGTAGATCCAAATATAACTTACACTGCTTCTAATGACAGCATGTAGTTACAAATATAACTTACCTTAATAATAGCGTGTAGTCTCATGTACAACTTACATTAATAACATGCGTAGTTTCAACTATAAATTATTCATAATAACAGTGTGTAGTCTCATGTACAACTTAGAAAAATAACGTGTAGTTCCAAATATAAATCACCCCTAATAATTATATAGCATTTATTCTCAGAAATAACTTTTATTAATAACAGCGTGTAGTCTCGTGCACAATTTAAATTAATAAGAAGGTGTAGTCCCATTTACAACTTACCCTAATAACAGCATGTAGTTTAAAATAAGTTCGTGGATCTGAAGTATCTGATGTTAATGTAACTCGTCCATCAATATCGACAGTCAGATATTTACGTGTACACATGTGTATTATTCTACATCGTTGTTCCCACTTTAGAACGCCTCCTAGAATGTACAAATGGAGACAGGGATGAGGAAAGTATCATGACCCCTTATACTTGCAGAAAGGTCGCCCTATTGTAATGTTCTGTAACGTAAACGGTTATATATTATATACTCTAAGAAGAAGGCTCTTTCCCCTGGCCTTGTGAACTTTTAAAGTTCCACCGGAAAGTCCATGCCACATCCCTTTCACATGACTGCAGTGGAGAACGGGAAGGCAAAGGCAGGTAAATAAAATATAAATTTTAGAACATGCATTAAGTGATGGCGATATTTCACCCAAATAAGAGGGAATATAACAACATATAAAACAAAATCGTAAGTATATCCTGAACTAAAAAAATATGGCACCCTTAAACGTTCCAACTTCTAAGAAAATAAACAACGACAAACCTGCAATCGAGCCTTCTTGAAGTTCTATCTGCCAGTAAGTTACAGCAGAGCTACTAGGAAACAATGTCTTCGGAATATTTTGATCAACTGTTCGGATCCTTAAATGGACTGAAAGTTAAATAAACCCCAAAATATTATTTTATATCAAAATATGTATTGATTCGTTTTAAACTGCAATATAAATAATGGTAACAGCAAAAGATTACCAATATACTATGTTCTCTACCTTGGAGTTTTAAAAGGGTGTTTCTAGAATAAATTGAAAAATTTTTACATGTAACTGCTTTCATGATAATTGCAATTGATCAGTACATGATAATTATACTTGTTGAGTTAATGTATCTTACCGTCTTCGACAACTTTATCATCAAATAATCCTTCTGCCACTAAATAGGCCTCCATTTCTTTGTGAAAAAAACGTATAACATCACCATCCTAGAACATTGAAAGGAACGTTTAAATGAACATGAACATGTCTATGCATTACTGTATTCCGGACGAGAAATATTGTCGTTTTATTCATAGAAAAATAAATTAACAACGAATGTGCGGTAGTCCGAAGACGAAGTTAGCTTTTGAATCACGAAGAATTTCGCATCAACGTCTGACATGCGCATTCAGTTTTTATGGAATTTTGTTGATTCGTGCTTCTTTAATACCATATGTCTACAGAGATTATTTAAGCTCCCTGAATGGTGTTCTGCTTAATGTATTGAAGTCGTTACCATAATGGGTGACGGCTATAATTGGGCTAATCAGGTACCTTGCTGATTAAAATCAGTCAATGACGTCATAGTCTGAAAATCCTATCCAAGACAACTTGACACCCTTCATCCACCCTTTACCGTTGGTGTCCATATCAGAACATTGTGTTTAAATTCAGGGTAGCTTCTGTGCAGGTGACCAATCGGGTAAAGGGGAATACCTTGCCAATTTCCCAGGGGATCAGTCTATGACTCATGCGCGTATCATCTTTATAAGAAGGGGCTCGATTAAGGTTCCTGGGAGATCATCATACGGCGTTCCTTGAGAAAACGCTTGGCTTGGCTTAGAGGCCGGGTAGAGCAATCGTGTAGTGTTTCAGTCGTTTAGTCTGAGTTCTTGGCTTGTTAAACTCTGGCTGTAGATGTTAAACTCTGGCTGTAGATGTCATAATAACTCATATTAGGCACTATCATAGATGTTGCAGTTTCCTGTATTTCGTATATAAAATGGGCCTTATAACAACACAGGTTCTCCGAGTTGTATCAATTTAAAAAAGTACACAACGTGAAAGTCTGATTGGATACCGATAGTGTCATATTGACGATTTAGCTGCCGTGACCTAGGATAAGTGTCACCACAGTGTGACACACTTCCCAATTAACAACAAAAACTACATGAGCAAGGTTCACTAACTAATCACCTTTATTTTCTTGTGATCATCGTATAGTCGTTTGTGTTTTCTGTGTAAAGTAAAACCACTTTGGATAACAGATAGGTTCAACTCAGGGCTGTATGGTATTAGAATAAATAGATTAAGAATGTATTGGTGCTTTACAGTAAAACAATTCCGTAGTAAAACAATTTGAAGTTAATTTTAAAAGATCCTAAATTCTATATGATAAAATTGTTAATGTGTAATTTTGAAAATACAATTACGTATACAACAGTATCTGATACCGTGTCTCTTTTATTTTTGTATTAAACAATAAATCAACTAATTAATTAAACAAGTACGAGAATACTATGATCCGGGAACCAGTTATGCCACCATCGCTTCCATCTTGGAATTTTCACGTCATATCTAAAATCGAAGTCCGGCAATCGATTCAAAATTGTCCCAGTAAGAAGCATGACAAGTTTCGTGTAAATCGTAACTGAATTGAACAACAAGATGAGTAAGGGCCTGGGTTGGTAATCGAATGAAAAGTCATTGATTTGACTGGACTGTTTAGCACCTGGTCATTAACCACAATTCAAGCTTGAAGAGATTATTTACATTAAAATTATTTTATGTCTACTATGAAATGTATGTTTTTACCATTGAGTATACACTGATGTTTTAGGAAAAAGTTGGCGGCTAACGTGTAGGAACTGTCCAGTTGATTTATCGCTTTCCAACACGATTTGATCCCCAACTTGAACCTAAATTACATAACAAGTAATATACAAGTACACGTATACTATTCAAAAAAAGTAGGGGATATTTGATTTTTAAGTGTTATTAAAGTCACCTAATGAAACTGACGAAGAAACAAATGACAAAATGAAATGAAGTTCACATTCATCGATTTATTCCAAATGATCGTTAGACTAAGTAAGGCACAGACTGACCATTATAAGGGCAAAATGATACCCGGGGTCAAACAGCAAAGTGAACACAGCATCACAACCAAGTCAGTAACGGGTAAATCCTCCTCTGTTTGCCAAACAAGCATTGATCCGACGTGTCATACTCCTAATGAGACGTCTAAGGTCATTTTGGTCCAGATTGTCCCATTCCTGTTGCAACGCAGCAGCAAGTTCTTGGACATTGGCAGGACGTTGTTGACGTTGACGTAACCTCTGTCCAAGCATGTCCCAGACATGCTCGATGGGGGAGAGGTCGGGACTCAGTGCTGGCCAAGGTAATGTGGTGATGTTCTGTTGTTGGAGGTAACCTGTAACGATCCTGGCCCTGTGACATCTTGCGTTGTCATCCTGGAAGATGAAACGGCGGCCATGACGTCGTGCGAACGGCACAACATGGACTGCCAAGATGTTGTCCCGGTAGTACTGGCCTGTAACACGCCCTGCAACAACATGTAAAGCCGTTCTTCCAGCAACAGTGATGCCTCCCCACACCATAACAGAACCACCCCCAAATCGATCATGTCTGATGACGTTAACGTCTTGGAAGCGCTCGTTTCGACGACGCCACACCCTCCTACGTCTGTCCAAAAAATCAACAGTGAACCTTGACTCATCTGAAAACATCACATTGCTCCAGCGTCGATTATCCCAGTGTTGACGATCCCTACACCAACGACGTCTTGCCTGAATGTGATGATCTCTCAAACAAGGGATCACGCGAGGACGTCGGGCGCGAAGGTGACCCCTATGCAGTCGATTCCGAATCGTCTGGCCACTCACTCTCACACCAGTGTCTGTTTGAAGACGAGCGCTGATCTGATTTGCTGTGATGACACGATTTCTCAAGGCCAAGGTACGGATAAATCGATCCTGGGCTTGAGTTGTCGCCCTTGGTCGACCTGAGCGTGGTCTGTCCTGTACAGATTGTGTATCACGGTATCTGGACCATAGCCTGCTTATGACAGACTGAGAAACATTCATCGTCCGCGCCACAACCGCCTGTGTTGTGCCGATCTGTAGCATGCCAAGGGCACGTAACCTTTCATTTTGGGTAAGCCGACGCATATCAAAATTTGTTTTCTGGTCACTAAAACAATTAAACTGATGTTTCCACCCTGGAATTCAATGCCACAATGACTGTAACATTCAAAGTCAGAGTCGTGCAAATCTTGGGTTGGACCCCCATGATGATCCCAAGCATCACCTGCATTCCATGCGGTAGCTATTGGTGCGTTTGGTCGTCACATGTAACTGGAAATGTTTCTTCTGTTAGGTTCTATAGTGACTTTTTTCGTAGTCATTTGCATATTTTAGTATTATGCCCCCAAAATCAAATATCCCCTACTTTTTTTGAATAGTATATATCAAAATATGTTTTAATTAAATAAATAATATTGTAATCATACAAAATCAGGATAAATGTTTTTTTAATCTTTAAATATAAATCGTAAACAATAAATGCTTTTGATTTTTTGGTGACTTTAATCTGAGATGTGATTGACAAATAGTAATAAATATGATTTAGAAATGGAGAGTGCTGATCTATTGTAAGTATTTTCAAAAGAAATACTTACCACGTCACCCTCAGATTTAACCTTATATCGTGGCATGATTCGAAATCGACAGTGTTTAGCATTTTCTGGTTTCAATTCCACCTTGATAATATACAAGGAAAAACTCATAATTATCTTAGAATATTCTATTTTAAATTTATATTATGGACACCGTCTATTGTAACTGACTTTTGTTGATATATTCATTTTTAATAGTATTAGCTAAAGACTGCCATTATCTGTATCATTAACCATACCGTGCAACACTCTATGGAGGCCGTTAGTCCTCTTACTTTTAATCCAGAAGTTTGCATATTTATCTTGCTGGTAAAGGATAGCTCAAATACAGCAAACACATTTGGTTATAAAGGTAGCATGTTGGTGCTGCGTCAAATCAACCAAATTTAGATTTCAAGCATAGTCAGTTTGGTTATAAATGTAGCATGTTGGAGCTGTGTCAAATCCACCACACTCTACAAACATTCTGTATTTAATACCCATGTTTTAAGATATAACTTACCGCCATATTATTAGATTCCGTATTAGAAGTTTTCGTTGTTGATACATGTACATATTTACCAGTAAATAAATGACGTATCTGAAATGAAAGGAATACTTTTAATACTTTTCCGTCTTCAAATTGTAAATCAAATGACGATTAACACTTTTGATTTTAAGTTTAATCTACGCGTCCATATCTCGTATGTGATGCTAAGTGCTTTCTTCTCTGTAGTAAATTCTTTAATAGTCTTTCAATAAGCGGGTTCTGTCTGATCTCCGTCATAAGCCACTGAAAGAAGTCTGATTACAACAATACCAAGATTTTATATTTTGTTTGTTTATTCCATTTCATCTTTAGCTAAAGATGTTTCTTTTAAAGGCGCGTCCAATCGCAGATTATGATTAATCGACTCCATATCAAACTCTGTTTTCCAGAAAATCATTCGAAAAGCTTTGGTAGTCGAAACACTTAATCAAGGTAAAAGGCATTCTCAAGCTGTCGTTACATGGTAAAAAAGCGCTGATTGATAAATCAGAATGCGTACGAAAGGAAAGTCAAAGTTATTGCCAGGGGGAATGGTGGGGAGGGGTAATTTCAAAACATTTTAAATCCTATTTAATGCATTTATGCACAGAACGCAAGCAGTAAAATTTAAACTGCAAAAGTAAAGCAAAATGTGAACTACACGATCCTGCCACTGATGAAGCTAGTGGCGTGTTCCAGAATAAGAAATGAAATACGTCATACATTTCGCCACGGCCTACCCTTATATCGTATTCCAACTGCCAAGGGATCTTTTACGTGTTGGTCAATGTATACACGGGGCCTCGGTTTCGTCCCACCGAAAGACTATACGCTGTCTCTTGCCCCCTGTCCTTTCCAGAACAAGAAGGTATTTCACAAAACTTATGAACCATAGTATATTACCTGTATAAGTTGTCCATATACAACTTTTCTACCCTGTTGTTTCTTTTGTTCAGACCCATTATCTTCACTTTCTTGATCAGCTGTTATCTGTAATAATATAGCATTAAGATAAACACCAATCAGTTGTCACTCTATATTTTAAGAAAAACATTTGTTCAATGTAAAATATATTTAATATAGGCTAAATATCACAAATTCTTCAATAATTGGAACGAAAAGGGGAGGGTCTTTAAGATGTCAACACAATTTTGGTTGTGGCTAACATATTTTGTTTTGCTATGGTTACGTGTGGATTGCTGTGTAATGCTGGGTGATGCTGGGTGATGCTGGGCGGGGGGGGGGGGGACACCGGTGTTTCTGTCTATACTCACTATAAAAATCTGTTTACATGGTCTATAAAAGATACTAGAAAGAGAAACACTCTCGTATATAGGTGAAAAGTATTGCATTTCGGTTTGCAAAGATATTAATTATTCAATATTTACTGTTCACATGAGCGATTATTAAGATTCTTATTTTAATTTTAGTTTTTCGACTTTCCACCTGTAGGTGTTTTTTTTGTCTTTCATTTGTGTGTTTTAAGTCTCATATATCTCAGGTTTAAGAAACGTAATAAAGGCCTGACATGAGCAAGAATTTCTTATTTTTGTAATTATTGAGGATGTAAATTGAAGTTTAATGTTAGTCATCTCTAACTTCAATTAACACCACAAATAAATTAAGTAATCCACTACATTTTTACTTGATAGATTCACTTTTTGTTATCATTTGACCCAAATACCATACCCCCCTCTGATTTCTAATATCTTAATATTGTTTAAATAGGATGTTCCCTTTGATATGCATGAGGTGGCACAGAAAAAAAAAATAAATTCAAGCAACACCCTATTGCTAGTCGTTTAATCTAGCGTGATGAAATATTTAGGTGTTTGTATTTTCCACTGACATGCTCGTGTGAAACATCTGAATAGATACGAATACTCGAATGGAAAAAATATACAATCTGTAAGAAAAATAACTAAATACTACGTCACATACGGATATATATGGTATGTATTTCATCAAGCATTTTGCTTTTAGTTTAAGTGATAAATAAGAACAAACCAAGGAAAGGAGTGGGTAAGCCTTGGGGGTTTCGCCGAGAAGCCCTTTCAGCATAAAATTCGTGTGATTAATAGGAGATTCAAATTAAGTTGATGGGGGAGGAAGAAACTCAAATAGGTCATGTAAACGAGAATTATCTTCGTATTGGCCTGCTTCATGTCGAACAGAGAAGGGATTTTATCCTGGGGTAAAGATGCACCAGAATAGGCCCTGAATAAAATAAGCGATAGAAATGGGATTTCTTCAAGATATTCGTGTAAATGTGATGTAGGACATGAATTCTCTGTTTCATATTATTATAATTCTGGGTAGTACCAGGGGATCCATCCAACAAAGCTTTTTTTCGGGGAACTTTCTTTTTTTTTCTATTAAATAATTTCTTCGTGTGTTATGAAAAGCTTCTATCTTCAATTAAAACATGGACTTACGTATATAAAGTTTAAAAAGCTAGATAACAATTTCGTTTCGTTTAAGTTTTCAGGTTTTAACACTACATTGTAATCTAAACTACTTCTGTCATCACGATATTATGTCAGTGTCTGGTCTATGTATATCGATCAGCCATGGCCATATATACTCTTCAAAAAAAGTAGGGGATATTGAAATGCAAATACCTATGCAGGTTGTGATATGATAAAGAGTCATGGACACTTGACATTCTTTGAGAGTATACTCACAGATGAAGAACTTATCGCCCCAACAGACCACTGAGCTGCATGTGCGACACACAATAGCGCCATACACGTGGGAGGGGTTCATTGTCAAATTTGACACTTTGAAAAATGCCGCTTGCTGGTTTATCCTATCTATGTTTGCTTTCCTACCGGTTCTTGTATAAGATGTACTGAATAGCGTATCTTTGCTTTAGTGTGTTTCGTCTAATTTGATCGGGAGACGTGTTTGTCGGCGTCAACGTCAACCGACAACACTGCAAGAATTGGCCATGGCACTGCAAGAGGAGTGGGTCAGATTTCCCCAAATCGTGATAGGACGGTTGATTAGGAGTATGCCACGACGAATTTGCTGAATGTCTTAGGATTGGTGGAGCAATTACTCATTATTAAGACAAAAATCAAAAACCTCCATTTTCAATTTTGACAGTGTATCTCTTTGCGAGTGAAATGATGCCGTTAGATAAGCCGCCCATATGAACTGTTTATGTTCATGTGTAGGCAATTGGCCTGTTATTAACATACACTCGTTACCTCTAATAAAAACAGCAGTGCATTTTCGCAGCTTTGTAATTTTTCTTAATATCCCCTACTTTTTTTTGAAGAGTATATAACAAACCCTACCAGACCCACTCTTTTATGTTTAAAATACCCAAAAGTTAGAGCCAAAAGAAACCACGTATACCCATACCGACGTTATGACCTAAAAACACCGTCTCCGTTAGAAACATGAATCTCATCGGATGTAAATATAGTTCAAAGTGCAAACGAAACCAATTTGATATCCGATTTTAATCAGATTAGTATATGCACGTTACCTTGGCTTGAGCAACAGAATTCTTCAGATTAATATTCTCTGGTTCTTTCTTTAGCTGTTCTAATAATCTCAAGTATTTCGATCTCTGTTTATATTTATTGGGCACACAAACTTCAAACGCTTTTACTGCAAATAGAGCAATTCCTAATATGCCAATTTATTTGATTATATAATTCAAAATAATAAATAACGTGTAATTGTATATCTGTTAGAGCCAAAAAGGCTAATAAAACGAAAGAATCTCATAGAAAATGTGTTCACCTGAACTACTGAACATTATTAATATAAAAAGCACAAATGCGATAAATGAATAATAAAACTTCTCTATAATTTAATTTGAAAAGGTACTAAACTACTGTACAGAAAGACGTACCTTGTTGATTAGATATATGTGATCGAACACTCCCCTGTTTTGATGCTACGGCTATCTCCGAATGCACAGAACTATAATACAACAAAATATTAAAGCATTTATTATCAAAGGGTAAAACGGAACGTAAATTTGCCTGTCAAACCAAATTCGCGTATCTCAGATCATCAAGCATGAAAATTGTTTTCTGTGTTGGCCGTTTCTTTTGGTGATCATTAAATGGTTTTTGACTGTCGAGTTGGTATTTCTGACGACCACGGTTGTGTTTCTGATGTCTAATGTTGCATTTCTGGTGACCAATGTTGAAGTTAAAGATGCATTATGTAAGAGCTAAATTTGCCCATCGCATGTCTTTATTTTGGCTTCAAATGTTATACAACTATTTTTTTATAGACATTTTTTACAAGCCTATGATGAACAGTGTAGGCCATCAAATGGCCGAGATTTAAATGGATTAGAACACCCGCAAAATTTAAAAATGGATAACAGAGACTTAGTATTGATATTCACCCAGAATAATGTAATTTGAATAAAATTTTCAATATTCGTTTCTCATTGTGTATATTTGAAGTAATATTATAACAAGAACGATCAATCTTTTAGATAAATCTTACATAATGCTTTTTTAATGATTATCATTAATGATGTATCTGATGATTAGTGTTGGTGTTTCTGTTAGTCAATTTGAATCTGTTGATGATCAATGTTGATGTTTCTGTTGATCAAGTTGAATCTGTTGAAGATCAATGTTGGTGTTAATGATGATTATTGATACTGTTGTTAACGTTTGTCAGAGTATTGCTAGTATATCATATCAATGTTAGGAATGCTTATGATATATTAACTATTAATAAAGATTTGACATCATAATAATGTTCTAAGATTATATGCTTATATGTAAAAACTTACATGTTGTATGCAATGTAAAAAGGCGGGGCGACGGGGCATTTTAGGCTGACTCATTGTTTATACACTATTAGGTGCATTGAGTAAGATAAAATATCGCATTGCGAAATAAAATATCCGATTTCAAAATAAATGCTGACACGCATAAAAAGATGAAATAAAGCATCATTTATTTTCTTTCTTTCTTTTAAAGTACATGAAACGCATTTAATTCAGTTCATCACGACATGATCAAGAATGTAAACCTCAATACAAAATATTCTATAGATTAAAACTTCGGTATATGTGGGTGCGTTTTACAGATGTCCTTGACATTTTTCGCTAAACAGGCTATTTTACGCTTGAGGTTTCAGCGCACTAAAGTTCGCTTAAACTAACTAAATATTTTAAATTTTTTAATTGAAAAAAATATTTTTGATTTATATATTATAGAATATTATGCCTTCCGGACATACACCCCCGCATAAGATTTCATATTGAACATTCGATCGTCATTACTACCATTTGTACAATAATAACACGGTTACGATTATCCAGTTTTGCGTTAAATCATTCATCACAATACGTATTCAAATCCACTAAATATCGCAGGCTAACGATGGCATCGAGAGTTGATAACGGTCTTGATAAGTTAATTAATGTCTAATTAATAATTTAAATAACATTTAAAGCCCGAAGAAAGATCTGCACTAGACAGATTTAGCTCTTGCATAAAGCATTTTTAACTAATGCATCCATTAGAAGGTTTATATAATACATTAATATTAACTCTGAGGTCAATGGCGACCACCTTTTCGCCTGGAAATACAATTAGACCCACAGGCCCGCATCCACTAAATGGCTAGTTACAAAAAAGCGGCCTTATCTTTGACACCTTGTAAGTGAAATGGTAGCCATACATACTATACAATACAATACAATACAGTACTGGTTAGACTGAAGTAAACTCAATAATAAGAATTGGAAAAGAAAAATTCCAACAAATACAAAATAACAAATACAACATCAAACGTTTCAGTTTGTAGAAATTACCAGCGAATGACAAGAATGGAACTGTATTTTACATTATACAGGTCACAATTCTATGGAATACAATTACTGCTTTTTACTGAGCGACGTTTCGACTAGGCTTCTCTAGTCATTATCAAGCTATGATAAAAAATGAAAATATGACAGGACAATATATACATGTACACCACAATGCTAAGTTAATGATGACAAACCAGGGATGTAACTTATCGGCATCCCTGCATCGCATCAAGAAAGTAAGATTATTACATACATGTACATATTTTCCTTCTGTTCTTCGTATCTGATCAATGAGTTTGACTGCCACATCTCCATACTGATGTCTGATAAACTGTTTCAATGGCATTTAGTAATTGAACTAGAGTATACAGGTCACAATTCTATGGAATACAATTACTGCTTTTTACTGAGCGACGTTTCGACTAGGCTTCTCTAGTCATTATCAAGCTATGATAAAAAATGAAAATATGACAGGACAATATATACATGTACACCACAATGCTAAGTTAATGATGACAAACCAGGGATGTAACTTATCGGCATCCCTGCATCGCATCAAGAAAGTAAGATTATTACATACATGTACATATTTTCCTTCTGTTCTTCGTATCTGATCAATGAGTTTGACTGCCACATCTCCATACTGATGTCTGATAAACTGTTTCAATGGCATTTAGTAATTGAACTAGAGTATACAGGTCACAATTCTATGGAATACAATTACTGCTTTTTACTGAGCGACGTTTCGACTAGGCTTCTCTAGTCATTATCAAGCTATGATAAAAAATGAAAATATGACAGGACAATATATACATGTACACCACAATGCTAAGTTAATGATGACAAACCAGGGATGTAACTTATCGGCATCCCTGCATCGCATCAAGAAAGTAAGATTATTACATACATGTACATATTTTCCTTCAGATACGAAGAACAGAAGGAAAATATGTACATGTATGTAATAATCTTACTTTCTTGATGCGATGCAGGGATGCCGATAAGTTACATCCCTGGTTTGTCATCATTAACTTAGCATTGTGGTGTACATGTATATATTGTCCTGTCATATTTTCATTTTTTATCATAGCTTGATAATGACTAGAGAAGCCTAGTCGAAACGTCGCTCAGTAAAAAGCAGTAATTGTATTCCATAGAATTGTGACCTGTATACTCTAGTTCAATTACTAAATGCCATTGAAACAGTTTATCAGACATCAGTATGGAGATGTGGCAGTCAAACTCATTGATCAGATACGAAGAACAGAAGGAAAATATGTACATGTATGTAATAATCTTACTTTCTTGATGCGATGCAGGGATGCCGATAAGTTACATCCCTGGTTTGTCATCATTAACTTAGCATTGTGGTGTACATGTATATATTGTCCTGTCATATTTTCATTTTTTATCATAGCTTGATAATGACTAGAGAAGCCTAGTCGAAACGTCGCTCAGTAAAAAGCAGTAATTGTATTCCATAGAATTGTGACCTGTATACTCTAGTTCAATTACTAAATGCCATTGAAACAGTTTATCAGACATCAGTATGGAGATGTGGCAGTCAAACTCATTGATCAGATACGAAGAACAGAAGGAAAATATGTACATGTATGTAATAATCTTACTTTCTTGATGCGATGCAGGGATGCCGATAAGTTACATCCCTGGTTTGTCATCATTAACTTAGCATTGTGGTGTACATGTATATATTGTCCTGTCATATTTTCATTTTTTATCATAGCTTGATAATGACTAGAGAAGCCTAGTCGAAACGTCGCTCAGTAAAAAGCAGTAATTGTATTCCATAGAATTGTGACCTGTATACTCTAGTTCAATTACTAAATGCCATTGAAACAGTTTATCAGACATCAGTATGGAGATGTGGCAGTCAAACTCATTGATCAGATACGAAGAACAGAAGGAAAATATGTACATGTATGTAATAATCTTACTTTCTTGATGCGATGCAGGGATGCCGATAAGTTACATCCCTGGTTTGTCATCATTAACTTAGCATTGTGGTGTACATGTATATATTGTCCTGTCATATTTTCATTTTTTATCATAGCTTGATAATGACTAGAGAAGCCTAGTCGAAACGTCGCTCAGTAAAAAGCAGTAATTGTATTCCATAGAATTGTGACCTGTATACTCTAGTTCAATTACTAAATGCCATTGAAACAGTGTATTTTACATGTTTATTACACGGTATAAACTTTAAATGCATACTTCACTGAATGGTTTAAAAAGATCAACACAATCAACTGCTTTATAAACAAGATTTGCTTGTGGTCAGAACTTTGTGAGTCACTAAAGGGGAAGTAACGAGTTCGATCCGGGTGTTCTGGTTCCATCTGTCAGTGGTCGGGGGTGTGGCAAGGAAAAGTGCTTATGTATCCCATAAAGATCCCTATCAGTTGGAAGTAAAAAATTAACCCGGTTGGTGTAGAAAAGTAAGACGTTGTTGCCAAAACCTCGTTGCTTGATTATAAATCCAATAAATGTATTAATAGATTTATCATTTCCTATATAATTAATTTATAATGCAAACCTACGGTGAACACAGTGGGCTTCCCAGCGCAGCTTCTTTACCATTTCAAAACTAACCATATAAAAATTAGAAACAGTGTTTGTTGATGTCGATGAACTGAGACCACAATGAAGATTTTATTTACTAGATGGGTGAGATACATTAACTCAAAACACAATAAATGAGTGAGATATATAAACTCAAAACGCAATAGATGGGTGAGATACATAAACTTAAAACACAATAGATGGGTGAGATACATAACCTTAAAATACAATATGAACAATAACAAGAGTTTGCTTACCTTGTTTGAAATGATAAAACATAGCCATTTGCATCTTCTGAATATAAACTTATATTGTCCCCAATACATAATGTGTCATCCATCTTGCATTAACAATCTTACCGAGTCTTAATCGCAAAAGACAAGTGTCTTCCACCGAAAAAGATCTTCAATCAAATATTTCACTGACAAAATGAAAAAGATTGAAGATAAACCAAAATAAAACGAAGCCACTGGATGAATACACGACGGCCTATATTAAATATTTCAATAGGTCCTTTGAAAGGGTCGACGCGCTGAAGCATATGAGTATCTACCTGCATTATTGCAAAGTGGGAAAGAAAACTAGTTGCACTCGTAACAAGATACGATACTAGACTTAACAACGTTCCAGTGGATCTTTAATGGACATTGTTAAAGGAAATATTTTCGTACAATATTAAAGTAAAATCCCACATTTTCTGATAGGTTATTGATTAGTGGGATAAATAGCATGTTAAACTTTATATTCGTGAAGCAGGGTAACAAAATAGTGAAAATCTTAACTTTAAAAAAAAGAAATTCACAATAACATAACCATTAGGCTCTGTATCTCGTCCTCCCAAGCTTATTATTATGTTGGACTAGCCGTGCAAACACGATTGAGTTCTCTGGCAAGTTTCTGTGATATCACAATAAAGGGAAGGGGACCTTAACCCCAACGAAAAAAGGGAGGACCATTAACACAAAGCGTTTTTTCTCATCAAAATGTCACTTGAATCCTTTCATGTCTCAATAGTTTTACATCCGGTATAGCCCATAATATATTTAGCTAAAATATATAGGGTTTCTTCACACTTTATAAATACGAGAGAATTATTTCAATAAAAAACGATTTACTTTTATTTTATGACGTTAACGATACATTATGTAAGAGCCAAATCTTCCTATTGCTATGTAGTCTAGGTTTATTTGGGGTTTTTTTCACTGCAAATGTTATATAAATTATCAAGTAGGTATGTATTCAAACAACGAACACATAAACTGCTCTTCAATGAGATGGTCGTGATAATGAATGGATTTAACGTTAGATGAATAATTATCGTAGCATCGGTACTTGAAAATCGAGACTATCTAATCAAACTTCAAACACCTTTAACTTCGCTCAGAATATATCCATTTTTCATTATCTATTTTTGAACTAGTATAGCAAGAACGACAAGCTCACGGCACGGGACATGCAAAAATTTGATTGCCCTTATTACATTAACGTGCAGGCGATACGTTTCAAGTCAGTAGCTTGAAGCGTATATATGGTATTAGTGTCAGTGGCCTGTGGCACGAAGTAACAGTATATTGTCGCATACATAATATATTATGTCAACGCTTGGGCGATATAATATATTATGTCAACGCTTGGAACTAGGATGGAGGTGACTAGGCATGAACTTGCAACGATAGATTTAATTGGCGCTTTGATAACCAATGAATGCTTTGGAGACATATTTTGGCGGTATTTTCCATCATGGAATCGGTAAGTTTCGATTGTTTTTTTCTTTTCTGTTTTTTCTCTCTTTTCTGTGTCCTAACCCTAACCCTAATCCTAACCCTAATCCGAAAGAAAAGTGCCCTTTTTTGAAATTCTGACATCACAGGTGCCCTTTTTCTGATAAGGATGCCCTCTTTTATTTACAGGGACACTTTCTATGGCTCTGATGACGCGTACATTCCACTGAGTCTACAGGTCTAATATGCTAACACGCTTGGAGCGTCAACACAATATATTATGTCGCCCAAGCGTTGACATAATATATTATGTATGCGACAATATACTGTTACTTCGTGCCACAAGCCACTGACACTAATACCATATATACGCTTCAAGCTACTGACTTGAAACGTGCAGGGTGCAGGGTGACATTAAGGCTTAATTTGTATATCAAACTATAGATCTTTGCTCATGAAAGGCTACAATTAGCTTCACTTGACCCGTCTTGCTTAGCCCCGTCGGTGCAGAACAGTGGGAGGTTAACCTCATTTTATTTCATTTCATAGCTCCGCTTTAGAACAGACATGGACACGAAGCTCGTTGACCGTTATTTTAAATCCTATATTGGTGATTTTAGTCAGTTAGGGCCGAGATCTAATCGCGAAGAAGATAGATCTCTGTGTGCAAAATGGGCAAATGTGTGCGACTAATATACTTGATATAATTCACAAGTTATTCTTTGATTAAAATGGTTTAAGTATACAACCCAAACGTCAACATATGAAGAAATGTTGGGCGGTCTCTTTGATCTGTCTATAAGCCGAATGTCGAAAAGATGTAACTTTTCAATTCTGATTTCTCGGAATTTACTTTTTTGGGGTGTACTTTCTATAAACAACGCCAAAAATTAAAAATTTCAACTTGACGAATTGAATATATACATGTACATCAAAGGAAAAGAAACAGTTAAATGCGTTATATAATACATTGATATGTAGGTGTGTCTTCTATAAATACGTACCTTACTGCAACGCTTTTATCGCTATAACCTCAGCAGGTTATATACACAAAAGGTGAACATTTTTAAAATAAAGTTAAAGTCTATCTTATTTGCGCCTTTGGGTTCCGACCGTTAAATGGACAAATTTGGACAAATCGAGCAAAACCATGGGGATCTGCCACATGAGAAACCTTTATAATAAAAAGTTGTACCTGTTAATATGGCAAGGGGAAGCGCACATATACAATAATCTAACAGCTTGGTGTAATTCTAATGCATGTAATAATGGTAATCAACAGGGCTCGTCCTCTCAGATCGCTATGTTTCACATAAAATATTTACTATAGACTCTACCACGTTTACAATGTGAGCGTATAACAATTTAAACTTCAATACCAAATCCCGATTTAATGCCTTTTTCATAAGTAAATATTTATCAAAACTGAGAAATCTTTAGAACAAATGAACATTCCTTAATAAATGGAAAATCTGGTCATGTGATTCATAAAATCCATATTCATAAATATTCAACGAATCACATACTTATTGTAAATACAATAAAAGTGTGAAAGAATCTTGGTAGTGAACGCGTCCCCCGCCTTTCGAAGAAAGAGTGCGAAGATGAGCATTTTCTGCTTATGGTAAGTAGAGACAAGCAATTTGATTGGTTGATGCTTTGGGACACGATAACTTTAGTTCTAATTAAGTGATAGTGATGAAACTTGGTGTATAGTTTCATTACATCAATACCTTGACTAAGTTCGATGATGAGAATTTTCTGCTTAGGCTAAGGATCAATAAGCATTTTAATTGGTCAAGACTTTGGAACATAATTGAGGTAGAATGTTTAAACTTGATGTAGATGTTCGCCTTGACTGAGTTCAATGATTAACATATCAAGCTAAAGCTAAGCAGAGATAAGCAATTTCCTTGGTCGATGCTTTGGGAGAAGATAATTTTGATTCTATCTGACAGAGAGTGATGAAACTTAGTGTATAGTTGATAATCAGTTTGCTCGATACATTTGAAAAAAATAGATGTGCGATTAATTAATATGTGTCATCTATTTATTTGGGGATTTCGGCGGGGGACATCAGCCTCACTGTTGGCTTGTTTTATTCCTAACCAGGTCACCAGAACATAGTTTTAGACCTTGCAAAAGCAATAGGTTTAATCAAGAAAATGTGTTTCTGTCCAATTACGATTTTGAACGGGACAGTAGTAATGAGACCCAATTCCGGCAACTTACGAAACAATCTACGAGACTGTATTAGTCCGATATCACCTTGGTGTACGCAGATGTATAGTACTAGCAACTCACAATTAGACACAATCCAAACGACATTAAATTGATTTAACAAGAAAATACATGACAACTTGCTGTCACGTTGTGTGTTTTGGGTTTTTTTATGTAGTGATAAAATTCACTATCTGATTTCAGAAACCGGGGTAAATTATTCGATATTTGTTTTATGCAAGAGAAGGGAAACAACTCCACAAATATTTATTATCGCAGAGAAAGAATACTTTAAAGCACAAGTCACTTAATACAATACTTGTGCCCCAAGTTAGTTCTAAAAATGCAACCCACCAACAGCTTTGTAATAAAACTTCATCTCATATGGGCATTTGCTGTAAATAATAATCATGAGCGAAAGTAAGTGAGGGTAATGAAAATTGGTGTATAGTTTCATTACATCAATACCTTGACTATATTTGATAATGAGCATTTTCTGCTCAGGGTAAGCAGAGCGATAAACAATTTGATTGGTCAAGACTTTGGAGCACAATAACTCTCCTTCTAATCGAGGTAGAATATTCAAACTTAGTGTAGGTGTTTATTTGGTGAATGTCTTGGTGGAGTTAGAAGATGAGTACTCTTTGCTTAGACTAAGCAGAGATAAGCAATTTGGTTGGTGGTTTGGGACATGATAACTTTGGTTCTAATTAAGTTAAAGTGATGAAACTTTGTGGATAGTTCCATGACTAAGTTCGATAATGAGCATTTTCGGCTCAGAGTAAGCAGGGCAATAAGCTATTTGATTTGTCGAGACTTAGGAGCTCGATAACTTTGTTTCTAATTGAGCGAGAGTGGTGAAACTTCGTGTATAGTTTCATTACATCAATACCTTGACTATGTTTGGTGATGCGAATTTTCTGCTTAGGCTAAGTAGAAACTTCAATCTTATTGGTCGAGACTTTGGAACACAATAACCCTCCTTGCAATTGTGTTAGAATGTTCAAACTTGGTGTAGCTGTCTATTAGTTGAATGCCTTGACATTGTTCAATCGTGCGCATTTTCCACTATGGCTAAGCAGAGATAAGCAGTTCGATTGGTTGAGACTTTGGAACACGATAACTTTAGTTCTAATTGGGCGGGAGTATAGTTTCATTATATCAATACCTTGACTAAGTTTGATGATGGGAATGTTCTGCTTAGGCTAAGTAGCGATAAGCAATTTGATTGGCCAAGACATCGGAAAATAACAACCCTGCTTTTAATTGATGTAGAATGTTAAAACTTGAGGGATATGTTCATTAGGTGATGCCTTGGCAGTTCAATAATTAACATTTTCCGCTAAAGCTAAGCAGATCTAAGCAATTTCATTGGTCGATGCTTTGGGACAACATAACTTCTAAGTTTATGGGGAGTATTGAAACTTAATGTGGAGATACACTACCAGGCACTTCAAAACCTTTACCGAGTTCGGTCGTGAACATTTTCTGCTTCGACTAAGTATAGATAATCAGTTCAAAAAGATAAATGTGCAATTAATTAATATGTGTTATACACGTATATTTATTTGGGATTGCAGCGGGGGACACCAGCTTCACTGTTGGCTGGTTTTGTAAGTTTTAAGCATTATGTTATAAGCTTTATTTTAAGCATTTAGTGCATGTATTATTAATCCAAACGCACATGTACAGTATAGTGTGCTTTGTTTAAAATTTTGAACGTTATATATATTTTGATAAAATCTATTTTTATACTGTATTTTAACATGAAGTTAATTGTTTTATATAATACAAAACTAATCCATATTATCTATTAAAATGATCTTAATTGTCTTCCTTAAGTTTAGAAACTTGATCCAATTTGGTTCAGGGGCAATAGCCCCCGCCCCTATCCCCACTTGATCTTGTTCCTCATTTAAAATCAACAGTCACCACACCCCAGCCCAGGGCCCTTATTCACGAAAACTTAAACTAAGTTACAACCGAAATTTTAAGAAATACTGCAACTTCATTGGATATATGCAAATTGATTTTACTGGTCAGCCAATCGAATTGCAGTATTTCTTAAAATTTCGATTGCATCTTAGTTTAAGTTTTCGTGAATAAGGGCCCAGGTCTGGAACACAAGCGACAAGCGAGCGAACCAAGCGGCAATGCGGGTAAGAACAGTGTTGGTAAAATGTCACAAGGATTGGTAACGTTACATTTTTAACCGATTTTTTTATACGCCCACATTTTCACGAGGACGTATATTTTCGTCGCCCCTGTCCGTCCGGAACTCCGTCCCTCCGTCCACCCACAATTTGTTTGTGGACACTGTACAGGTCACAATTTTTATTCGATTTTGACGAAACGTGAAATATAGGTCTATCTCCGAGGGATCTCGATTCCCTTCGATATTGACATGTACCGGACCATAACTTCATGGATTATGGCCCCTGAATATACGAAAAATCGCGTTTGTAGCTTGTGGACACTCTAGGCGTCACAATTTTGATCCTATTTTGATGAAACTTGAAATGCATGTTTATAACCGAACGATCTTGGGTGTAAAAATGTGGTATATCAAGGTTGTGGACCCTCTAGAGGCCACAGTTTTTATCCGATTTGGATGAAACTTTAAATATATATTTTAATCTTAAAGATCTTGGTTCCCTTTGTTAATCATACATATCCGAACGTAACTTCCTGGATTATGGCCCCTGATTGGTCAAAAAATCGCATTATTAGGTTGTGGTTTCTCTAGAGGTTACAATTTTCTTCCGATTTTAAACACCGTTTAGATATATCATCATTCCACCATAATGAAGGTTGAATTCGAATTTCGGGAAAATCGAAATGAAACTGCATGCCCGACAAAGTGACCGCTCTTTGTGCGCAAATTGTGTATAAGTATGTAATACAAAGGTTATGGACCCTCTAGAGTTCACAATTTTTATCCGATTTTGATGAAACTTAAAACATATCTCGGTCCCTTTTGATATTTGCGTATGTCAGACCATAACTTTCTGGACTGTGGCCCCTGATTGTTCTCTATCCATCTCTTGCAAAATGTGGGCGTATCCTGCCTGGCAGCCGCTCGTTTCAAATTTGGTGTGAAACATTAAGATCATGACAAGACGAACCACTACCCATATTCTGCGAGCCCTGTCTTTTCCAGTGCCGTCGTATAATGCATGGCAATAACTTGTTTGGTTATAAAAGTGATAATCCTGGAAGTTTCTATTCCACTTCTGTCTTTTGGGGTCGCGAACAATTGGTCTCCAGATCAGAAGATTCCTTCTGACATTGTAGAATGAAATGAAATGGGGATGTGCTTAAATTGTGTGCTTATGAAATTCTGATTTGAAGAAATTGCAAGGATGTGACAAAGACATGACTGATGTGACCAGTAACATGACGTAATCAAGCGTTTCAGCTATGCATAGTGATTGGTTGGGATAGTATTATTTTCAGATTCCACACAAAATTCCGTGTCTTTAAAGGCTCAATACCACTCTTGTTGTAACTGAATAATATGTCCCAATCTCTATTCTGGTCAACAAATTGTACTATTTTACAATATTCCAATTAATTGATGATACAAATTTCATCTTAACACACCTTATTTAAAATATTGGAAAAATCCAACTAAATGATTTGAAAAGCCTGACGTAAAGCTTTTCAAATGTGACTTGGATTAAAAAATATTTTTGAACCAATTGGACAAGTAAAATAGGATTTATGGATAATTTACACAACAGGTAGGACACTAACACATCTAGTACTTAGAATAAGGCTATTTTTTATTTTCTGGAGCTGTCAAGCCAGCAAGAGTGTTATTGTCCCTTTAATAGATATATACTTCTCAAAGGATTGTGAGAATTTAATTCCGGAAAATTCAATCAAATTCTTTGAATTTTGACATTACAGGTAGGTTAACGTCGTGACTATCCTTCGTCACGGCACTAAAAACATTCATATGAAACTACGGGAACAGATGTAACTATCCTTGTCACGGAATCTGAAAAGAGAGGACTGTTACACTACAGCCAATTAGGAACTATCTTTGACTTCACGTTGAGTATAAAACTTTAAGGATCAATTAGGAACTAACTTTGACTTCACATTCTGTATAAAACTTCAAGGATCGACTGACTCTGGAACACTTTGTTGGTTAACTATGTTTTTATATCTTTATAACATCCATAATGCAAAGGTTACATACTTGAAACTACACACACAGCTATGGCATTAAATATAAGCTAAACAGGAGTTCTCTTATCACTTAGCGCATGTTCTGTGGCGAGAGCCATTCCGGTCTCTAAGCCGAGGAGGCTGTGGGTATGATGTTCCCCTGGGAACTCCGAACGATGTCTCTCCTAGGATCTCTAAATGATGTCTCCACCCTAGCCTCTAAGCCGAGGACGATATCTCTCCTAGGATCTCTAAATGATGTCTGAAGGGAAATTTAACCTCGCTCTTTCTTATACACAAAGTATAGATACGTCAGCTATTAGGGCGGGAAAATTACAATTTCTGGGTTAGTGTTTCGTACGGGCACCGTTTTACGTCAACATTATTCTATTTAATTGGACTAATCTGTGCACAAGTTGACTGGACGATAGTACCATGCATTCAGCAATTGATGGTGGCAGGAAATATCTGTGAGTTAGTCTAAGAAACTTGAATCTTGCAAAATACCTACTTAGCACATTTCTTGTTGTCACCCATTTGTTTAATCACTTCAATATAATAAACAGAGCACCTTTTATAGAACTAAAATAAACCTATAGTATTACAGTTGTACTAGATTACTAAAACGTCTAATTGTACCTTGAGTCCTATGACTTAAACTATACTTGGATGACAACAATAATAAACAACGAATGAAAGAATGAATAAAATGGGGACAGACCGGGCTAATGAAGACGGACATATGCTACGCAATGTGCTAGGAGGGAAATTTAGCCAGGATAGCAATTGAATTCCAACTGTCAAGGGTTCTTTTACATGCATGCCAATGTGTACACAGGACCTGTTTCTTGCCAGGTCCTCCTTTCTGCACCACTGACAGGCCAACAATAAACAACCACAAATGATAAAGTCTGATTTTATAGATACTATAAATTTTTATTAATTTGTAATTTCAGATGTTCAAATAAACAGAATTTGCCCCAATGTAATAAATGCGTGTAAATCATGATGTCATAAGGTAGATGAAATCATATTGTACTACAATTGATCTATATTTCGTAATCATATTGTTTGTCGACCATGGCTATAATTTCGTAAAAACAATATCCAATTTCTCTTTATTTTACACTGTATCACAGATAAATTAATTTCATATTTTATTAAACTATATTGTTTTATACTCCATATTATTTTAAATACAAAATGCTGAACAAATTAAAAAAATGGTATGAATTAAGAAAATAGAAAATGGTAAAAAAAATCTACAAATTTACCATTAGATTTGCAACCACAGCAGTTTGAAATGAATCAAATGTGACAAGCTCTATTGAAACTATAAAAATCTAACATTTTGTGTATCATTTTTTTATGCAGGTTTAAAATTAGCAGGTAGAAAATATACAAAAACTGGCTGGTTTAGTCACATTAAATAGACAAATAAATAATTTAGGTAATATTCTAATTGCAAAATATGTTATAAGGAAATATAGAAATTTGATTAATGATTATTTTCGAAAATTTTAACCAAGCTTGTCACAAATGCTCACAGCAATACTATACCTACTTAAAGTATTTACAGCAGCTAAATTTGAACTTTACAAACATAATACATGTAAAATATGCATATTTAACAAAAGCTAAAACACACCAATATAATCATTATTAAAGCCAGGATACTAAATAAATCATCATCAAATCTGAACTACAAGGGAAAACTTACTTGTTATGAAAAACATAAAAACATTTTTCACTATCTACAATACATGTATGTACAAATTTTATAAGAGAGCAATATCTATACATTACTGCTGCAAAACAATGAATCGCCAAGCACTTTCATTACTTAGTAATGTGTGAATAATGTAACCTAAGATAACAACCGCAGGTTCCGTGGTTAATGTTCTGTAATAATTTATTGTGTGTTTATTAGGGAATTTGAATCTATAATCTTAATATCCCTGGTCAGTTGTCATACAAACTAGAGTGTTAAACAGATGATCTAACTATGATTAAGGGAATATATCATTAACATTTCTTAGATATCAGTTAAACTAAGAATTTGCCTAAAGATACATTATGGGAGATTAGATAAAGAGCTGGCAGTTCTCACTATAACAGTGATCCACTCTGAACCAAGATGTTAGGATTGAATTTTCGTCCTAGCCTTGATCATCATGATTTAGGTCTATACGATAAAAAACATAGTCTTGATTATCCATTTTTATAATTAAATCATGAATGGAAGTCGAACAGCAAACCAGAACCTAATCCAATAAACATCACAGGCTAGCGATGACATCGAGAATTGATTATGGTCTGGATAAGTTAATTAATGTCTAATCAATAATTTAGATAACATTTCAGGCCTAAATAAAGACCTACAATAGGAAATGAAATGAATTGGGGTTTAACGTCCTACTGTTCTGCTCCTAAACTGGGCTAATGAAGACGGGAATACGCCATACAGTGTGCTATGAGGGAAATTTTGCACAGACAGCGGCGCTACGGCCTACTCTTATATCGAATTCCAACTGCCAAGGACCTACAATAGGCAGATTTAGCACTTACATAATGTATATTTAACTTTTCTGTAAGATACATGCTTGGAGAATAATTATACATGTATAGTCAGTTCATTATTTGTTTTTATAGCTTATCTTAAACTGTTAAAATTTGAATACAAACTAGGTCATTTCAGGACTATCATATGTTGATTTACAAACAAAATTATGTAGCTGAGCTGGGGGGTTTCAACCCCCCAAACCCCCCCTCTGGATCCGCCCCTGCGAGGATGAACTATCCCATGTCACAATTGAAACTACACCACTTAACTCAATGGCAGACCTGATCTAACATGCACATGTTAAACCATTTGGTCACAAAACCCTCCATTTTTTTTAAGATTTAATATAGAGTTTATGAATGTACTGAGTACACAATCAAAAATATACAGTTTTAGTACAAAAAAAGTTGAAATTGATCAATTCTAACTTAAAATATGGCCAGCTATGTTTCTATTCAAGATACATGTATGTGAAGGATCAGCGTGTTGTGCCTTTAAATAGAGTTATGTCCCTTCATTAGCCAGTACCAATAACTTGCATATCATTCAAATGATTATTGTTACATTTTGCTCTGAAATAAGTGTCATATAAATAACTGCCATTATTTGGCATTTCCTATTTTTATAAACAAATAACTTAATCCAAATTTTAACCCCCCAAAAAACAACAGTTTAAATTATAAGTATTATATTTGGACTAAAGTGATGTTATTTGGCTGACAAATGGAGTGATCAATGATCATCAAAACAAAAATAATTTCAATGAAGTAAAAATGCAGTTTATTTGCATAGAAATAATGTATACTGAAATAATTTTGGGCCTGATAATATGGATTAATGTCTTACTTTTCTGCACCAAGATGGCTAATGAAAGCAGAGCCCATATAGCTAAATAAACTGATTGAGCTAGGTTATTTATCTGCTTATTAGAGACTGGCCAATGTCCTCAAAAGAATAAGCTGGAATTTAATACTTTGCAGGATGTGCACATGTAATGTATATTACTAGACTATGGTTTGCGATGGCAAACGATAGCTTATTATTGCATCTACTGAAATTATTGGTCAAGAAATTGAATCACCTGGTAACAACCTAACTAATTCTATATAAATACAACAGGTGAATTACACTGGAATGTTAAAAACTTGTGTTTCTCTTTACTGAATAATTCCACCAAACACAGACAGATATCACTATGGGTTGTATTATAAGGTCCATGATATCACCATGTACACAGGCCTCTAGGCTACGAAAAATATATGTATTCTTATAATCAGAACCACTTTTGAATTAATTAATTTTTGCTAAAATTTGAATATAAAGAAAAGAACCCCTGACCCAAAATAAAATCAAAACACAGCTTCCTCCATGTATTTAAATGTCTCTATATCCCTGGATGAATTGTCTACAAAATGGGCATAATCTGTCGACTTTAGTTATAATTGCATTCACACACTGCTCACATATTTCTCGATGGTGACATGGTAGAATTTCTACATTGCAACTGGCATCCTGACAAATCTGACATTCGTTGTCGTCATAATCTAGTTTTCGCCTTCGACGTAGATTACTTGTGTTGGACGAAGCAGGGTTGTTTGGATATCTTGGATTGTGGGAGGGGCCTGATCCATGGGTTTCACTAGGCGAGCCCTTGAATACATAATACAGAGCAGCTAGTCCTAGTGATAGCATAGGTATTACAGCATACACAGCTGGGTGAACCATTATTATGACAACACGTTGATGTTATTCTTTCAAAAATAAACCATATGTTATCCCATCTTCATTTAGACATACTAAGAAGATTTTCTTCAATGTAGTATTCTGGTAAAAGGTTTCTGGTATGTTCTGAAAATAAATAACAGGATTAAATTGAAAAAGGATAACATAGACAGGGGGGCGTGATAACTATCATGTCCACCAGCAGTAAAGATGCCTATGTTCTAACACTGAGTTGAAATATCATACAGAAAGTTTTGCTGTATCACATTTATAAATTTTAAATGTGAAAATGTAAATAAAAGTACCTCTGACTCTTCAAGTCTTTTTGATGACTATTCTGATCAATAATGGTACTCTCTCTTTCTCTCTCTCTCTCTCTCTCCCCCCCCCCCCCAACTTCTTTATCAGTATTTTCAAGAGCTTGAGACAAGAATAGCCTATGCATTACATGTATGTATAACAATTGTTGTGACAGAAGGGTTAGAATAGAGTTCATGTAAGGTAGTTCAACAGGACTCTTACTAATCATCATCAAATTACTATTTGGTGGGGCTATGGAATTTTTTTGAGGGGCTGAAGATGTGGCCGGCTAATCTGGGGACCGCGAAGTGCCGAAGACGCAGGCCAGGGCGGGGGGGGGGGGTCTGGTGCTCCTCCCACAGAAAATTTAGAAAATTTGGTGCTCTCTCCTCGCATCTGAATGCATTCCTGGGCCTCAAATTGAAGTGTCTCAGGCAGGGTTTTATGGCTGAATTTTCTGAAATTTCGTTCTTTGACTCCTCCCGACAATATCATCTTGAGGGTAGTAAAGTGTGTCTTTTCATTTACGCGGATAACTCTAGGCCGGGCAATACAGCTGTAGTATCATATTTCAAGTGAACTATAGGTATTCTATTATTCTATTCATAGAATTACATTTTAGGTGCCCGTAGACACCCTACATCGGGTGTAGGCAAATGCAAACATTTGAACCGGTGCCTTGTAGCTTGTAGGCGAACAAATAAACCAGAGCCTCTTTTAAACCCATAACCCTGGTATAAAAGGGCAGGTCCCAGGAAAATGGCAATAAATTATGCAGCCTCTGGTACCATCAAGTGGCCCCGGGCTGGGCGTCTACCAATTTGAACACTCCTAAAAAATCATTATTGTCGGCGAAATATTTGGAGGGCTAACCTGATTGGGAGGGGGGGGGGGCTTAGCTGGTTATATCTACATGTAACTATCAGCACAAAATAGAATTGTACGTTGTATGTGGCCCAACCATTTTTTCAAATTTTGCTAATAAGGCACAATATTTTATGAAAATCTCAGAAATAAATTTGTATTTGGTATTCAGTGCCATGATCGACCTGATCATGTCTTCTGAAAAGAAGTGTATACATGTACAATAATCTGTGGTATTATTTTACAATAATCTCAGTGTATATATTATTTTACAATAATCTCAGTGTATATATTATTTTACAATAATCTCACAATAATAATCACATTAGTCCAATATTTTAAATACAATTATAGGTTAGAATAAAAATAATAACCAGCGGTTGCCAGGCAGGATACGCTCACTTTTTGCAAGAGATGGATAGAGAACAAGCTAAAAACAAACACGATTTTTTGTACAGTCAAGGTTCTAATGTCAAATCTCAGGACATGTCTATTGGACAATAACACCCCTCTAAATGCGAAACAGGAGGTGTTTATCGACATTGTAACATGCTATTTTTTAGAATTTTAAAAGAACTTATTTCATTGTGTAAACTTCAAAATTTGTATCACTGCAAATCGGTTTTAGTGACGTAAAAACCAAAGAAATCAATTTTGACATAGTGAAAATGTCGTGACGTAGCAGGGTAACAGGCTGCTCATGTTAAATTTGGCTCGCTTATCGTCTGGTTGCTATAGTAGCCGTATGAGTATAAACACACAAAAAAAACCTAAAATTCTCACTTCATTTTTTTAAAAGTACTTTTTGAAACAAAATTTACGTTTTTGTAATAGATTTATGAATATTTTGTTGTTTATAGCTGTTACCTGATTGTTCGTACAATCAGGGGGCCATAATTCAGGTAGTTACAATTCGATATGTACGAAAATGGACAGGAACCAAGATATTTGAGTTATATACATGCATTTCAAGTTTCATCAAAATCAGATGAAAATTGTGACCTCCAGAGGGTCCACAACCCTGATAAACAATATTTTGACAATATTTGCAAACGGGGGGCGGCCATTGTCCGTCAGTTTCAGTCCGATTTTTACGAAATTCGAAATCAGTCATCCTTAGGGTGTAACGGTGATATATTCAAACGTTTTTTTTAAATCGGATAAAAATTGTGACCTTTATAGGGTCCACAAGCTAAAAACACGATTTTTAGTACAATCAGGGGCCATAATTCAGGACGTTATGGTCCGATATATGTGTGAATATCGAAAGGAACCTAGATCTGTGGGTTATAAACATACATTTTAAGTTTAAACCAAATCAGATAAATATTGTGATCTCTACAGTGTTCACAAGCTAAAAACCTTAATTTTTCGTACAATCATGGGGCATTAATCCATGGAGTTACAGTACATGCTAATATTGAAAGGAATTGAGATCTTAGGGTGATAAACCTATATTTCAAGTTTCATTGAAATCGGATAAATATTGTGACCTGTTGAGTGTTCACAAACAATTATGGACGGACGGACAGGGGCAACAACAATATACGTCCACATGAAAATGTGGGCGTATAAAAATCCCCGCTCAACAGTAGTACAAACAGATTTTAAGTTGTAATAAGAAGTGGTTTATTCTTTATAAAGTTTCAGATAATAGGACCCTTTTTCAAATAATCTATATTTTCATTTACATATGTATGTCTACTCTCTTCGCCAACATCATTGTTTGATCCAGCAGCTACACAGATCTACCAGCCTGTCCAGCCTCTGCTACTCTTTTAAGGGACTGTTGCCATTCCACCTCTATTTTTCCAATAAAAATAATACTAATCTTATCGGTAATCTTAAAACCTATGTGTACTATTTGCATTTTGGGAGAAATATCAACTTTACCACATCTGAATCACTTTAATAATAAATATGTACTTCAATTGATTTTTTTAAACATTAATTAAGGAATCAAAATTATTGGTTGATAATATCCCAACTTGAATTCAATCAGATTAATAAGAGGACCATCAAAAGGCTTTATCAAAATTACAGGTTATACCGTAATCCGGGCATTTAAATAACTCATCTTTGGAAATTCAGAATGGAATTGAACCATTTTTGGACTGATATTCCGATTAGTAGATCGATTCAACATTAAAAATATATTGTGGTACTGTAATTGTTACGGGATTCCACAATCTCACAAATGACATTCAGAGACTTTAATATTTCCAGAACATTACTCATACATCATAATATGTTATGTAGATGCATGATTTTAACTACGTACTATACTTACTTTAACTTCTGATTTTAACCAAAAATAGTATTGTCAATGACAATGAATTTGATCTGGTGATTATGGTAAGTCGTATTACCATTTGTTAGGCTTATATCTGTGCATTTTGGATATAAATTGCGTCAATTCAAAATATGCGTTTTGACTTTACCATATTTAATTAGACTGAGTTTCTAATAACATAAATTATAAATAACTATTTTTGCCTATTGATAATGATACTGAACCTAATCACATATATATCAATATTTATACTTGATGATTAAGCTTCTTGTGTTACCTTAGTCGGGGTTTGACGCCAAAAACCAATAATGTCGATTGCAGTTTTCAGAATAACAACTTCCGCTGGAAATAACCTAAATAAACTTTCGGTTTAGTGTATGACGTCATTGTTAGCTCTTTATTGGAAAAGAACACAAAAGAATGCACTTCCGGTAATACCACACGTGTTCATGTTCATGTTTACGTTTTAAGAAAGTTCTTGCTATATAGTTACTGTTTACAATAAAAAAAAATTGGTAAATATGGATGAACAATATGATATGCAATTGAACATCGTGTCTAGTGGAAAACTAAAAACCAAATACAAGCAAAAATTCCATAGTAAGGTAAATAACATGTGAATTGTATTCGGACTCTTACTCTCTGAAAACAGAATCAAATCAAACAGAATTTAACCATCTCCAGATCAAATCAGAGGATGGAGCCCCTCTTTATGCACTGATGATAATTTAGTTACATGGTTACCTCCCAACAAAGATACTGTTATTGTTACCATGTTCATAAATAATACTTGACTTCAAAAGGGTTGAAAATTAGGTCAATAACTACCTTTCATTGGTTTCATAACATGTAAGGGAGTAATATGTATATGCCCTAACAATAAGACAATATACATTAATAAGAAATAAAAAGATATAGAAATTTATACATTAATAATAAAAGAACAACAAGTTAAAATATATAGGCGCTATTGCACTTTCGTACATGTACCTCTACCAGTTCCCGTGGTCGTAGGCACTTGAAATTTTCAGAGGATGTTAAGGGGGTGCAATAGCGCCAATATATATACATTACAGATATACATTTATGGCACATAAAACATGCAATACACACCACTTTGAAAAAAGATTTACAGTTATAAAAAAGACAATATAATTATATATAAAACAAAATAACAATGTATAGAGTGTAGGAAGATAATGTTAATCAAATATGGTGACCGAAAGAATTCATTCGTATTTAAATATTTAATAGCTGAGCTCAGAAGACGATGTCAGATTTCAGGTGTTTGGGAGTACATGGTATAGTGTGTTCCATAGGTGTGATCCACAGAATTTAATACTATTTTTAACAACACTAAGGTTAGGTTTTAATGCAATCAGTCATTTATTGATATTGTTAGAGTGTTTCAGTGAGGTAGTTTGGGCATTGCTGGTTTATAATTTTGTGTAAGATGTATTTATTTAAATTAATTTTGAGATTGATATTATTAGCTGCCTCAGAATGTTTGTCATATATCGAACATCAAGTAGAAGTTTGTCTCATAGGAGAACAGTAATCAAAATATGGTTGAATATTTGATTTGTAAAACATAGTCCAGGATTTAATGAATAGAAATTGTTTTGATTTGCCAAGTTGAAATAATATTTGGTTAATAATTTTTGAAACATTCTTAAAATGTTTGAAACATTTTCTGTAATAGAGTTATTAATAATTATTGATAGGTTAGGCTGAATATGTTTTCTTTTCCGTCTAGTAGTAATTACCATACATTTAGTTTTTTGTTCATTTACAAGCATAACCATAAGGTTAATTTGGCACCATTTGAGTGGGGAATTGGTATCAAGTTGTAATTTATATTGAAGGTCATTTATGTTATTTTCAGCAGTATAGATTGTGGTATCGTGAAGCAAATAGGTCATACATGTAGGAGGCTTTAGGTGGAGGGGTTGATCGTTTATAATAATGTTGAACAGTAAAGGGCCTAGGATGGACCCCTGTGGGATTCCATGTACATACGGACTAAAAACGTAGATTTATTTCCATTAGCAATTGTACTCTGATACCGTTGATGTAAATAATAACTAATGAAAGCTGGTATAAATTACATTTATTTAAGAGAATATTGCAATTAATAAAATCGAAAGCTTTTCTAAAATCAAACAAAAAGATTGCACCAATAAGATTACAAAATTGAGGGGTAGCAAGATTTACCCAATTCACCCAAATTAACCAAATTATCCATTATTTCAAATCGTACAATAATTTATATTGATGGGTAATATACCATTCTTTACACCAAATTGTCATTTTTAATTAAAAATCATAGTGTTTTTGTGTCAAAAATACTCCTCAAAATGCAATTTCCAAGCAAGTTTGGAAGATATAACCAAGGGACATAACTCATGTATTTCACAAAATGGTCTCAGACTAGCAATTATTTGCCCATTGACTTCAATGTTAAATGACTGTAACATCACAGGCTGTAGCTTTTTGCTCAACATTCCGTTGGTTCCAATCTTTATAGGCACAATGGGGACAACATTTGGCAATCTCCTCATCATAATTTTGTAGGGGGTTGACCATTTAGATTTTTTGCTACACAGATTTGAAGTTGACAGGGGTGAAAATCTCACTTCCGACACAATGATTGCTCTGCAGAAAGACACTTTACACCCCCTATCCCTCCGCTGTAATATCATCAATATTACCCAAAACTGCTATGAAATTGCAAATTTGATCCCTTTTCTCCAATTCTAGACCAAAAAGTCAACCCAAAAATGCAGGAAGAGGGGAGAAAAAAATTAAGGGAAAAATTGTCTATTTATAACTTGCACTACATTCGTCCATCATGAAATAAGGGGAAATAATTACTAGTCTTAGTCCTATATACCTCACATGTTTCTGCAGTTTAAACAAATCTGTTGTTATCTAATAAACAAACATATATGCAATTCCCTGGCCAAAGAATATGAAAATCTATGCATTTTCAGATGAGCTGTGCCGCATTCTGCAAACACTATAATACATCAGAAAACTGCGGAATTTCAGACAGAAATTTAAAAGCACATGAATTTTGAATTAAACAGAAAATTTTTATTTTTGAACATAAATGCATTCTGTAAAAAGATGAGATAAATTCAATATAAATCTAACACGAAAATATTTTAAAACAGTAATCATGATGCAATATTAGACTTTTTAACACTTTCATCGTAAACCACACAGTTTTTCTCTGTTAACGTAGTTTCAAGTGCCAAATTGTGGTCAAATCTAAAATGTTGAAACATGCAGTGCCTATCAATTTTAAAATATCTCCTATATAGCTGTATTTCCATAGGATAAGTAAGTTGAAATAATCTGATTATGTAACACTACAACAGCTTTTTCATCCCCACCCCCCAGTTTGGAATCTGATACATTGCTGACCAATCATAGGTCGCCCCGTTCACTCGGGCCTGTCAAATGATTTACAATGGCGAAGGTGCCTACAACTTTCCTGACCAAGAGATATGCACAACCGTCGATCAACACACAAGCCATTAATGTTATCTTCCAATATGAGAGGCCATGATAAACACACAAGCGTCCTTTTCAAGCTCGGAAATTAAGTCATCACCAAAAAGCAAAGTTTACAAAGGTCCTCGGGGCTGGAACCCAAACTGATTACGATTTGCCCTCCACTTCCACCACAGGTGTCATAGAGATCAGGGATGAAATTGATATGCATCATCGTTCTCCTAAAGCCAGTCCAGGAAGAGATCAGGTTTTGAGATGTAGACCTGAAATGTTAAATTTGGATGAGAATGAGAATTCTGGGGCGAATACTATCCAGGGAAATGGTCATTGACATCCAGAAAATGGTCAAAATGTGGAATTCTGTCATTCAGTTAAATGTCAAGGGGAGAAGACAGGCCTGTGCAGTACCAAATTTCCAGCCCATTACTATTAGTGAGCAGAAGTGGGGATCAGGTTGGATGTACTTCTTAAAGTGTATGAAATGCACATTTATCTCACCTGTTTTGCTTCTTTTTTTTTTAATACTTGTGTTGAGGTCAATCATTCCACTCTATGAAACATTACCCGGGCACCTGAAATGATAGGAGGCTGGGGATAAATATGCAATAAAAAACAGTGAGAAAATAAGAAAAAAACATGGTTTCAACTGGAAATAGAAATAAACCTCTTTATTTCTAGCGAACAGCTCGTCACTGGCCCTCCAAAAAGAAACCAGTTAACAGTCAGTAAAAAAGTAAACCTTGAGTGTCACATAAGTCTAAGCCAATCTCGAAGGTAGATGCCATGTTTTGAGGTTCGGTCTAAATATTAAGGCCAACTGCATGTTTGATCAAAAGTCACACAGGTGTGAATTTTGGAGTGTACATGTTAACATTTCATTGTATGATGTCAAAAACATGTTAGGTCTAAATGTTAAGGCCAGCTGCAGACTTGGTTCAAGGTCACAACATGTAAATAGGGTTAGGGCACATGATTTTTTGATACAATTGTGGGTTTGGGCTAGGGTCAGGACTAGGTCTTGGCTTAGGCCTAGGCTATATGCTTTTTGACAAGATTGTGGGTTAGGGTTAGGGTAAGGACTGGGTCTTGGGTTAGGGTTAGGGTCAGTCTTGTTTACATCTCGTGACTTTAGACCAAATCTGCAGTTGAGTTGGCCTTAATATTTAGACCTAACCATGTTTTGATATCATTGTGAACAAAATGTTACACATTTACAACCCAAAATTCACACTCAACCAACGGATACCCCCAATCATGGCTATTTTGATACCAAATAGTCAAAAAACTTACTGCTGGGCAATAAAAAAGCAGTATTCTTACCATTTCTGACACTTTCCATTCAAAACTTCAGGAAACAAGCCGTTGAAAAAATATCAACATCCCGAGTCGGCCATGCTTCATTATATCATCAGGACTCAGACTAGCAATTATTTGCCCATTGACTTCAATGTTAAATGACTGTAACATCACAGGCTGTAGCTTTTTGCTCAACATTCCGTTGGTTCCAATCTTTATAGGCACAATGGGGACAACATTTGGCAATCTCCTCATCATATAATTTTGTAGGGGGTTGACCATTTAGATTTTTTACTACACAGATTTGAAGTTGACAGGGGTGAAAATCTCACTTCCGACACAATGATTGCTCTGCAGAAAGACACTTTACACCCCCTATCCCTCCGCTGTAATATCATCAGTATTACCCAAAACTGCTATGAAATTGCAAATTTGATCCCTTTTCTCCAATTCTAGACCAAAAAGTCAACCCAAAAATGCAGGAAGAGGGGAGAAAAAAATTAAGGGAAAAATTGTCTATTTATAACTCGCACTACATTCGTCCATCATGAAATAAGGGGAAATAATTACTAGTCTTAGTCCAAATCGCTTGCCAATGAACTAGGTGTTATCTCTTGTTAATAAAAACTGATTTCACAATAAAATATTTCTACAATTTAAAAAAGTTGAGATATGAAAAGTCTAAAGTCACAAAGCAATGGTAACAACATTTAAATAAGTTCATTAATCAATGACACATTTAGATAAAAAAAAAAGTATGATTTTATCTGACAATTTTTTTTATGGTATGAGATAAATTTTATGGTACGGGATAAGAGAGATAAATTTTATTGCAAAAAAACACCCATGGGGAGAAGCATACAGTTACAAAAATCACATTACAACAAACATACATACATAACAAACACACTTAAAGGAGCTAAATAGCTATTCTTTGGCACCTAGAAATGGACACAAATAGGTCACAACTAGCAACACATATATTGTATTATGAATGTATATAAATTGATTTAACATTCAATTGTTTCTGTTTTTACTGTAATTTCTAATCAGTTATGTTTGGCAAAATACGCAAAGAGTTCAAATTGAATGCCAGTCTTTGGGGTTTGGTTATTCCAGTCTACACCAGTAGTATTCCCCAGTGGGGTATGTTTAGCCTCGTTCACTGAGTCACTTCATTACAAATGGCACTCGAAAGCATTCTGGAATGCAATTCATGTGCCAACTTTAAAATTTTCATTTTGTCTTAGATATCAGAAGCCCATCTTTTCACGGTAAGACAACAACATCAATGTTGATTTAAATTGACCAATAAGTTGTGTTTGCAATGTCAAAGACAATGGATGATATTGAGTTAGTCACTTGCCCCCTTTAAGTATATAAGATAAACGCTGCCTTGTGCACTACAAATTCTTTTCTTTTCTTTTTCAGAGACAAAGAGTTAAAGCAAAGATAGCTGGAAAAGTCCATAAGCCTGTTATAAAAACAGCAAGTTCATCAACATCAAATAATGAGAAGACTCCCAAAACAAGTGATGTAAACAATGATAACATCAGTAAGGAACAGACAAAATCTGTGATTGCAATCAAACCCAAATTATCACAAAGTCCACTTGCTCAACAACATACAAAAAAGCATAAATTAGTGGCTGACCATGAATCAACACCGAAAGATGACCTCCCTCCTCCCCCACCATCAAAAGTCCCAAGAACAGGACCATTTATTTCATCATTGTTCAAGAGTAATCCTGAAATACCTAAGATGGATTGGTAAGTGATTCGTTTCAATTCTTTAAATGACATCTAGAAGCACGGTTAACTATTCATAACAAAACACAACACAAAGTATGTATGGATGTGACCTGTATGTGTTACGAAACGTCGTTATAACTTGAAAACGTGACCTGTATGTGTTACGAAATGTTGTTATTACTTGAAAATGTGACCTGTACAAGTATGTGTTACGAAACGTCGTTATTAAATAATAGAGAAGTAGTTATATCCATATATACCTTGTGTTGTGTTTTGTTAAGAAAAGTGATTCGTTCAAAATTATGAAATATAGATGTTACAGTGATCAAGCAGGAGTGATCGAGTAGCCTACATATGATTGAGGGCATGTCTGCAAAGTATGTTTTTTTAATTCTGTACTTGTCTTTCCTAGGTGCATTCTGAGTTCTGACATACCGGTAATCTAAGGCTTTAATTATCCAGAAATAAGGCATTTTAAACTCATTGTTCCTTTATTAGTACTCCTGAGATATATGTAGCTTCTATTCATTACTTTACTCAGTTATTTACAAGAAAAGAATACTTTATATCATAAACATATATTCAAGTTAAATTTCAACTTTTAAATGTCATTTATAACTAATGTAGATATTGTCTTGGTACTAAGGTGACCAAAGCATTTTTCACTTTGTCATGTTATTGCAGCCTTTTCTGTTTAACTGTTTAAGACTCCCCAGCACATTCTATTAAATTATATCAGACATTTCCATAGAGCAACCAAAATCTACCAATTCATGGCCTCAAGATCCATTCGCTTGATTTGATATACAGTGTATGTTTGTTGCTCATTCTTGCAGTGTTTATGTGTCTTGTCCGAAAGGTTTGTCTTTAAAGGTTTTGTTTGCATGTAGTGTGGTCCTCCTGCGCACACTAAAAGAAGGAATGGTGGATAGGCCAACAAAGTTTAATCTGTTTAAATTTGATTGAATAACCAAAAAGGTGCACTGTGGCTACATGTATTTTCGTCTTAACACAAAATTTGTTTTAGTTCTGTAAATCTGTACTGACCATGTTGTTTGTTATCTTGTTTTCAGTTCAATTGTCGAACCAATAAAAGAAGAAATATTCACATCAAAGAAATTCAGTGACCTCCCTTTAAATCCTAATATGGTAGGTCTGTAATTTTTAACATTTTCATCTTATTCGGTATATAATATATACTATTCAAAAAAAGTAGGGGATATTTGATTTTTAAGTGTTATTAAAGTCACCTAATGAAACTGACGAAGAAACAAATGACAAAATGAAATGAAGTTCACATTCATCGATTTATTCCAAATGATCGTTAGACTAAGTAAGGCACAGACTGACCATTATAAGGGTAAAATGATACCCGGGGTCAAACAGCAAAGTTACCACAGCATCACAACCAAGTCAGTAACGGGTAAATCCTCCTCTGTTTGCCAAACAAGCATTGATCCGACGTGGCATACTCCTAATGAGACGTCTAAGGTCATTTTGGTCCAGATTGTCCCATTCCTGTTGCAACGCAGCAGCAAGTTCTTGGACATTGGCAGGACGTTGTTGACGTTGACGTAACCTCTGTCCAAGCATGTCCCAGACATGCTCGATGGGGGAGAGGTCGGGACTCAGTGCTGGCCAAGGTAATGTGGTGATGTTCTGTTGTTGGAGGTAACCTGTAACGATCCTGGCCCTGTGACATCTTGCGTTGTCATCCTGGAAGATGAAACGGCGGCCATGACGTCGTGCGAACGGCACAACATGGACTGCCAAGATGTTGTCCCAGTAGTACTGGCCTGTAACACGCCCTGCAACAACATGTAAAGCCGTTCTTCCAGCAACAGTGATGCCTCCCCACACCATAACAGAACCACCCCCAAATCGATCATGTCTGATGACGTTAACGTCTTGGAAGCGCTCGTTTCGACGACGCCACACCCTCCTACGTCTGTCCAAAAAATCAACAGTGAACCTTGACTCATCTGAAAACATCACATTGCTCCAGCGTCGATTATCCCAGTGTTGACGATCCCTACACCAACGACGTCTTGCCTGAATGTGATGATCTCTCAAACAAGGGATCACGCGAGGACGTCTGGCGCGAAGGTGACCCCTATGCAGTCGATTCCAAATCGTCTGGCCACTCACTCTCACACCAGTGTCTGTTTGAAGACGAGCGCTGATCTGATTTGCTGTGATGACACGATTTCTCAAGGCCAAGGTACGGATAAATCGATCCTGGGCTTGAGTTGTCGCCCTTGGTCGACCTGAGCGTGGTCTGTCCTGTACATATTGTGTATCACGGTATCTGGACCATAGCCTGCTTATGACAGACTGAGAAACATTCATCGTCCGCGCCACAACCGTCTGTGTTGTGCCGATCTGTAGCATGCCAAGGGCACGTAACCTTTCATTTTGGGTAAGCCGACGCACATCAAAATTTGTTTTCTGGTCACTAAAACAATTAAACTGATGTTTCCACCCTGGAATTCAATGCCACAATGACTGTAACATTCAAAGTCAGAGTTGTGCAAATCTTGGGTTGGACCCCCATGATGATCCCAAGCATCACATGTATTCCATGCGGTAGCTATTGGTGCGTTTGGGCGTCACATGTAACTGGAAATGTTTCTTCTGTTAGGTTCTATAGTGACTTTTTTCGTAGTCATTTGCATATTTTAGTATTATGCCCCTAAAATCAAATATCCCCTACTTTTTTTGAATAGTATATTTCAATCCGAACTGAAAAATATGGAGACCAGACATGAAGAAGAACCCTATTGAAATACAGAAATCTGAACCTATTTATTGTGGAGTTATTGTAGACCAGAGGCTCAGTGTGGATGGGGGGGGGCGTTTTGGGGGTCAAAGGTTAAATGAGGTCATTTGCACTGAAAGTGAATACGCAGCCATTCTTGTATCATGAAAACATGCTGAAAATGAGCTAAAGTAATCACTCTTTCAATAAAAATGTAAACTTGCTAAATTCACCGTTTTTTCTTTGTGACCAGGGAGGTCAAAAGGTCAAGTTTTCGTTTTTGCACTAGGAAGATTTAAAGCAATAAAATATCAGCATAAAATATAAAAAATAAAGCGAAACCTGTGCTAATTAATAATGTCGAAATTTAAAGTCATGCATTAATTTTATGTGGAATTATAAACCTCTCACTGAAACCTTGCAAACACTTTAGTCCCTTGAATCCCATCATACTGCATCTTCAATAGAAGGCTTGATCTCGCCTTAACTATGGCTAGACGTTGTAAAACTTGCGGTCGTTGCTTCAGGAACATGATCATACTGAGACATTTTTGGTTCCAATCACCAAGCTGCTAGTGGGAACCTGGGTATATATTTATTGGTATGATTGTGATATGAAACAAATCATGAGGATAACAACGAAATTTGAAATGGTTTGTTTGTTTTTTGCAGATAACAAATCTAGAAGGTAAAATGAATATGAACAATATGACAACAGTTCAACAGTTAGCTATACCTCAGATATTACAAGGAAAAGATGCTCTAGTTAAATCACAAACTGGTTCAGGTACGTGTAGTTACACCACCATTTAACTCATCTCCACTTAGATATACTTCTTTAATCAACAATTAACAATTAACTCTTGGTGGTTGATGTTGTTGTTCTTAGTGTTTAACGTCCGCTTCCGCCGAAGGTGATATCACAGACAGGTTGTCTTTTTTTTTATTTTCATTATCTTAGCGCACGCGCAGGGGTCTTTCCTATGAGAGGAAACCAGAGTATGATGAGAAGGCACCCCTATCTCCAAGCCACATACGCTCACACTATGGCTCGAAACCACAACCGCAAGCCAGAGGTGACCGGCCAGGTAGAGTACAAAGCGTGACACTCTAGACCACATACGCTCACACTATGGCTCGAAACCACAACCGCAAGCCAGAGGTGACTGGCCAGGTAGAATTCGAAGCGTGACACTCTAGACCACTAGGCCATCCCAACCCCCCTGGTGTTTGATGAGAAAATAGATTGATTTATGATGTGATGATTCGACAGTGGGCAGTTCATTGTTTTATCAATTGGCTTTTTCAAACATCAAATGGCAGCAACTGACTATCCACAGTGTGAAACATCTCAACCCTATGAAATTCACACAAATTTCAAGGGCAGCGTATTGATGGCGAAATTTAGATATGGAGAATTTCAACTTAGTTGGGAAAATTATTGATTAAGGTAGCTGTTGTCTTCCTCTTATTCAGATAATATAATTTTTGCATGTCAATATTTCAGGAAAAACATTAGCTTATGCCGTTCCTATTGTACAAAAATTATCTGGTATCACTCCAAAGATTGATCGATCACATGGTCCTTATGCTATAGTTGTTGTTCCAACTCGAGAGGTAGGTACAGCAGATTTATAAAAATGTAAAGAAAAGTTTATTTCAAGAATGATTCTTTTTGTGAAAATCCTGTTATATTAAGTTGTCCAAATACTCTGCCAAATACTAAAACTTTCTTTGTACTGACCCGGAACACATATTAAAATTTAAATTATTTCTTTTGTATTTTTAGTTAGCAACACAGAGTTATCAAGTTTTTATGAAGATATGTAAGGTGAGTTTGTTCTTGAGTTGACTTTAAACTCAAAATAATATTAGCTGGAATCATGTTTTGATGGAATTACCTTCCACCATTTGCATTAAGATAGATATTGTTTTATATATTTACAGCCATTTGTTTACATAGTGCCAGGTTGTTTAATGGGAGGAGAAAAAAGAAAAGCTGAAAAAGCAAGGTAAAAATTACATGTATGTTAATGTCTCTGAGAATATGGAGATTTGTTAAACTAAATGTAGAGAAGTAAGAAAATCCATCATTAAGGGAAATCATGCAAAAATAAAAAAAGTTGTAATGTATTTGTTGATCTATGTTATTATAAACAATTATATCTGTACCTGTATTTGTTGATGATTACATATTTTAATCAGCTTTGTGTTTATAATGTTGTACATTTGATATATTTGATTATCATTTGCCGTGTAGGTAAAAGATCCCTTGACAGTTGGAATTTGATATAAGAGCAGGCCATAGTGCCGCTGCCGGGCAAAATTCCCCTCATAGCACACTGTATGGCATATGTCCATCTTCATTAGCCAAGTTTAGGAGCAGAACAGTAGGATGTTAAACCTCATTTCTTTACATTTCTGTCATGGAGTAAACATATTTAAAATGTTATTATTTATTTATTTATTGTACAGAATAAGAAAAGGTATAAATATATTAGTTGGTACACCTGGTAGATTAGTTGATCATTTAAAGAATACACATGGTTTAGTATTACAACATGTACAGTATCTAGTGTTAGATGAAGCTGATAGGTAAGTTGTAGAATTTTGATACGAAAATTTCATGGTCAATCTCATATTTCTTCCATTATCCTTGGATACTGTCATCTTGTATGAGTCAAGGCTCTACAATCCGACTGAAACACTCGCATTTGCGAGTGAATTTTCACAATGGCGACCAGATATTTATAAATGCTAGGTTTCTGGCGAGTGAACATATATCTTTAAGTCCCCAATTAACACTATAGCTATCTGAACTTTTCTCCATAAAGATAACGTAATTGGCAATGATCCCGGTCGACTGTCACTCTTGTTTCTTTCATGGTTTGAAATTGGGTCAACATCATTGTCCTCTGCGAGGAAATTCTCATTGCGCATGCGCTGTATTTATCGGAAGTTTATGAGACAGCTGACAGCATGGCTAGCAGATGAATCAAACCTATATCGTCTTACTTTACTAGTATAGTAACTTCGGCTCGCAGTGAGTCTCAGTTGGGGAAAAATGATGATAGTCATGCTACTGACGCTACACCACCCAAACAAGCAAAATTACAAGCTTCGCCGTCTTCGTCTCACAGTGAGTCCCAGTCGGAAAAAAATGTTTAAAACATCTTTTATTATTATTATAGGACGACAAGTTGAAGAGTTATGTATGTTCACAATATAATTTAGCTATATCATACGACAAATTATTCTTATCTTCAGACTTAGCAACTGAAAAATTTGTTTGGCTAGTGGTTTTGAAAATTTACTTATGTTTGCACAAGTAACTTCAAAATGCTGTGTAGAGCCTTGTGAGTATGGTTGGTTTGACCTGTTGCTAAGTTCCTCAGAAATTTTCTTGATTGGTTTCCCCATTTCACTGGTGCATGATGGAAATATAGCATGGAAAAACATCTAGTCATTCAGTTTGGCCAAGAATAAAAAAAAACAGCTTGATATGTGTAATTGTCAAGAAGAATCGCAAGTACTCCAAAACGTTGTCATGAAAATTATCGCCAAAATCAAATTTTAGCCTCCACTTTCATTTTTTTTAAACGCAATTTGCGACTTTGGCAGCTGACAGCATGAGTCCTGTCTGGATAGTGACAACCATTATGGAATGACTTACTAATTATGGTATAGTGAAAGTATTTTTTTCTTAGTTTTGGTTGTAACGATTATTGAACTATTTATATTGTAGGTTATTGGATATGGGATATGAAAAAGATGTTGCTGAGATTATAAATTGTCTGGAGCACAACGCTTCTAAACAAACAAGACAAACTATATTATTATCAGCAACACTGACTGAAGGTTTGTATGGTTTTGGATATAAAAATAAATTTGTCTGTTACAGTAGTATTTAATACTCACAAATATCTTGTTTAAAATCTCTCACGGAAACCAAACGATTGAAATTTAAAGTCTAATAATTTCTATTACACATACATTAGTTCTACTCTCAAATATTAAAATCTGATAGAATTATCAACATATAACATAACTATTTAGTATTTATCTTTGTTGTATGGATTTATAATCAAAATTTAGTTGTCTAATCCCATTTTAAAAAGCCAAGTGTCAACAATTGTTTTATTCAAATATTTAAGAGATAACGTTTCTGCTACAGGATTTGAGAGTTATGTATCTAAAATACCACTATTTTTTAACAGGCGTAGAGAGATTAGCCGGAATCACCATGTATAACCCAGCTCGGGTTTCGGTAGCTAATGAGGAAAGTGAAAGTAGAATACCTGTAATAAAGGAAATCAAAGAACAATCTGAAAAACATTCAAGTCAGTCTGTAAATAAAGAAGAACATTTTGCTGTGCCACAAGCTTTAAAACAACATTTTGTGATTACACCTTGTAAATTACGACTTGTGACACTTGTAGCTTTTCTTTTAACAAAATGCAGAGTAAGTACCATATGCGTTACCTGTGGCTTATTTTATATCTCACCTATAGGTGGACACTGCTACATTTCGGATGCAAACCTGGTCTGTTCACATTGTTCACATTTCAAAACCTGCCTCAAAATCCATCCCATTACAAGTGTATTTGAGTAACTATTAATTTTAACACCTTTTGTCTAATATCTGACAAATGTTTAGAATTCTAAAGAAATATGTAGAGGTGATCTGATCTATAATAGGCATACTTATATTTTGGATGGGAGCCACAGTTGCTTAGTAAGTAAGAAGTTGGCTCACTAAATTACCAAAATATATTGGGATTTTCTGCCATGGTTCACCCTTGTTAGTGATGTAGGACAATGTATAGTTGTTCGGATGGGACAGAAAACATTGGCATGCATATAAAATAACCCTTGACAGCTGCAATTCAAAACGAGAGTAGGCCATAGCCCTGCTGTCCAAGTAAAATTTCCCTCATAGCACATTTTCATTCGTCTAGTCGAGTCGGAGCAGAAAAGTAGTAGTTCAACCCATTTCATTTTATATTGTGGATACAATATTTTAATGTGTATGTATTCAACTGAAAAATACTGAAGTCTTCCGGTTTATGTTTTCTTCATTTTGTCAAAATGATTAATTTTAAAACTTGTAAGTGACTGGGAAAAGATTTTCTAAAAGGAAAAGAGATATTTCGATGTATGTGACTGACTCTGGCTAAATGAGTTAAGAAATAGATTCTTAATTGCATACACATTAAGTTTAATTTTATATGAAATTTCTTTCTAATAGTTTAGTAAAAAGAAGAATAAAATTATAGTGTTTTTATCAACTCAAGACTCTGTCGAATTTCATCATAAATTATTGAACAATATATTCTGTGCTAAGAAGAAAAATACAAAAGTTTTAAAAGAGAAAAGTGAATCACTTGAATCTGGTTCTGAATCCGAAGAGGAAGAATATCATGTTACAGAATTATCATTTGATTTATTTAAATTACATGGTGATATGTTACAAAAGGTGAGTTATGGAAATTGAACCATAAATTTTCAAGTATCCAGTACACTGTTCAGATAACAAAATCTTGTATAGATCTTGTATTGCTCAGCATTCAAATTTGTATAATTTGCCTGTTAAACCAGGCAACAGACAGACCATTTCTTTTTGTAGTACAGGATCCGTTTTAACGCGTTTTACCATCCCCTGAATATTATTAGTTCAGAAGTTGGGGACATTGCCTCAAAAGACCTAAATGTATATGCGTTCAGTATTAAAAAGAAATAAAATAAACAAGATGGGGTTGAAAGTCCCACTTTTCTACACCGGAATATTAAAAAGGAGGTAAAGTGTTGGGTTTTTTTGCCGTCTTCATTAGCCCAGGCAGATGGTGAAGAAAAATGGAATGTTAAACTCAAATTCATTTCATGTTTTTTTGTATAGTTACCTATGTATATTTAATTTCTAAGAAAGCTTGTTTTGGCTTTTTTAAATTCAGGTTGCAGTTGTAAAATTTTGTTTTAATTTCAGGAACGAACACAAGTTTTTGAAAAATTCAGATCGATGGACTGTGGTGTTTTACTATGTACAGTAAGTCAGTTTCTTATCTATAAATGAAATGAAATGGGGTTTTAACACCCTACTGTTTTGCTCTGACTGGGCTAATGAAGACAGGCATACATCATACTGTGTGCTATGAGTGAAATTTTGTCAGAACAGGGATCAAATACATGAGACCTCCAGGTTAGCGAGCCAACGTCTTACCCACTGAGCCACCATTATTATCTATAAACAATTTATGATGTTAACAATAGCTATAAGAAGAATTTTATATCCTTTAATTCACATCATTACCCAGTTGCCAAAAAAGCAATCTGATTATAATACAGATCCTATTTCGTTTCAATTTCTTTAGTTCAAAATTTTGTTTTACTTGTGCAGGCCATCGAAAGTATTAAAAAACGAAACGAAATATAGATCTGTATTTTAAACAGATTGGCAAAAAAGTTAAATTTTAAACCATGAATTGTATTTTATGGTCTTAAATTATGAGAAACTTAAAAGAGATGACGATATTTCTGTTAAAATAAAGATATTTTGTTTACAGTATTTCAGAAATTACTGTAAAGGTATATTTATGATTGTATTTTGTTATTTATCAGATGTTTATGAATTGTATAGGATGTTGCTGCTCGGGGACTTGATCTACCACAAGTCAGTTGGATTATCCAGTACACAACACCAGGTCAGACGTCAGACTATATACATAGAGTTGGTAGGACAGCTAGAGTAGGAGCCCAAGGACAGTCATTATTATTCTTAATGCCTACAGAATGTGATTATGTACAACTTCTTAATGACAAACAAATAAGGTAAAATGACCATTGAATAAAAAATCATTCCTTAAAGATGCATTGTGTAAGATTTAGATAAAGAGCTAGCCACTCTTGTTCTAATAGTTCAAAAATAGATAATCCAAAATTAATATATATATTTTAAAAATTTCATTCAAATTACTTTATTCTAATCGAACTATCGCTATTTTAAGTTTTGACAAGAGGAGGCATAGATTATTAATTATCGTAACAAGTGTATTTAAGAATTGAGGCCAAAATAAAGACCAGCAATAGGCAGATTTAGCTCTTACATAATGTATCTTTAATATATTGTAATGTTGCATACCTTGATGCCTACACTTTTAGGGGAAACAGGATACTTTCTTAAGGGTCTTACCATAGCTATCGTTTGTACTGGCTTTGTACCACACAAATCATTGCTTTGAATATAAATGAAATGTTCCCTATTTGTTCCACAAGTTTTATGGTGACAGTGTATGACAATCACCCGTAAGTTCAAGTTTAAATGTGGTTATATGATTGTCGTCACCTCAGTCTGTCGATCGCACTAGTGTCTGCATAGCGTTTATGTTCAAGAGATGCAAAAGTCTGTCAATTGCCAACAATTTCCATCAACTTTTTGTACAGTTATGGTCCTTGCCTTTTATAAATTTTGATAACACAGTGTTTCCAAGTGCAACAACCTTTGTGGACTGCTCAGACAACTTAGCTACTATGGGTGTATGTTTTGTTATCAGAAACTGGTAATGTTTCTGAATAATAACAAAAGTATAATTCCTGTTTCTGCTCTGACTTTATTTGTTTTATCTACAGTTTACAGGAAATGCCAATGATTAATATCCTAAAGAATCTGATGTCTGTGGTTAAATATTTAAAATTACCAGAAGATGCAAAAGTAAGTAGAATAAAAGAAAATCTTGCAACATTCTCATGTTGTAGACAGTGTATGTTGATATTGGTAATATTTATTTCTGAGGGTTCAGTTAATGTCTCCTTTGTAATTCAAAATATACTATTCAAAAAAAGTAGGGGATATTTGATTTTGGGGGCATAATACTAAAATATGCAAATGACTACGAAAAAAGTCACTATAGAACCTAACAGAAGAAACATTTCCAGTTACATGTGACGCCCAAACGCACCAATAGCTACCGCATGGAATGCAGGTGATGCTTGGGATCATCATGGGGGTCCAACCCAAGATTTGCACGACTCTGACTTTGAATGTTACAGTCATTGTGGCATTGAATTCCAGGGTGGAAACATCAGTTTAATTGTTTTAGTGACCAGAAAACAAATTTTGATATGCGTCGGCTTACCCAAAATGAAAGGTTACGTGCCCTTGGCATGCTACAGATCGGCACAACACAGGCGGTTGTGGCGCGGACGATGAATGTTTCTCAGTCTGTCATAAGCAGGCTATGGTCCAGATACCGTGATACACAATCTGTACAGGACAGACCACGCTCAGGTCGACCAAGGGCGACAACTCAAGCCCAGGATCGATTTATCCATACCTTGGCCTTGAGAAATCGTGTCATCACAGCAAATCAGATCAGCGCTCGTCTTCAAACAGACACTGGTGTGAGAGTGAGTGGCCAGACGATTCGGAATCGACTGCATAGGTGTCACCTTCGCGCCCGACGTCCTCGAGTGATCCCTTGTTTGAGAGATCATCACATTCAGGCAAGACGTCGTTGGTGTAGGGATCGTCAACACTGGGATAATCGACGCTGGAGCAATGTGATGTTTTCAGATGATGGACAGACGTAGGAGGGTGTGGCGTCGTCGAAACGAGCGCTTCCAAGACGTTAACGTCATCAGACATGATCGATTTGGGGGTGGTTCTGTTATGGTGTGGGGAGGCATCACTGTTGCTGGAAGAACGGCTTTACATGTTGTTGCAGGGCGTGTTACAGGCCAGTACTACCGGGACAACATCTTGGCAGTCCATGTTGTGCCGTTCACACGACGTCATGGCCGCCCGCCGTTTCACCTTCCAGGATGACAATGCAAGATGTCACAGGGCCAGGATCGTTACAGGTTACCTCCAACAACAGAACATCACCACATTACCTTGGCCAGCACTGAGTCCCGACCTCTCCCCCATCGAGCATGTCTGGGACATGCTTGGACAGAGGTTACATCAACGTCAACAACGTCCTGCCAATGTCCAAGAACTTGCTGCTGCGTTGCAACAGGAATGGGACAATCTGGAGCAAAATGACCTTAGACGTCTCATTAGGAGTATGCCACGTCGAATCAATGCTTGTTTGGCAAACAGAGGAGGATTTACCCGTTACTGACTTGGTTGTGATGCTGTGGTAACTTTGCTGTTTGACCCCGGGTATCATTTTACCCTTATAATGGTCAGTCTGTGCCTTACTTAGTCTAACGATCATTTGGAATAAATCGATGAATGTGAACTTCATTTCATTTTGTCATTTGTTTCTTCGTCAGTTTCATTAGGTGACTTTAATAACACTTAAAAATCAAATATCCCCTACTTTTTTTGACTAGTATATGTTGGATTGATAGCACATTATACTTATTAGAATTATTACATTTCATATTTCCCTAACCAAATTTTATATTTCATAAACTTTCACCAGGATTTTCCATGCAGGATTCTCAAATATTCCCCTGGAGATGTTTTACAAAAATATGATACTATCACAGTTCTGTATATGATATAATTGACTCTGGACAGTGGGTTTTGATTAACTAGTAATAAAATTGATGCATATGTGTAGTGTTAGAAACATGGGTATAGGATCACTGACTATGATATTGTTTATCATGAACTTAGAGAATTTTTTGGTTAAAATAAAGTATCCCTCTCCATTTTCAATTCAGATCTAATTTGATGAAATGTTTTTTTTCATTATTTAGAGACAAAGACCACGTACATGGGAAGAAGCAGCAACAGCAGTACACATGTTATTTGAAACTCATGTGGCTAAGCATCCATTTATGTCAGAATTAGCAAGACAAGGTAATCTCTTGTAGTATTACGATAACCAGACATGTAATTTACCTTTTAAAGATATATATTTTTAGGAAGCCGCCGTGGCTCAGTGAGTAAGGTCGCTGGGGACTAGATCGATACCCTGGAGGCCACAGTTTCTTTCCCAGTGTTGAGTGAGAAAGTTCATCAGGATTTTCCAGCATGGTGTCCCTTTGTCAGTGGTGCAATACAGAGGGTATGTCAAGAAAACAGTGTCTAGTCTTTCGAAATGGACAAAAACTGGTCCTGTCTATTCAAAGAACGTTCGACAGTTGTTGTTCAATATGAGAACAGGTAGTAGCACCGCTGTCCGGGCAAAATTTCACTCATTAGCCCAGATGAATCAGACAAATATGACCTTAAACCCCATTTCATTTAATGCTTTTAAAGATTAATTAGTACATGTAAATTTTCATGGTATTTGAAATTCTTTTTCTCTTAATTGTCTTTGTATGTTTAATTCACTCTTTCAGCTTATCAATCTTTTGTTAGAGCCTATGCCACCTATCCCAGTCATATGAAAAATATTTTCTCTATTAAGAAAATTCATCTTGGTCACCTGGCAAAAAGTTTTGCCCTACAAGATGCCCCTGGTAAAATAGGAGTAGTTCAGTCCAAGAAATTCCAGGCTGAGAAAGCTCAGGAAAAGAAAGAGTAAGTGTCCCATATTCATCTTATTTATTTACTAACTCAGCAGAGCAGCAGGACATTAAAACACCATTTTATTTAATTATTCACTAATACACAGGTGTGGCTCCAAAGCCTATAAATGGAAAAAATTGACCCCTAATAGAAAGCAGGAAATCCATTACTGAAACAGTAGTGATTTTAAAGTTAAATGACCTAGTATGTCCACAATTATTTGGTAACATATAATTAACAGAACACAATTTTTATGGGAAACAATCACTGGTTTTATTCTAAAAGCACGACGTTTCGACAAGTATCCTCTTGTCAAAACGTCGTGCTTTTTGAATAAAACCAGTGATTGTTTCCCATAAAAATTGTGTTGTGTTATTGTGTTCCCCAATCACTAAATGCCACTTAAAGATAACATATAATTAACATTCTCTTTAATTTTTCAGTTTTCCAAAGAAAAAGTTTAGATCCAACGTATCTGAATTTTCTAGTGGATTTGGGTCACATCTTGGAGTAACACCCCGACACAGAAACCTTCAGAAGAAAATAGTTCAAAACCAACATATGAAAGAAAGAAAGAAAGCCAGAAAGCTAGCCAATAAAACTGCCAAAAATAATAAATAATACTTTTTGATACTTGTTTGAGTTTATTGCACTAAAGATTGAGTTGGAGTTTGATAGGATACTGTATACCTATATAAATTGAATTCAAATTTTGTATACGATTTAACCGATATAACCGTTGGTGGAAGTGGACTTTAAGCCTGACATCAAGTAACATTGAGGTTGACGTACAGGCCATACTGCTCGTACTTTATCGCATGTTATACTTTAGATGTTATCAAAATTCCTGTCTTCATTAGCAGAACAGTAGGATGTTAAACCCCATTTCATTTGATCAATTTCTCAGTTTTAACACTTTATTTGTGAAGATCTGTGTCTACACAATGTAAACTGTGAAGTGAGTAACAAAGAATCGGTACAGGTGGGAGTAAACTAGTCTGTTATCTTATCAAAAACATTTTCTTCTACCAAACAGGTACAGCTTCAGAGATCCAAGTACGAAATATTAACATCATTTAGGTATGGGCAGAGTCTTAAAAAAATAAAAATATTGTAAACACTACAGGCCTCAACTTTATACCTGTTCAGATTGTGTTCAAATGAAGTTGCTTGCCCATGTAGGATGCTGGGAAAAGGCACCATGAAGGGGCAAATTTATGTACTATTAAAACATCCTCTTCAGAATGCTGAATATGTATTCCTTTGGTGGAAATCATTCTAGACAATCAAGATAAAAGTTTATTAAACAGGCACCACATTCTTATTTATTTTTTCTATCCTGCAAAACAATGATTTTTTGCACGGATTGGGTCGAAACATCTGTTATTTCCAACAATGAGATGTATTTTAAGGCAAGGACGTCAGCCGAGTAGACAGAATCAAAAGGTAAAACGCATTACCACTGTTCGGTTAATGGTTCAAACGTCATTGTTTGTTATAAAAGTATTTATTTCAATACGAATATGTGTTGAAAATTATTCGTTTGAGACTATTTTTACTTGCGCAAAGCATCAATTAAAGGAACTAAATCGCTAGTATTTTCGACCAAGAAATTGACACAAATAGGTCACAACGCATATAATAATGTAATATGAATATATATAAACTGATTTATATTCAATCGTTTCTGTTTTTACTGTGATTTCTGATCAGTTATGAGGGGTTGGATGGCCGAAATGTTTATTTTGTTTTGATATCAGAAGCCCATCTTTTCCCGGTAAGATCATAACATCAATGTTGATTTAGATTGACCAATAAGTTGTGTTTTCAATGTCGAAGACTTTGGATGATATCGAGTTAGTGGCTTAGCTACTTTAAAGGAGGCAAGTCGCTACACGTAACTCGATATCATCCATTGCAAACACGACTTATTGGCCAATTTAAATCACGTGACAAGGAGTAGGGTCGCCTGTCCAACCTCGTGGGGTTTCTCCGGGTCCTCCGGTTTCCTCCCACTGCTAAAGACCCCTACGCGCAAGCGAATTAGTGAAATAAAATTAAACCATATGTTAGTCCCGAAATGACCGAGTTGTGTCGAGTGGACGTTAAACCCCATTTCTTTCTCTCTCTCTCTCTCCAATTTAAATCAACATTGATTTTGTTATCTTACCGTTAAAAGACTAGATGGGCTTCTGATATCCAATATGTAAGACAAAATGAAAATTTTAAATTGCCAGAATAATTTCGAGCGCCATTTATAACGAAGCGACTCGATGAAGGAAGTTAAACATAGCCGACAGGTAGCATGTTAAACCCCATTTCATTTCATTTTTTGGTTAGTTAAAAAGATCTCGCGCCGATAAACCGGAATACTACCATTCGCGCCTGTCTGTAAAGGGCACATACCTCTCGACTTTTCAAGGTTCGAATTCCGACGTTGGCCTAGAAGGATCTCGGGACTTTTTAATCCCACTTTACAGGATGACACGTTCAGTGCTCATCAGTAGAGTATTGCCAAGTTATTCGGATAGGTATAAAAACCGAGGTTCACCCGTGTACACGTGGAACGAACCCAAGGTAATTAGTTTTCCTGACAAAAATTATCTTTACATACCTAGAGGTTCACACGTTTATACCATAGAAATAATCGAATATTTGTTTCGAAGAATAATAATTGTGTCCAACCTTAATTTACTTCACACTTGTTTGAACAAAAGCAAACGTTATTAAGAGCCTTTCGATGACTATTGCCAGTATTTTCCCCATTGCTTCATAAACAAATGTGACCCGTTTTGGCAAAATGAGTCGGAATGCGCAAAATCTAATTATGAGCTACAAACAAAATAAGTGAAAATATTGATTTTGATCGAAATTGAGATTTTCACAAAAATGAGACTATAAATATACTATCTATCGACACAAAAGATCAAAACATCAATAAAAGATTATAAAACATCTTTATTTGGACGTTTCGTCTTTATGAAAATAATTTATAGGCCTTAAATGGAAATAAACAAAATAGCCAATAATTTTCTTTTCGAAGAGCTTTTTATTGATAATTGAATTCCGTTTACTGTCGCTTCATACGGCATGCAAAGTAAAGAATGGATATTGTATATTATTGTTTAAAGTTATATTATCCCCATGGGTCGAAAAAATGAAAAAGACCAACGCGGCGATTCTCGAGTGGGAAAACAGGCTGCCATTGTTTAATTACAAAAACGTCAAAATGCACGAAAGTGAACGTAAACATTTCTTGCCAATGAAATTGAATTTTTTATCATTCTATTAGAGACTCATATTTTGATACCGTTACGGTATGTGAATATGCTGCATGTGTAATCGATGTTTTGTTACGAAAAGGTTGCATTTACTACGATTTTCGTCTTCACCACCTTTGAAGTCCTAAAGAAAAAATATTAAATATTAAACGATAATATAGCATATAAAAGGCGGAATTGTCGGGTCAAATTTTTACTACGATTTTCGTCTTTAGCTCCCCTGAAAACCCCTGGAAAGAAATATTCAACGACAAAACATCAAATAATTGGCCTATGGTTGCTATGGGATTTTGTTTTGGAACGTACCAAATCTTTGACTTGATAGATTCAAATGGACACAGCTCAGTCAATTTTTGCCCGAAAATTTCCTAATTGCGACTCATTGTGCCAACACGGGTCACAAATATTTGTGGACAGAATCAGCATAATTATTGTCAGCAGATATGAAGAGGTTTTTGGTGTGATCTATTATATTTTTGGTGATTATTGGAGAAGTTAATCAATATCCTTTAAAAGCTATTTTACCGTATTTCTAATTGAAGACTTAATTTACTGATTACAACAATAATTTGACCAATATTATTTACAGCTGTTAACCCCGATCATAAATTAACTTTCAATCCATATTCGGTCACTGGTGTGTCAAACAAAATAACTCAGGTAGAATTAAAATATGTTAAAATTAGTAACACATGGTCTAATTTTCACACATCGATGTCAACAGTTACATTGAACGTTTGAAATAACAAACGTTTTATTTAATTTAAATAATGAGATTATATCAAAAGTAACAGATGACATGGACCCGTTCCGCACATAAATCATTTTTCTTTATTATTTCCTGGTATAAAAAGTTGGGACACCTTAATATTAAAGACTTCATTCTAAGATTTGTAGTGGGTGTTATTGCTGATAAATATCTACCAGGTACAGACTTTTTACATTATTTTAATACTTAACGCATTATAATATAGATCTTGGCCCTTCAGAAATTGTGTTTGAAGTTGACTAATCCACTGTACAAAACTTTAGAGGTAAAACATATCCAACCCTTATTCTAAAAGACAACTGTAGTGCACAAAAGTTTGTTCGACTCCGTCCACTCATAGGCGTCCTAACACTCGGGCAATCTGACTTTTCGGCAGACTGGCAAAGCGTAACGAAATTAATAGTTTGTATATAATATAGTGCCCGAAATCTAATAAATTTACTTTTCTTTTAATCGAATACCGCGTTTATACACTGAACTGACTCAGATTAAAACATTTTTGTCTAAAGCGACTCAGTAGTGGTAGTACCTTGGTTCTTTAACGTCCGCTGCCTATAAGTGATATCGCAGACAAGACCTAGGGCAACCGAAGTTTATTTCTGTATATTTAGAATATGATTTTGCAATCTTTCCAACTTGCGATCTTTAGCCGTGGATTGGTTTAATGGGAAGTTCTTCCCTTATCGTTTAGTAGTGGATCAATAGAAGGCCATTCAGCTTTTGTGCGACATATTATCACTCATCGATTATTATTTCTAAATGTAGCTGCAACAGTTTGATTGGTTGATTGGAATTAAGGTTGGTATAGACTTCAATTCAATTCTTTATTTCTTTAAGGCTACTGATTCATCAGATAACACATATACAAACATTATAATTGCATACAAACGATATATACATGACAAGTAAATACAAATATTAGAATTACATACACACAAACAATATATACATGACAATTAAATACAAACAGACAACAAACAAAATGTATGGGGGTGGGGTGTAAATAAATTGTGTTAAATTGCTAGCCTATAGGAAATAGGATACAAAAATTTAAACATGACGGAAAGAATCAGTAAATATTATAAACTTCATAAAATCATCCGTTAATTTGTTTTTCTTTCCGATCTTCTAACATGCCTTTAAAACGAGGAAAATAAACTAGATTTTTACTATATAGTAATGACCATGTAACAGTCAATTTAAAGGATGGTTACATTCTAGTTAGGTCAGGTAATGTGGCAAATTTAAGTGGTTCTTTTCTTATCTGCGGAAATGATTTCGGTTGCAAAACCATTGGACCATAGAAGCTGCTCAACTCATGGGACAGAATATCAGAAAAACGCATTTAGTGCGATTAAATTTACCTACATGCGTGGCACTTTGAGCCTTTGTCGCTCACGGACCACCCTCCTCGCAGACCGAGACTCGAAATGAGAATTTTTGGGGGCATTTCATTTATGTCCCTCTCTTACAAATTCGGTTGCAAGCCGACACCAATAAGGCGATATTAGAAAACTTTCAAGTTACTTAAGTCGTGAAAACGCAATTGCGGCAGTCCAATTTTCCAAATCTTCAGGGCAGACGCCCCTACTTTCCAAACTGTAAGCTCAGCGCCTTTAGCATTTTTGGGCATTTCAGTTCTGCCCCTATGCGTCCACTAACGGCTGAACCTCAGTCGATACTGTGTTCTCATAGGACCGGTAGCCTTAAATCAGATTACGAATATTAATTAAAATTTTCTTAAAATATTAATTTAAAATAATCAAAATATTACTTAAAATTTTCTTAAAATATTACTTAAAATTTTCTTAAAATATTACTTAAAATTAATTAAAATATTACTTAAAATTTTCTTATAATATTACTTAAAATTTTCTTATAATATTACTTAAAATTTTCTTAAAATATTACTTAAAATTTTCTTAAAATATTAATTAAAATATTAATTAAAATTTTCTTAAAATATTAATTAAAATTTGCCTAAAACTTTAATTAAAATTTGCCTAAAACTTTAATTAAAATTTGCCTAAAACTTTAATTAAAATTTGCCTAAAATATTAATTTAAATTCTAATTACAGGATGAAGACTTGTATTGCAATGGGTGTATTTTTGTTGTTAACTGTGACTTCTCAGATTGAATCATTTTGTTATGTGAAACCTCTTGTTCTTCCTGGTAAGTATCATCAGTTTTACACGTTATTATCATTTTAATCTGCCGAGACAGTTCGGCCAGATTTTCCGGCGTGGTTTCCCCCTTATCAGTGATGCAGGACGAAGGGCCTGACAAGGACAACTATCTAGCGTTCGGATGGGACGAAAAACCGAGGTCCCGTGTACACATTGGCGTGCACGTAAAAGATCCCTTGACAGTTGGAATTCGATATAAGAGTAGGCCGTAGTGTCGCTGTCGGGACAAAATTTCCCTCATAGCACACTATATGGCGTATGCCCGTCTTCATTAGCCCAGTCGGAGCAAAATAGTAGAACGTTAAACCCGATTTCATTTCATTTTAATCTGAATCTCACCGGAACTCTTACTACACGCCAACTTCCGACTATTTCTCTAATCCAATTGCAAATATACTTTTTTTGTGGACATCTAAGTTTTATATATTATATATTTCTACGAATTTGTCCATAGCAGACCCTATTTTAACATGCCTTGGGGCAAACCGTGGTCTTATGAGCGAAAACCGTGCTTTGAATAATAAACAGATGGGCTCACAGAAAGTTTCAATTTGGGCAGAAATTATTATTCAGTTGCATCGGCCATCACTATGAATTTCATGCACAGTAGGTTGTCAGTTTCTGTGTTTTGCGCTAGAGACCATGTCTTTTTTTTTTTTTTTTTTTTAAAATGCACCCCACCCATCGTAGAATTAATGTTGCCAGAGGGACGTGCTTCGAGAATATTTCCTCTAAATAGGCCCTGGTCCATAGGGTATCGAGTTTTTCGTTCAATTTAATTTCAAACCTGGAATTATCCCGTCTCTGTAAGATTCGTGATTCTTATAATCATGGTGTCAGGTTTGTTCTGGTTTCTTTTTCAGTTCCATACTGCGAAGGGCCACATGGCGACGTACAAGTAGGAGAATCCTATCGACACAACTGCGTCGACTGTGAGTGCACAGGACACGGGCTGAGTTGCTGTGGGTTAGTATATTCTTTGTTTCAAGACATTCGACAGGTCACACGTTTTATTTCCTGAAGATCCCACGAGAGAGAGAGAGAGAGAGAGATAGAGAGGGGGGTATTGTGGTTTACTGATTTCAATAGTTCGCTTTTACGTAAGGGGTACTCCTTGTGTTGTCACGTACGAGCAGTGGTTGCCAGGCAAGATACGCCCACATTTGCAAGAGATGGATAGAGTACAAGCTAAAAACAAAAGCAATTTTTCGTATAATCAGGGGCCATAATCCAGAAAGTTATGGTCTGAAATGCGCAAATATCGAAAGGGCCCCAGGTCTTTGGGATATAAAGATATATTTTAAGTTTCATCAAAATCGGTTAAAAATTGTGACCTCTAGACGGTCCACGACCTTCGTATTACATACTTCTACACACTTTGCGTACAAAGAGCGGCTATTTTGTCGGGCAGTTCGTTTGGATTTTCCCCTTCATTATGGTGGAATAGTGATACATATATATTTAAACGGTTTTTAAAATCGGATAAAAAACATTGTGACCTCTAGAGAATCCACAAACTAAAAATTACGATTTTTCGTACAATCAGGGGTCGTAATCCAAGAAGTTACGATCTGATATGCGCAATAAACATGCATTTCAAGTTTTATCAAATTCAGATGAAAATTTGACCTCAGAGTGTCCACAAGCTAAACACGTGATTTTCGTAAAGTTCAGAGACCATAATCCATTAAGTTATGCTCCTATACATGCCAGTAGCGAAAGGAAGAACCGAGTTTTTTGAGATAAAATCGGATAAAAATTGTGATCTGTAGAGTGTCCACAAATAAAATGCGGAAGGACGGACGTCTGGACGGATAGGAGCGATGACAATATACGTCCACATGTGGGCATATAAAAACTGTAAAATGCGATAGAGACTATAGTTTCAAAATTTGGTGTGAAACATTGAGTTCACTTGTGATCGAACATTACCTATATTCAGCGTTATGAAATTGCAAAAAAAACATTACTCCAAGACCTCTTTTGAACGTGATAGTGTCGGAAAGCGTCTACAGTTTTTTTGGGAGGTTTTACGTAAATGTTTCTGTTAAACTCGATGTGACGCATTGGGACAATGAGAGGATGGGCCCTACCGATTTCTTGCAATATTAGGGCGTACCTTGCATGGCAACCGCTTATTTACAAACCCAAGGGGGCAATTTTTCGGCCATTACTTACTAAAAAGATGCCCTAGTGTTGCGGTCACCAATATTTTGCAGCGCAATCGAGATCAGTTTCATTTTAAGCATTTCTGTTTTGAAATCATTATCGAGTCTTTTGAAGAACTTTGTTATCCATGCCCCCATTAGTTCACATCTCGAACTTTTGTACAAGACCCTCTGCGCATGTCGGTCCCGAAATGACCTAGCTTGTGTTGATTGCATATTATCCCCACACACCTTATATGTCCCTTTGTTAATTAGCGTTAACAATACGAGAACGGCGTATATGGTTTAAGCAGTATTTTATTCAAGAGAAGATTAGTATATTGATTATTTTTAAAAACATAAGTGAATAGGAAGGATGCAGTAATTAACAAAAATGCTTACATAAAGCTGTTTCTATAATTATGATCTTGTAACATATTATAGCAGATCATGACGCATGCTGGCATTACACAATGATTTCTCTGAGTTACATTCCTGATTGTTTTCAAATTTCAGTGACCTCACTACAGACCCGGGACTGTACAGCGCACTGGACATTTCCGGCTAGCCCCCGGATCCATTCACCTATTTTGAATTGTTCGTTTGTTTGTGATTTCTGCGTGTTGTATCTTGTCTGTAAATTTGTGTTTGTGTAAATTATGTGTGGTGCAGTCCCCCTGCACTTTCTAATTAATATATATATATATATATATCACGACTGAGAAAGATATGTATCTGTAAAATACTGTGTGATTTAAACTAAAGGTATGGATAAAATATGTAAATTCAAAGCTGGAAGCAGGGAAGACGAAAATGATTATTTCGATAACTGTAATATGATCATATCATTTCCTGGTCCCAACTTTTAATTAACCCATGTCCGTCTCAGTTTAAAGATATATTATGGGAGATTCGATAACAAGTTGGCAGTTCTCACTATAATAGTTAAAAACTAGATAATGTAAAGGCAATTTGCTGAAAATTTCATTCAAATTGATCCACTATGAACCGAGAACTAAGCAACTGAAATTTCCGCCTAGCCTCGATCACCATTACTAAAGTCAGTACGATAAACAGCATAGTCTCGATTATTCATTTAATCGTTAAATCGTGAAGGAAAATTATGCAGTAAATCGGCTCATAATCCACTAAAAATGGCAGGCTAGCGATGCCATCTAGAGTTGATTATGGTCTGGATAGGTTAATTAATGTATAATAATCTAGATAACATTTCAGGCCTAAAGAAAGACCGGCAATAGACAGATTTAGCTCTTGCATAATGTATGTTTAATATATTGGCATATTTGAAGCCTTATTAAACATACATTATGCAAGAACTAAATCTGCCTATCGCAGGTCTTTCTTTAGGCCTGAAATGTTATATAAAACATTAATTAGACATTTATTAACAAAACAAGACCATAAACGACTCCCGATGGCATCGGATACTCGAGATTTTAACTAGATTAAAACGGTTCGCCATTTAAAAATTTAATTTAAAAATGGGAAAACGAGGCAAAGTCCCGATTATACCAGTACCCTGTTACCACTGCGCACACTGTCAAAACTACATACAATGATAACTTGGCTGAGAATGAAGTAATTTGAATGAAATTTTCAATATTTTCTCTTTTTTTTATCATCTATTTTTGAATTATTAGAGCAAGAATGACCAACTCTTTATTAAACTCTTAACTAGTGTATCTTTAATAATTAAAATACACATTTATCATTGATTTGTTATAATAGTAATTCTATATCCATGTAAATGTAGATTGACTTATCATTTAATACACTTGGTTAATTCACGAAATTTTAAAAAAACCTCGTATGTATTGTATATGAGTCTGCATTAGCGGTGTGTGTGGGTGGGTGTTTGGGGGGGGGGGGGTAGACGACGCAAGGTGTCATTAGTTTTTGACCCAGTTTACTGTAACCACTAGTCTTATCCATTCTCTCAAAAATTTTAGGATTTCACAAAGGTAACAAATTTATTTTTTGCTTTTGTACAGGGATGTTTTGCTCTGCTGTTATTTGCAGGTGCCATGTGTTTAGCTGTTAGATAATCGGTTTTTGTTTGTATTATTTCAGGGTTGGATACAACGCTGGTGTATTTTCTATTGAAGAATGCGAGGTAAAGAGATTAGACAAGTGCTGCTTTCAGTTTGTACAGAAAAACGACTCAAGCATCAACTGTACAAAACCAAGTTGCCCCAAACCGCACGAAAATGAAATATCAACAATTGCTACTACGAATTAGTTTTCTTGAGTTTTAACCACTATTATCATCATTAGGTCTGACTAATATTAAACACTCCTATCATGGTTTCTTTGAGTGGCTTCTCCATGTTAATTAGTCATTGTTACCTATTTGTATGTAACCTTCGGTAACGTGTTTGATTTTATTATTGCTTTATAACGGTGAGAGTACCCTCATTGAAACTTTGCAGTTATTAAACATAGTGAATGTTATCCACAGAGCCGCCGGTTATTAAAAATAAACCAGTTCATTAAAGCGTTTATATTTTAACGTTAGTTTTGCTTGTATTGATGTTTAATGAAAGTACAATAACTACAGCACCTGACATCGACTACGTTTTGCAATGACTTATTTCGGGGGCTTTGCATAAAAAATATTGTTTTGTCAATTCTTTGTCAATAGTAGCCTAAGTTCCGCGGGAATTTCAAGCCTGGTTCGCCGTTGTCGGTGATGCGGGACAGAGTTCCTGGCGTGATAGTACAAGAACCCTTGACAAATGAATTCGAAATAAGATTAGGCCGTACCACCGCCGTCCAGACGCACTTCCCCTAATAACATACATGTACTGCATGGCTTATGCCGGTATTTATTGGCCTAGTCAGTACAGAAAAGTAAGACGTTCAACCCGAATTTATTTCAATTTGGTTGGAGTGATAATGCCTCTCTCTATAAAGGTGTATGAGAAAATTCCTGGGATAACAGGTAGTAAAATCTTATTCTGTTGTATCTCGCTCGTTATATTCTCTCATTTCAAATCGCAACATGTAAAACATTTTAAAACTCTTTTGTTAACGTTTGGAAGAGCGTGACTTTACAGGGTCGGCTGAAGCAATTCTTGATTGGGGCGGGGGGGGGGGGCTACCATTCTAGGTCCTTAGGCCCAGGCCCCGGAAGCTCTCGGGGTTCTTGATCGTCGAAGACGCTTTCTGAACGATTTATGGCTATTATAAGCGTACTCAGCAATGAAGTGAAATTTTATTTATTTTCTAACTCCCTTACCATTAAAACATAATCTATGGTGGTTTAATCATGTGATGTTGAACTTGACAAATATATGCATAATAATACCAAGGTTGTGGACACTCCAGAGGTCACAATTATTATCCGATTTTGATGAAAATTACAATGTATGTTTATTACCGAAAGATCTCGGTTTCTTTCGATATTGGCGCATATAGGACCGTCACTTCCCGGATTATGGCCCCTGATCGTACGAACAATCACATTTTAGTTTGTGGACCCTGTAGAAGTAACAGTTTTCATTTGATAGTAAAAACCGTTAATTATATCATGTCACAATTTTTATCCGATATTGACGAAACTTGAAATATGGGTATATCTCCCAAAGGTCTCGGTTCCTTTCGAAACTCGCATGTATCGGACCGTAACTTCGTGGATTATGACTTCAGATTGTATGAAAATCACGTTTTTGCTGATGGACAATCTAGAGGCGACAATTTTCATCTTGATGCAACTTGAAATGTATGTTTGGTTCCTTTCCATATTCGTGCATATGGGATTGTAACTTCCTGGATTATAGCCCCTAATTCTACGAAACATCGCGTTTTTAACTTGCGGTCCCTCTAGAGGTTACTATTTTTATCCGATTTAAAAGGCGTTCAAATATATCACCGTTGCACCATAATTACGGTTGAGTTCACATTTCCTGAAAATCGGACCAAACTGCCCGACAAAATGACCGCTCCCGTAAAAACCATGTAATACCCAGGTTAGATCTAAATACTAAGGCCACCTGCAGATTTCGACAAGGTCACGAGCTGTAAACAGGGCTAGCGCCAACCCTAACCCATGATCTAGCCCTTACCCTAACCCACAATCCTCGGCAACAATCCCGTGACCTAACCCTGTTAAAATCTCGTGTCTCATGACAAAATCTGTCGGTGGCTTTAATATTTAGATCTGACCGTAATATCCAGGTTATAGACCATTCAGTGGTTCGAATTTTTTTATCTAATTTTGATGAAACTTATAATATATATTTATATCCAAAAGATCCGAGTTCCTTTCGATATTGGCGCGTATTTGACTGTAACTTTCTGGATTATGACCACCTGATTGTACAAAATATCACGTTTGTACCTTACGGGCCCTCTAGAGGTCACAATTTGTATCTTATTTTCAAAACTGTTCAAATATATCACCGTTACACCATAATTATTTCCTCAAAATCGAACCGAAACTTCCCCGTCAAATAGCCACTCCAATTTAAGAAAATAGTATAACAAAAGCATGTAATATCCAGGTTTTGGACCATCTAGAGGTCACAATTTTATCCGATTTCGATGAAACTTAAAACGAGTATCACTAGCTCTTGGGTAAGTTCAATTTCCATACGCATCTGCCCCTACCCTTTACAAAAAATGTGAAATATGAATGATGTTTGTGGACCTTTAAAGATGAAAGTTAAACTGTGTGTTATGGAGCAAAGTTACTTGGATGAGTTCGACTTTGGTAGCATCAGACCTTACATTTTATAGCTATAGCCCCTGCTTTTCACACACAATTTTGAAATACGTACGGATTTTGAGGCCCTCCAGGGGGTCTGCCATTGTTGTCCAATTCTGAGGAAACTTAAATATGTTAAGGATCAAAAGATCTTGAATGAGAGGATAAGGCCTACTGATTTTACCCCTTCCCCATCCATTTCTTGCAAAATGTGGGCATATCTTACATGGCAACCGCTTGTTTTAACTGATTATATAACTGATAGCAGTGAATTATTTGATGGATAAGGAACACATGGAAAGAGTAAAAATAAAACTATATTCCGTCGTTTTTCTAATTACCTAATTATGTCATAGATACCACGGACGTGAGATCGGCTGTTCAGTTATCTAATCGTGGGTCTCTTAACCCAGGGATCAGTATAGAGCATTGCAGGGTTGTCTTCTTCTGAAAGTCTACGTTCTAGAATTCTCACTTCTACTCACTTCTATGTTAAAAATCAAGCCTCTTTGTTTTTAATAGAATAGTTCCTTGCGTGCAATAACCTGGAGAAAAGAGTACTTGCGGCTAAATCTCCCCTACCCAGCCCCCCCCCACCCACCCACCACACTCCGCCGGGCCTGCTTTAGACGCAGATTTCAGTTTCCATGATGAGACAAGAATTTTGATTACAATAACTTTATAATATTCACCGAAGTATTAAAACAATTTATGCAATAGCTAGACCAAAAACAAAACAAAAGAAGAGATACTGAATCATGAAAAAAAACAAAATCATAAGACTACACTAAGCCACTAAATAAGTAAATTCTATCAAAAGATAAAAACATAAGATATTAGCCACCCGCAACAAATCGTCCGAGATACGAATATATTACCATGATTTAAACCACTTTGAGAAACGACAAGATACATATATATACAAATAGTTCGATTGAGGTCTTCTCTCATGACTGATTGTTCTGTTGCATGCTCATGAGTTTTAATGTTAATGAAGAGGTTGGAAGAAATGTACAAAATCTTTGAAATCTTTAAAAACCTTTGTCTGTATCACGGCAAAAAGTCACAGAAGCTTAAATTAATACACTTGTCTTTCTAATGCTGCTCGATTATTTTTTTTATTCCACGGCATTGGGCAGAATTACAAACGCAGCGATCAAAATATTTGAATTTCATTAATTTTTTTCCGTATAATAAATACAAGGATACAAAGAACAATTTGTAAAAAATAAAAAATGAAGAAGAAAATATTCTTAAGAACAATCTGTTAACATTAAAATTTGAAGAAGAAAATATTCTTAAGAATATAGCGTTTAAAGGTTAAGCAGTCATCATTAGCACGGTCGGCGCAGAACAGTAGGACGTTAAATCCCATTTCATTTCATATTGTGTAAGGCTTGGGTATTCACAAGAAAGAAAAAAGGTTCTGGTTCGTCCGTACGGACACAGGCGGACGGTCACAGATGACGAAAGAATATGAAAAACATAATTTTAAAATTCTAAGCTAACGAAAAACAAAGTAACTTATAAAACCAAAAAAACGTAGATGAAAATAAAACTATGCCAGCTACTGGTCTTATCCTGTCACTGTAAATAAACACAAAATAAATTTTATGAAATAAAAAAAAAAATTAGATAGAGCATTAATTTGTAGGATTGAATTAACATTTAGAAACAACAAACTTGAAAGTAATTTAGACTAAAAAGTCCAAAAATTCGACAAAGATCTTCCTTATCAAGTACTGAACATTCTAATTAAATATAAATAAATCATGCGAGCACATCTGCTTTGACACTTCTTTATAACATAAGGCGCAATCCATGCAAATCAAAATTAAATCGGCAAAGAACCAAGTTCAATCAATCTGATCTTCCAGATCCTAGTGTAGTAAAGACAAGTAAAACGAAATTTTGAATTATAAAAAACGAAAAGAAATAGGATCTGTCTTTTAATCCGATTGCATGTTCAATTACTATTAGACTTTTATCAAAGCAACGGACCAAACGATGATAGATGAATGATAGGTATATGCCTCGAACGTACGTTCAATTGTATATTCAAATATAGTATCCCACGTAATATTCCTTACCTGAACATTTAGAAGCATCCAGAGATCCAATGTACTCTGTTGTGAAACCAATTGGACAACCCAGACAGGACGTCCTGCCCATATATGGTTGGTACGTGCCACGATCACAGAGAATACATTCTGTCTCGTTAACTGTTGAATAATAGGTTCCTGGTGGGCATTCAACTAGAAATAAATAGTAACATGTCATAAAGATTGTATGCATACAACAGGGAGAGAGAATAAAGGCGCAGGACTTAGACCTTCATAATTCTTCATATAATTCTCCTTTGGCCGTCATTTCATTTCCTTTCTTTAGTTTTCAACCAGCGTTTGCCAGGCAAGATACGCCCACATTTTGCAAGAGATGAATAAAGAACAAGTTAAAAACAAAAGCGATTTTTCGTTCAATCAGGGGACATAATCCAGAAAGTTATGGCCTGAAGTGCGCAAATACAAATGAAATGAAATGGGGTTTAACGTCCTACTGTTCTGCTCCTATACTGGGCTAATGAAGACGGGCATACGCCATACAGTGTGCTATGAGAGAAATTTTGCCCGGACAGCGGCACCACGGCCTACACTTATATCGAATTCCAACCTTCAAGGGATCTTTTACGTGCACGACAATGTGTACTTGGGACCTCAGTTTTTCGTCCCATCCGAACGACTAGACAGTTGTTCTTGTCAGGCCCTCTGTCCTGCATCACTGACAAGGGGAACCACGCCGGTAAATCTGGAAGAACTTTCTCGGCCAATGCAGGGATCGAAGTGCGCAAATACGGAAATGGCCTGAGATCTTTGCCACAAAAACTTATATTTAAGTTTCATCAAAATGGGATCAAAATGGTGACCTCTAGAGGGTCAACAACCTTCGTATTACATATTTTTACCCAAGAGCAGCTATTTTATCGGGCAGTTTAATTTCGATTTTCCCGAAATTTGAATTAAACCTTCATTATGGCGGAATGGTGATATATCTAAACTGTTTTTAAAATAAGAAAAAGAATTGTGACATCTAGAGAATCCACAAGCTAAAAAACACGATTTTTCGTACAATCAGGGACCATAATCCAGGAAGTTACGGTCTGATATGTGCAAATAACGAAAGGAACTGAGATCTTTGGGTGTAACGGTGATAAATATTGTGACCTCTAGAGGTTCATCAAGCTAAAAATGTGATTTTTCGTACAAACAGGGGCCATAATCCAGGAAGTTACGGTATCAAAAGGTTCCACGATCTTGGAATTAAAAACATATTATTTCAAGTTTCATAAAAATCGGATAGAAATTGTGACTTCTAGAGTGTCCCCAACACTACATACTTTTACACTATTTGCGTACAAGGAGTGACCATTTTGTCAGATGTTTACGTAATTCTAACTAAACCTCCATTGATGTGTAATGATGATATATTTAAACGGTTTTTACAAATGGATACAAATTGTGACTTCTAGTAGGTCCACAAGCTAAAAATGCGATTTTTCAAACATTCAGGGGCCATAATCCAGGAAGTTACGTTCGGATATGCGCGATTATCGAAAGGAACCAAGATCTGCCTGATGTAAACATAAATTTAAAGTTTCATCAAAATCGGATAAAAATTGTGGCCTGTCCACAACCTTGATATACCATATTTTTACACTATTTGTGTAGAAAGGGCGACCATTTTGTCCGCCAGTTTTGGACCGATTTTCACGAAATTCGAAATCAACCAACATTAAGGTGTAACAGTGATATATTCTAACGTTTTTTTTTCAAATCGGATAATAATTGTGAGCTCTAGAGAGACCACAAGCTAAAAACATCATTTTTCGTACAATCACGGACCATAATTCAGGAAGTTACGATCCGATATGCGTAAATATTGACAGGAACTAAGATCTTTGGGTTATAAACATGTATATCAAGTTTCATCAAAATGAGAAAGTTGTTGATACAGAGGATGGTCTTGTATGGATAAAGGGAAAGTTTGAAACACTGGTTTACCTCTGCCTTTGGAAATATATTTCTAGCACATTCCAAAGATATTATATTTTCAACATAAATATGCACGAACAATTGATGACTTGGCGATAATACAAACATACTCACCACACGCCTGGTCTGTAACCACGGAACCCGAGGGACAGTTCAGCGTCTCGGTGGCATTGATATCACCGGAATATACAGCGCCATTCAGATTTACGTCAAATATACTAGTATTCTCTTGAAGTAAATTGGCGGTGTCATCCACAGTTTTCATAGCTGCAGCCAGACCCGCTAATATTTAATATAAAAGATAGGTTGTCAGAAAAAATAATTTCTCCAGAATTATTTGAAAAAAAAAAATCTCAAAATCCCTGATTCTGATTAAATGGTTTCGATGACACGGGTAATATATCCAATGATGTGTAACTTAATTTCAATTGGTGGTATCCTTACTACTATTCAAACAATTACAACAAGTTCATAATCAAAAAAATCATAAAAACTGTCAAAAAGTTTTCTGTCAAAGGGGCAATAACTCTGGAAGTAATTGATGGTTGATCTGATGTCCAATCAAGCTATAACAACAAATCTAAATACATAGAGCTATTACAAGTTTTCGACAGTAGGGAAAATAACTGCGAATAATTAATCCAAACCTCTGATTCTAATAGGTCTATGGGTAGATTAGAATAAGCCAAGCAATATCAAAATATCGAAATAAAAAATAAAACGCTCAAATCTGTTGGTCGAAATTCAAGGATAGAGAAAAGGGTGCAACCACAATATACGATGACTATTAAGGTATATAAAAAGAAAGATGAAATAATAATAATAATAGATATAGATGTAGTATATTGACATTCTTGTTCACCTGCTGATACACGCACATACAAATATTTACATTCATTATATATACTAATTTATCAAACAAACAAAAACCCAAACTTATTCAGTGCTATAATCTATTTAATCTGATCACAATATAACATAATTTTTATCAGTTTTATAAAAGCATCACACGTTGCAAACTCGCGATCGCCAAGAGACACCACTTTTAAGTCCCTCTGACATGTCTGACAGTAAAAAATGTCCGACTTTGAAATATATTTATCCAATCTTACCTTCAGATCGTGTTGTCGATATATTGAAAGTAACCTTTACACCATCACCACAAGCAGAAAATATCGCCAAAGACAGACAGTTTCTGTTGGCTGAACATGGTAGGATGGAGACCGTTGATCGCACCTGTTGTAACACAGCACTGTCATTAACGGAACGGCAATCAACAATGCCCCTTATTTTCAGCCATATAACTATTTCAATATACGTTGGAACAGTTTTCTCTATGATAATAATAATAAAGAGAAAAAGAAATAATTTGAGATGGAGTTTATCAATTGGATAAAAGTTTATAATAAATAAAAGTCTATACTTAATTGATATTTTTGGTTTTCGAAGGCGAGTGGCCTTGTAAATTTCGAGATTTATCTGTAAAAATAAAGGTCGTTATCCAAATCCTTTCACAAGAAGTAAAATTACCGTGTTTCAAATAATCGACTAATGAGATTTCAGTAAGCCAATTAATATTAGTGGATGGTATTAATGTTTGGGCTTAGTCGAAGGGTCGTGGTATTGGAGACATATTCTTAGATTTATCAAAATCCATTCAGGTAAAGTTATGGCTTCTCAAAGAATAGCGTGTAGTAGGTGACATAAATATTATGTTATAATAATAATGATATTTGTTCCTAGGCGAGTGACTGAAAATAAAAGATATATTTTTGACCTTTGACGAGTGACCGAAAACAAAAGATATATTTAAAGTTTTACCAAAATCTGTTTATAAGTACAATTATTGTGTTTTGCCAATAAAATACGCATATATGCTATTGATATTCGAGCTTACATTTTACCTACCATGTCTTCATCCAATATAAAACAAAATGATGGTTTCAAATGCTAAGACGTTAAGTCGCAGGAACTTACTTGAACAGGGTGCTATTTGTGTTCCAGGTGACCACTCTCCGTCACTACACTGGTAGAAAAGTGACTCATCTGTTGTATATATCATACCTATTTTACAGGTTGGGGTACAGGTAAGAGCGTCGATGGTTCCGTTACATGTAACACTGTCTACCGAGTCTGGTAGAGTAAGATCAGATTTGTGACACTCTGAAAGCGACAAATGATACATTTATGGTATATAGTATGTGACACGGAGTAGGGTCGCATTTCTAACCTTACGGGGTTTATGTGGGTTCTGGTTTTCCCACTACTAAAGAGCCTTGCGCTTGAGACAATTATTAATACACCATACGTGAGTTAAAAACAAAACCTAGTGTGTGTTGTGTGGACGTTAAACCCATTTGTTAATAATAATATGTTGGGAGAATGAAATACAATCCATTTAAATATCTTTTTGTAGAACAAGATTAAATAAGCTGTTAATTTTAGGAATCTACTGTAAATTAAAGTAGTAAAATGTTGTGACTAATGCAGGGTCGTTTCCTTGACCTGAGTGTCAAAGCCTGGGTTAATATATTTATGGATGATAAAACGGCGGGTGTATGACTGTTTCAATATACAAACCTGGACATTCTGGTTGTGTACAAACTTGTGTTTCTGAAGCATTTCCTGTACATGGTCTACCGTCTACATCGGGTGCAGGGTTTGTACACGTTCTTTCTCTAGATCTAAAACCATTATTACATGTTACAGAACACTGCGACCAGTTACCCCAGTTACTCCATCCACCATTTACTGTTTGTGTAAATAAAATACATGTGACACAGGGTACCGTTTCACAAAGCTCACATAACACTTACTGCACAGTATACATCTCTACTGTTAGTCTCAAAATGACCAAGTTACCATGTGCATCAAATAACGTTACTGTCCATTCAATTCCATTCGCTACCATTAAATATGCATAAACGCAATTTTATTGGTCGATTATTGTGAAGCGTGTGTTGGTGCCGCCATTGACTGATATTTGATAATTTCTGTTTCCATGCCAAGTCCAACTCTACCAATTTCAGCTCCATTACATGGTATAAAATGTTTCTAAAATGGGCGTTGGCCACATTTTCCAAGGATATAGAGGACATGGTCACAAATGTTTTCCAGAAGGCTTCACATACCACAAACGATCATTACTATAAACATATTAGAATATCTTACCTATCTCATAATCACAGAGAGTCCCTCTAAATCCACTTGAGCAGACACATGTATAATTTTTTGTAGGAGGCGAATTAATACAGGTAGCATCATTTTCACATAAATGATTCACACAATAATCTGGTGGAATATTACAAGTTGTACCAGTGTAGCCATCGTTACATCTACAGTTGAAACCATCCACTTTATCTATACAGGTATGGTTTCCACAGGGTGAAGATAGGCAGTCATTGATTACTACAAATATACACCACAGGGTTATAATAGACAGTCATTGACTATTACAAAGATAAACCACGAAGATAGACAGTCATTGATTATTACAAAGATAAACCACAGGGTGATGATAGACAGTCATTGATTATTACAAATATAACCCACAGGGTGATGATAGACAGTCATTGATTATTACAAATATAACCCACAGTGTGATGATAGGCAGTCATTGATTATTACAAATGTAAACCACAGGGTAGTGATAGACAGTCATTGATTACTACAAATACAGTGCAGATATTTAAATTCTTTAATCAAGAAAACGCTAAAGAACTTACCGTCACAGGTACTTGGTGAAACAGCAGATACGTTTCTTATCAAAAGGCTGTCAAATACGTCCAACGAAAATAAAATTTCGTCGTCTGTTAAACCACATGTGTTTGTTAAAGATGATATCTGACCAGCTGTCAAAAGTCCAGACATGACTCTCAGATATCGCATAGTTACACCTCAAAAAAGACAAAACGGTCGGATTTTAAAGATACAAGCATTGACATTTCTAATAAATAGTTTATTTATTTATTTATTTTTTGTAGGGTGTGGGGGGTGGGGGTCCACCATAATATCATTGTAGAAATGGTTCAATAGCATTGACTGGGCTTTACGGTACACCCATATCTATGTGTATTAAAATACTTACGGTCACCATGCCTTGATTGAATATGTAAAAACGTCCCATTTCCAGGTATAGATGTACCACTAACAATGTGTGTCGTTGTTTTAAGCTGGCCGAGTGAAAACAGTTTAACACCAGTACTGGTAGAACTGACTGTTACGACAATATGAAACCAAGCGTCCAGGATGCTTGGAACTGATTTAGATACACTATGCCAAGAATAGAAATGACATAGATTAAAATAGATGTTTTATTATTTTGCTACTTTTGTTTCCGTTTACATTTGGTTTAACATCCTACTGTTTGCAAAAGTCAGGGTTAATGAAGATTGGCATACGTCATGCTATAATGGACATTTTGCCCGGAGAGGGGCATTTCTGGCCATTTTTCGTGTACACGAAGGGCTAGACGTTTCTTCTTTGCCGAACCCTACGTCCTGCACCACTGACAAGGGAAATCAGGGTAGAAAATCCCGAGGAACTCTTTCGTCCGATCCTTACTCTCTAGCCAATGTCCTACTGTTCTGCACCGACTAGGCTAACGAAGACGGGCATACGCTATAGTGTGCTATAATGGAAATTGTGTATGCCAGGATAGCGGCAGTACGGCCTACTCTTAGATCGATTTTCAGCTTTCAAGGGTTCTTATACGTGCACGTCAATGTGTATACGGGGTATCGGGTTGTTGTTGAATCGGAAAGACAATACCTTATTCCTTGCCAGGCCTTCCGTCCTGCATCACTGACAAGGGTGGGGGGAGCACAGAGGGACTTTTTGGTCAACACAGGGATCGAACACGGGACCTCAAGGTTAGCGAGCCAATGTCATACTCACTGGGCCACCGTGGCTCCCAGTTGCCCCCTAAGTTGGATATAATTCGAATAGGTTGTATAATAGAATACACTGAAAATGTTTAACCAACCCAGAAATGGTAACAGTGATTTGCTGTCCAATGTGAATTGAGAAATACGAAACTCCGTTGTGTTGTATGCTTATATCCATGCCTTGTTCTTTGATTTGTAACAGAGCAACAAATGTGAATTCGGAAAAGTAACTTTCGTCATACGAACTGTTAGTTCTGGGCGTGAGTCCACTTTCAATATAACCAATATCCTCAAATTCAAAATCAAATTCTGTTAAACGAAAAGAGAAAATAAATAATTTAAATTTAGATTCTATCATCGTGAGATTAACATTTGGGGGTAATGTGCATGCTCTTCTTCGACATAGATCTGTACAGACAGCTGAACTGTTTCTTTTCTTAAAGCTTCTGAAATCCAGGTCTAAAATATCGCACGTTTTACTTTAAGTAAGAGTGGGTGTAGTTCATGACGTTTGATATATGTTTTCTAGAACACCTGATACCACTTTTCAGGAGATTTGTCGTTTTTGGAACGTACCTTTGCAACTGTCGACATCTGTTGATGCTTCCTGTAATGAAGTCTTGCCATTCGGACACCTTAAACAGCTCGTTGAATGAGTCTGATTTTGGAAGGTTCCAAGTGGGCATGGCGAGCATGGTCTAATGCCTGTCTGAGAAAAGTAACCAGCTGCACATATTTCTAGAAAAAATAAAATGAAAATGAAATGAGACGGGGTTTAACGACCTACTGGAAAAAATAAAGTAATATGGTTGTAATTCTAATGATTATATCCCTATAAAATAAACTAAATTTAATCAATGCCCAACAACATATGTGTAAGCATGCATAAGGAACATTTAATAAATCTCACGTGTACAGTTATCTTGGTGCGTAGATGCCACATCTTGAGTAGTTGTTCCATCTGGACACCGTTTACAGATAAAAGAGGCCTCTTCATCTTGATAAGTACCAAGTGGACACGGTTGACAATTATCATTAGTTTTATCATATATCGTTCCAGTAGGGCAGCTGGCTATGAAATTAAAAATGTCAGTGATTAACACATAGTTGAATGAATATATTGAAAACAATTTATTGATTAAAAACAACTACTCGAACGTAAGCAAGAGCAACATTTAACTGGTGTATCACAAGATTTAGATTTAGGACAAATCCAGAAATTACAATCAATTTCAACCGATAATCTAAAAACAAGCAATTGTGAACGAAACAGTTGCAGGTCCGTGGTTTCTACGGCATTTAATTTTTACAACTCTTCAGAGGGGGAGGAGGCACATAGATCCCTCCGTCGTGGGTTTCGTTCCTTTGGCACTGGCTAATTGTCTCCACAACACTTCATTATGTATATCGAAAATTTCGGGACCTCTTTCTGCTGAAAGTGAGTGAACTCGTCGCTGGGCAGATTCTCTAAATTCGAAAACATTTTATTTGGAAAGGGATTATGTAAAGACCGAATGGATATTTCGACAAACAAATGAATTAGAACGATACTTACCACAAGTATTTGTCTGATAATTTGGTTTTAACCCATAATCACAAACTAAATCAGTGGGGAACGTATAAAGAGACTCCTTGTCAGTTCGAACCCCTGGGGCTAGATCATCATATGTGCCATTTTTTATATCAATCTCTATGACGGCTACAACTGTTTTAAGAGCATTTTCTGCTTCTGCAATTCCTTCTTCGTAGGTTTTATTTTCATTAAACTTCACGATGACATCCCATACTAATACAATTTCATTGGCACTCCTTTTGCTGATTGAATGCGATGACTTGGATGAATGAAATTACAGGATACATAATAATGTTAAACAAAATCAGACTCAGTATTGATCAAACTGTTTAAGTCTTAATATTAAATTTTTTTTCAAAGCTTAGCATTAACGGTTTACATTTCTATGGCGCCCCTTAAGTGCACGATTCCACTCTTATATATTTTTTTCTTGCATGATTCCACTCTTATATAATTATTTCGTTTAAACGAAATACTAATTAGTTTCAAGATCTCGTTTTAACGAATTAATTATTTCGATTAATCGAATTAATCGATTTACGATTTAACACATCGACTAATGACCCAAGTGCTCCAAACACCGAATTTTAAAAAAGATATATATTAAAAAAAAGGTCGTGGTCTCTATCGTTCTCTTATCGTTGAGGCGGTAACCCCGGAACTGCGACACAAACTAGGTTATTTCGAGATTAACACATGGTTCAATTTTATTTCAATAATTCGTTTGCTCGTAACACTGGGAGGAGACAGTGAACCCGGAGAAAACAGAGGAGGCTGGACAGGCGACCCTGCTCCTTGTAACGTAGAAGCGGTCAATTGAAAAAAAAAACGCCACTTGACTCAATGACAGAATTCATGGTTTCACTTGCACCACTAGACCACCCAGCCCCTTTCGCTGGAACTGCAGGTCACGGAACACTGAAAATCGATAGGGTTCATACGCTTATGAAACCAATGGTTAATACCCAAATGGAAAAACAAATCTGTTAAAAACTATTGCTTCTATCGGGTTCACAAAAACTATTGCTTCTATCGGGTTCACAAGGTTTTCGTAATGGGGATCATTTATTCTGAAAACCTTATGAACACGAATGAGGATACACTTTAAATCAGTTTTTTTCTTCATAAATTGGTGTGAAGCATTGGTGTTAATGAGAGAACAAACCCTATCGTTTCCCCACACGATCCCCATTAGGAACACCTTGTGAACTTGATAGAAGCAGTAGTTTTTAACATATGTTTTGGGGTATTAACCATTGGGTTCATACGCGTATGCAGGAGCCAAGGTGGCTAAATGAGTAAGACGCTAGCTCGCTAGCTTGGAGGTCGCGGTTTCGTTCCTGTGTTGGTCGAGGAAGTTCAAGATGCAGAACGGAGGGTCTGGCAAGAACAATTGTCAAGTCGTTCGGATTGGACGAACAACCAAGGTCCCGCGTACACATTGACGTGCACGTAAAAGGTCCCTTGGAAGTTGGAATTTACGAATTAATATTTCGTTTAAAGGAATTAATATTTCGTTTAAAGGAATTAATATTTCGTTTAAAGGAATTAATATTTCGTTTAAACGAATTAATATTTCGTTTAAACGAATTAATATTTCGTTTAAACGAATTAATATTTCGTTTAAACGAATTAATATTTCGTTTAAACGAATTAATATTTACGGAACCCCTTAAATGCACGATTCCACTCTTATATATAATTTTTTCGTGCACGATTCCACTCTTATTATAACTAATTCTTTTAAACGAAATATTAATTCTTTTAAACGAAATATTAATTCGTTTAAACCAATTAATATTTCGTTAAAACGAATTAATATTTCGTTTAAACGAATTAATATTTCGTTTAAACGAATTAATATTTCGTTTAAACGAATTAATATTTCGTTTAAAAGAATTAATATTTCGTTTAAACGAATTAATATTTCGTTTAAAAGAATTAATATTTCGTTTAAAAGAAATATTATATAAGAGTGGAATCGTGCACGAAAAAATTATATATAAGAGTGGAATCGTGCATTTAAGGGGTTCCGTAAATTTCATTTCACCGTTCATAAGATGTTATTAGCCGATAAGAACCTGTAATTTTTCAATTGTATCTCGCTCTTTATATATAAGAATTTTAGGGCGTAACTCAATATTATCCACAGTCTTTGACATTACAAACACGAATTAATGTTCCATTCCATTTATCTTACCATGAAACCATGGGCCCCCGATATCCAATATTTAAGACACAGTGAACAATTTTAAAGCTCGTCTATCTTAGGTTCGAAAGAATAGATATTTAGCGCATTTAATGCTAAACGTGCTTGTGATACATCTGGCCTGTGTATCATCACATAATTTGACTATAACCTTTGTGCCATAAACCATCGAAAGAAAGTATAATCCTTCATTCGAATAAATGAACAATTCTAATCTATGTAGACGTATCTCATAATAATGAACTAACCCTCTTCCTTCTTCGGGTACCTCCACATATGACCTGGACATTTTCTACAGCGCAACCTTCTTCTAGCCTGCACAGGAATTCAAATTTTTCCATCAATTTATTAATGAAGTTTTGTTTGATTTGTTCTTTGGCGTCTTCACAACTTCCATCATAATTTAGATATAACTCATTCGTTGCAGAACTCCCAGATCCACGCCTCCTTCCTAATAAGAATAATCACAACATCTTTCTACACAATAACTTGGTCAATTTTTGATGAAATAATTTACATTCTAGATATTATGAGTAGAACATGCATACATTTTCTGCAGTTCACTTTTGGTCATTACTTTGGGTGGTATTGATATAAAACAGCCCTTTCGGTTCTTCTTGGTGATTGATTGATAGAGATGTAGAGCCCCAATATGGCAATAATACAGTTGTGTTAATGTAGAATATCGTCAAAACGATTTCGCCTTGCTGTGCACGTGACACATTCTTTGTTAGAGGTCACAACAATTATGCGTAAAAATATTTTTTACCAATCCAATTTTTATGAAACAAAGTGAATGTCATTTGGGTTGGGGCCGCAAAAATTTGTTTAGATAAAAGTTAAAAACACTTACTAACACAATCGGGTACACTATCGGAAGGACCCCATATTCCAGTAGATGCACAGATGTATAAATTTTGAACGCCCTGTCCTATCTGATATCTGGAACTACACTGTACACTACAGAAGGCACCATCGTTCCATTTGCTACATGATAAAGCGCCATATCTAGGAGCTGTTAAATTTGGACATTTTTCACCTGGTTTAAAATAAATATATTGGTGAAATATATAACCTAAACACGATACGATATAGCATATAAAGTATGGGAATATCAACGTCAGACGTCATACCTCGGCGAGGTGGGGGGGGGGTATAGAATTTTGGAGGGGGGGGGGGGGTACAATGGAAATTCTTATCGAATGTAGAGAGTCCAAATGGTATCTGGATCTTTTTTAGCGATCAGGTCTAGGTTGGTGTCATGGGGGTGGGGGGCAGCTCATGATTCCTCACAGCGGGGTAGAATCACCCTAAGATTTCCGACAAAGATATATTAAGAAAATAACGAAAGCACCCCTGGCCCTATCTCTAGTATCCCCGCTGCACCCCCCCCCCCCCCCCCCATGTCCCCCGGACCATTAACGCTCCTCTAGTTTCTTCGTCTGCAAAATGATGCTGAGTTTGACGTTATAAGCTCGTATCAACTATAAAATCTAATCTTGTAATGTCTCTACTACATACCTACACAAGTAGGCAAGTTTAAATATTTCCAGTATGTCTGCATATTGTCGTCTTTTTCACATGTTATCATCGAATCACCCTCTAACTTCTTATTATGTTTACATCTCATAAAACATGATCCACCCACAACCAGACTTTCACAAGTACTGACAAGATCCATGTCATCTTCAACAAATGTGGGTGGTCTACAAGCGAAGCCTATAAGTGAATGAAAAAAAAAAAATTGTGAAAATAGCGATATTAATGAACATATTTCGCACTTATCGTTAAAAGTTCATGCAGTAGAATCCAAGTTAATCAAGGGCAAATTTAAGCGAGAGAGAGAGAGAGAGAGGGGGGGGGGTCTTTAGCTTGCGCGTAGGGGTCTTTAGCAGTGGGAGGAAACCGGAGGACCCGGAGTAAACCCACGAGGTTGGAGCAAATTTAATCTGAACGCAACTTACGGTCAAAGCCAAGTAAACGTATGTGACACGTCATTTACATCTAAATACAATTCAGTTAGGGTTAAAGTAAGGAACATTTATAAAGTCAGTTTAGAAAGAAAGCTATTTGCGGTGTAAATAAAAATTACAGAAAGTCGGTTACCATTAAAGTCATGAAAAAGAAAGTCAATCAAGGTCGAAGTCAACAGTAGGTAGTTTTATAAAGTAAATGTAACAGAATGTCGTAACATTTACTCTTTTTTTTAAAGTCAGGACACCCGGCTCACCTTTCACAGTTACTGTGAACGTACACGTAACAGAATGTCCGGATTGATCTGTGGCAGTATAAGATATATTGTGCGTTCCAACTGTAAATCTGCTTGAATTATCAGGTCCCTCGGTTTGTTCCAGAATAACGTCATTAGAGTTATCACTAGCTTTGACCATCCAGTTAACCTGTGTATCGGTTCTATTGCGATCAGCTTCTACAATAATATTCTGAGGACAATTGTCAAATACAGGTGGTGTAACATCTGAAATATGAAAATAAAATCACTTTTCTGGTTCAACTACTATATTCATATGCCTAACGGCCATGTTGTTGAGACCTGAAATGCTAGTGAAAGAAAAATGAATCTGTCTCATTACTTTAACTTCTTAGAAAGTAAAACGCGTGCTATGGACGCTCACGTTCGTTCCTCGGGTCCAGTCACATTTACAATGTCTCTGTGTTGGGTGTGTGGTGTTTTACGCGGGTTATTCTTCTTGGTTTCTATGTAGTTGTTATGTCTGGTGCCGTTATCTTGGCTGTAGACTGTCTACAGTCTTCTGTAACCTGTGTTGTGTGTGTGGTGTTTTGTTCGCGGCTTCGTATAATGTATTGTGCTGTTATCTTGGTTGTAGCCTGCCTATAACCACATCATCGAAAGGATCGTCCCTGCATTTGAGTACCCTCCAGATTGTCTCGAAATTATGTCGTTGTCTGGGTGTATTTGTATATTTGTGGTGCGTTTACGCGTTAATGAAAACAAGATTCTCCGTCTCAGTATATATTGGCTGAAAATCTAGCGCGGTTATAATAGACTCAATAGCATAATAAAGACGAATATTGTTTTGGACGCAGCCTAATAATTTTACAATGCAAACGAATATAACATTGATTTAATGTGGAAATTAAATTCTCGCGAAATATTGCACCTGCAATTTAATTACTTTAGTAGTTTAAAATCGAAATAAAAAAAACATTTTAGTAGCTTTATGGTTGTTTACCTGTACAGCGGAATGTTCCAACCCATCTTCCATATTGGTTACATGAGAAGCTACCCCTTGGACTTTGAGCAAACCCATTGTTACATTGGATGGAACACAAAGATTGGTAAATTGGGTTACTCGGACAGGTAATATTTCCATCAGTGATGCGTAGTGGCGGCGTAGTACATTTTACAGCTTTAAAAATTAAAAATCGGAATGAATATATAAACAATAAATGTATTTGGTCTTGCACGCCTTTCAAATTCACAATCTTTAATAAATTCTAAAACATAATCTGGATTTATTTGGCCTATTCGTAGACAACTGGATTGGTATCAATATTATCAAAATTATACATTGAAAATTTTCCATGGTTGCCATAGCAACGGAATGATCTGGTTATTTTAGGAGATCTACCTTCACATCTTGGTAAGGGAAAATTAAAGCTTTCATTCGCCCCACAAGTGAGTATTTTCTGACCAACTACATTATAGCCAATATTACAGGTGAAGGAACAGGTGTCACCATAAATAACCGGATATCTTGAACAAGAATGAGCACCATTGTATGGGCTGGTAGGAGTATTGCACGTTCTCACTGTAAAAGAAACACAATACATAAATGCAGCGCAAAAATTGCTCAAATCAGAAGTGATATCGGATGTTCTAGAAAGCATAAGAATACAACGTATGCTGCAGTGAACGACTGAAAAAAAATTGTCATAATGTTATCTGTTACAAATATATCTGAACTCGCAAAAAGGCCAATAACAATTCTGAGAAAGTCATAATCATGGCGCAAAGGCGATACTGGGAAAACAATAATTATGACGCGAAATCTATAGATGACCTACGTTACGACTGGACATGGGCATCTTCTACTAAATTATACTAAAGAACAGTTTAGGGTCATAGCATGTAGGCATTAATTTCTTGACTCATTTCATTTCATTTCTTGACAAAACAACAGAACAGACATAAACCCAGTACCTTGATGTATATAGTTTAAACATACCCTTTACTTGAAAGTAAAATGAGCAGAAGGCTCTATTTCCTTGTGCATCAACCACCTGATATAAAATAGTATGATACTGAGTTCCATAAAACTTAGAGCCACTGGGTAATCCCCGTATTTGGCTAAACCTGTAGTAATATATAATATATCATTTTAAAGGAAAGGATTGATATGAGATGTAGAATGTAGAATGTAGCCTACTCCCAGATGAAAGATGAAATAGGGTGGGTTTAATGTATTTTTGACTAGCACTGTATTGTTAATGTATGGAAGGCGAGGTAAAATTATATCTGCACAGCGACATTCCCATCTACACTTCTTTGAATTTCAACTGCTAAGGGATATTTTACGTGGACTAACAAGCGTGATCTCGGTTTTCGTCCTATCCGAACGTCCAGACACATTTTTCTACTCAGCGCGGCATGCATCATCTCTGAAGACTTGAAAAACCACGAAGGATGTTCTAGACCCACATTAGGATCCATAGACGGAACATTCTGGTTGTTAATATGCAGCACCAGACTATATCAACGAGGTCATTTACATGGTGCAACGTATACATGGGCAAATGAATCAGAAAAACACCCTCTGCACAGCATCCCCTATACTAGTGCGTTCTAAATAGCACTGCCAAATGCTTTGTAGTCATATGATAAATAGTGTTTATGAAGAGGACGAAATGCACAAAACTAACTAAAGTCTAAATTTTTCGGGTTCACTCCGCCCTGCAAGCTTATGGTTTGTTTGGCGACATATCTGTATTGACAAAAAAACAGAAAATTAATAAACCCGACTTTTTGTCTCCAATCAAATTTGTTTTTGTGCAGTTTTTATTGAAGATAAATCACATAATATCAAGAACATTCCATAATATTATCCTGGGCTAGATACTTCCGTTTATTAGTTTCTATATCTAATGTGCTATCGTAGATATGAAAATTGAGGTCTAAATTTTTATGCTTCATGTTAACTTTCTGTTTGACTTAAATGTGGGCATTACAATTGAAGTCGGATTTGCAGTAAATGTGTATTTTTTTTGATATAAAAGATTTTTTCTTTTACCATAGATAACCCACTCCACCACTTGGTGTTGGAGAGTTCCAGTAGACATTTGCATATGTGTTACCTCGAGCTGCATATTGTATTACAGGTACGGTAGGACATTGTATTGTTGGTAAATAAAAACAGTGATTATAACAACTTTTCCCCCACCACCAACCGCTACATTTTCTGGTACATCTTCTTATACTACGTTTATTCCGATTAGATTCAAATCGGACAGTCGGTGTATTTTCTAGAAATAACAAAATATAATTACTTAAGCCCACATCATGCAAAACTAAAGTTCAAATAGCCTACGAAGTCTGAAGTCACACCCTTATCGAGAATATATATTTGTCTATTGGTTTATAAAATAACAATAGGTATAAAATTTTAATTCATTTACTTACACGCAAATGCAAGCCCAGCATTTGTTTTAAATTCTTCAAATATATTTAATTGAATGTTCTAGCTCCAAACAGATCGTTTTTAACTTTGAAGAAATTATATTTTAGTTTTTTGAAAGCGATAGTAACCCCTACGAGGCAATTTTACCAAAACATCCACCAAATTTAATAAAGATATTAATTAAATATGCACAGATGATATTCAAGTCCGAATGTCCTTATCTATTTAAATGAAATTAATATACCCAATGAAAAATTGTTTTCGTAAAAACATTTAATTTGAATAAACACAACGATTTATGTGTTTGTTCAAAGGGTTTGATATGAATTATATTTTAAAGAATAAGCTCTGAATATTTGAATCTCATATCAGTATTTAGCTATTACAAGATAGCCTAATATAGCCTATCTTGTAATTACAAGATAGCTATCTTGTAATTACAAGATAACCATTTTATATAACTATCTTGTAATTACAAGATGGGTTATATTAGGCTATCTTGTAATTACAAGAGAGCCATCTTGTAATTACAAGATAGCTAACTTGTAACTATCTTGTAATTACAAGATACGGAGTAGCCCATTAGGGTCAATCACATGACCGTAAGCACAAGTCAAGTATGAGTCTAGTAAACTGAGACCACGATGCTCTCTAACGTCATAAAACAATTTTTGTCAAAGCCCTGTATATACGGCTTTGATTTTATTATGCAAATTACGTCATAAATTGGTCGGCTGCATAGAGTTATAAATAGATCAATGACATAACATCCCGGCAAATAGTCGATTTAGATGCATTTGACATGTCCCCATACACATATAAAATGTGCCACAAGCTAAAAAAAAACCGCAAGCACATGCAAACAGACGAAATAATTGTGAGAGTGCCTGATCTTAAAGTAGCCCGTGTTTGTGTTGTTTACTAATTTCTAAATAAATAAAATGGTTTCAGGGTAGAAGCGAAATTTTCTATATAGCATTCTTCTCGAGAACATGTTTCTAAAGGATTTTCTCTGTCTTTCAATTGTCTCTTTGGTGTCAAAAGATGTAGGAAATGCCGTCGAATAACTCTACAGTCAGTTATCTTGTTTGAAGCAGAAACAGGCTTAAAGTTGGTAAGCAAGCCGTATACCTTGCTTGGGACTTGTGCGTATATTGACAATGTTTAAGAACGAAGTTGTGCTTAAGTTTTTTCTTGGAACACATAATAACGTGCTTGTGCTTACACTGAAGTCTACTTAAAATCTAAGCACAAGAACGTTCTTAAGAATTTTCTGGGAACACAAAAGAAGATAAGTTTACTTAAATGCAAAGTATACTTAAAATCTATAAAGCACGAAAAACGTGTTTAAGAATTTTCTAGGAATCAGGCCCTGCTCTATCACCCTTCCTTTTGATAGTTGTTTTGATAATGGATAGTCGGATGGGCGTCAGAACATTAAGAAGCTATTGTTGTCAAGGTATAAATATTATATAATCCTGGGCCCTTATTCACGAAAACTTAAACTAAGATACAATCGAAATTTTAAGAAATACTGCAATTCGATTGGCTGACCAGTCAAATCAATTTGCATAAATCCAATGAAGTTGCAGTATTTCTTAAAATTTCGGTTGTAACTTAGTTTAAGTTTTCGTGAATAAGGGCCCAGGATACAATATAAATATAAAAGATACAACCTTTACAGTTGATGACGTTGCCTTCCCAGTTACCGTTTCTACAGACTCGATAACCTCGTGACGAGACACCAGTGTGAGAACATCCAACTAAACACTTGGTACCGTGTGAAACCATCCGACCATGTGACACTTCTCCATTCTCGGTTATACATTCTATCCTGAATTGTCTCAACAGATCTGTATCACATTTTACCTGTAAATGATTTTTTTTAAAAATTGTGTTAAATCCAATTAGGGTTTCATTCATAAAGTTAAGATTTAAAGGGTCCTTAATTCGGCTACAGAAAAATATGATCGTTTATATACATAAACATCGAGGTCAAGATAGTATCTAACCTAGATTTCTTTTGATTCAATGAGCCTCCTTACCATATAAATATCGTTTTTCTTTCCTTGTTATTGTTTAATTTAAACAAGGTAAAGGGGACGTTATGTGTATTATTAATACGTTTTTGAAACGTTAAAAAGGTTTACCTGAAAATCAATATGACTTGACAGAACACAGCGGTTCAAAACAGCTAAATTTAACAGTGTAAGACACAACCTTATTCCTGCAAATAGCATAAATATGAGTAAATACGTAAAACTAGTTTGACTAAAATCTAAATTTTAAATTTGCACCAATCTCACCTCATCAAAATGTAATTTGAACAGGTTATGGATTGGAATACATCAATATGTCCACAATCAAAATATGTTCACATTTCATTCCATTCTATTGCTCATCTCAAAACTTATTTTACTAGATTGAACATACCGCAGTGCTCCCTACGCGGTGTGCTCTTTCCCAGCACAAAATGGCTGACTAACGAGGTAGGCCCGGGTTCGATCCTGGTGTCTTTGATATAGGGTGGTAGGTTTGCCAAGGAAAGGTCGTTCCAATGGAAAGAAAATCTGAGGTCTATCCGTGTTTTCATTGGCGAGGACGTAAAAGAACCCTTGGCTGTAAGAATTGGCAAAGAGAAAGCCGAAATGTTGTTTTCCAGTAACACTGCTTGGTGTATGGCCGTAGTCATTATATAGCCCGGTTGATGTAGAATAGTAGGAGGTTAAACCTCATTTCATTTCATTTCCAGGCAAAAAACAAAAAACAAACAAAAATGCTAAATACTTACCGCACGAGGCTTTCTCCATTTCCACGGTTATCCACAAGCCCTACTGCGAGTTGGGTTCTCTACACCAAACATTTTATAGCAAAAAATCGGACCAATGATATTCAATATCCTGTTCGGTTTGTTTGTTGTCGCCAATGTCTAACCAGTGGTGTGCGACAATACAATATTTAACCTTAGCACTTTTGAAGTTAAGTTTAGTATACAAAATATACACAGAGAAAAACGTATCGCAACACCCCTATTTGAATAAAGTGCTAGTGTTTGATCAGATATATAAGCTATTTTACGTTCGGGAAGGTATTCAATCTTCCTGAACCAGCACAAGGAAACTCTGATCGAGTAAAGGAAGATAACAAAAACAGAAGTTTAAACAGGCATTAAGCAAGAGCTAAATATGTCTATTGTGGGTCTTTATTTGGGCCTTTTAAATTAATAATTAGACATTAGTTAATATGACAAAACCGTAATCAACTCTTATTAAGTAGATTAGAACGGATCGGCCATTTAATGATTGACGTTGTACATAATCTTTAAGTGGCATTTAGCGATTGGAAAACACATTAATAGAACACAATTTTTATCAAGTGCTTGATAACGATAAGAGGATACTTGTCGAAACGTCGTGCTTTTAGAATAAACCAGTGATTGTTTCCCATAAAAATTGTGTTCTATTAACATTTAATGATTATTTAATCTAAAATGGATAATAGGGATTTTGTTTATTATTTTAACAGTGGTAGCAATGACAATCGAGGGTACACTGTTCTTCTAACGGAGTAACGCCGATGACTCGGCTCAGAGCGAAGTACTTTTACTGAAATTTTCAACATATTTCGCTATTTTAGCAAGAACTACCAGTGCTTCATCTAATCTTACCTAATAGAGGATTTAATGATATTCTGTCGACTTCAAAAATAGAGGCGGTAAGTGAGTTAACCAAGTCCAAACATAGTGTAGCTTTCGCCAACCGGACCACGTGTTCAACTCTACACCCCGTTGACTAAATGACACGTTCGATCTTTGCTAGCGCTAGGCTGTGCATTCCTGGTGTAGAGTCTTATCCAAATCCAAATCGTCTGACAGATTTACCTTTGTCGTCCATAAAGTTGGGCCGTGTGAGAAGAGAATGATTGTCAAGCAGGGGCACTACACCCCTGTCCAGGATGTCGCTTTGGGTTAGTTTGCCATTGAGATTACCCTGTTAGCAGTGGAAGCTTTCCCTCATGATAAAGCCGTTGCCGAATAGAACCTGCTCTAGCATGTTCTTCTGTGCATGTCATCTTCCTGCACTACGTCGTCATGCCCTATACATGGTTACATCACTGATGTCTTCCTTCATGCCCCCACTGTGAATGGTTCTAAGGACTTCCTTTGAACAAGTTTTGTAATCATTTGCTTATTTAAGAGTTACAAGCCTTTTAACTTGCGTAATTCCCAATTAAACTGTTTCCAAAGTGTACTGCACGTGGCTGAACATAATATAATAAACCAATTCCCATTGAAAACATACCGCATAATTGTACTTAAAATGGCCGGCCTACAAGAATTAGTGAGCGCACGACGTCACTTGCCATATATGGATTCCATATCCATATACAGATGCTAATCATATTCGGTTATAATAAAAAAAAAATCCTTATAAGGAAAGCGATGGGCGGGCCTCATCGACGCCATACCTAGCGAAATTCCACCTTGGTGATGGTATGGCGTACTGCACGTCATTAGAAACATCGCTTCGAAAATGTAGAACGAATAACCATAAAGAAAAACTGCTCGATAACTATTAAATGACCCACTCTTCACTATTCCCTATGACGCCAAGTTCCAATGACGACGTGCTCGGCACCATGTCAGTCTTCCAGCCTTTTTGGTCACGTGACAAGACAAGTCGTCTTGTGGGTCTCTTAGCGCCACATTACAGCTGATTTGAGACGAAAACGAACAGGTCTGTTGCATAGGGGGTAATGCGATAACCACTCCATTTTCAACATAGTGCTTGCAAAGTCCAACTAAGGCATGGGCCAAATGAGCCCAGGCAAAGGGCCTCGCGGTTCATTACGTCTAGCGGCAGACTGGGTGAGTCTGCGAACTCTCAACCAACTCTGTGATTGGTCGAAACCCGTGACGTAGGCGATCGTGCCATTATATGTCATTTCCGCGCCTATATTCCATTCGGAACTAAAGACACTTCGTATTTGATATTACGCGCACGTGCCGTTCAAAAGAACATGCATGCCATTTGAAAGGATAGTATGGCCTAGGGGCCCGTCCATTTAAGCTGGGCTTTGAGTGCTCAGCTCAAAAGGATTATGTCGAACGAGTCTCAAACCTATGGCGGCTGGTATCGATCATTCTATATTCTCGACTTTGTTGGATTAAAGGCACGGCAAGTCTAAATAATTGTAAGGCGACAAGTCGACAGAATTGACCCGACAAATCGACAAAATGAAGGCTACCATTGTCGGGTAATTTGTCGCGTTGTCGCCTTGTCGCTCTCACGAATACGATTCTTTCGACCTGTCGTGCCGCGACTTGTCGCCTTCAAAACTCGACAAGTCGAGAATGTAACTGCCAACATATCAAACAGATATGGAAGCGTACAGGAGTCAATAGCGCAATAGATACCGCAATAATATTTAGTTTATTAGTCAACATATTGTAATCATTGCGATGATTTTACCCCCTAAAAGACAATTTTTGCCGATTTAATTGAATCGACGTTCCATGTTGTAGGTCGTCATTTCTATCTACGATCGCTTTTTCGCGATAAGATATTGATATTCTTAAGCTCTGTCAACATATTCCATTTCACCGTCGTGTATTTCAATATAGCGCATGGCGATATTTACAGAACATTGCGAACATTGCAAAATATTGTTTGCATTAATGTCAACAAGTTCTTTAAATGACAAAAGCACTGGTCACTATACGACGACATCTCGGGATTTCTTAAGTCGCAAAAGTATTTAGATTGGTTTATATATATATTTGCATTATTGCGATTTTTGTCCTAAACAAGAGGATAGCTGTTCAGTTGGTAGCTGGCACTTGCATAACAAGCTGGGGCTTTATTAGACGAAAGAAAGACAGCATTAATAATAATAATAATAATAGTAATCCATCTTGTATAGCGCTGGTACATTCGGCAAAACTGCTCAGTGGCGCACAAATTTATGTTTAAAATCACTTAAAACACTCCTTAAAACTCAGTTTAAAAGATTAATGATTATTAGCACTGTAAACATATTTAAATCACGGATTAAAAGCCATATTAAAAAAGTGTGTTTTGGCATTCTTCTTAGAACTTGGGGCAGAACAACTTTGTTTAATGGAAAGGGGCAATTTATTCCGCTCTTGGGGGTAGGCGAAACAGAAGGCTCTTTCTCCAAATTTGGTGTTTGTTTTGTGTGCTTTGAGTTGTAGTGGAACTGATGACCTGGGAAATGTTGGGGAATATATAGATGAATTAAATTTGTAAGATAGGCCGGAGAATCGGAATTGTTGAGGCAGTTATAGGTGAGGGTGTTGATTTTGAAACATATTCTGTAATTTATAGGTAGCCAGTGTAGATTTGCAAGGATTGGAGTTATATGTACTCTAATGTTGGTTCTTGTGATAATTCGGGCTGCTTTGTTTTGAATAGATTGTAGTTGGTGGATGAGATATGATGGTAAACCGTAAAGAAGTGAATTTGAATAGTCTAGTGCAGATGTTCGAAGGCATTGATGAGCAATTGTGTGGTATTATATCGGCAACTGGTGTGGTGTAGGAAGTAAATAGCAGTGGGCCGAGTACTGATCCTTGTGGGACGCCGTAGCGAAAACACTTTGGCTTAGATTTTAATAATAATAATAATAATAATATATATTTATTCGTACTCAAAGTACAATATAATACAATACACTTACAAAAAATAAATAAATATATATATATATATATATATATATATATATAAACTTATTTTGTACACAGGTATTCTAATATACAATTTAGATGTTCTTTATTTTCATTACTTCTGTCAATAAGATAAATCATATCAGAAATAGCACCAGCTGTCATAGAAACATCAATGTTAGCATTATTTTCATCACATCGAACAACTTTGGACAGGATGCAATTAATGTTTGTAACAGGAATATCATATTTACAGAGGTTGTATTTAAAACAGATTAAATTTAAATTATTACAAGTGCTAGAACAACTTCCACTGAGAGCTAGTAGGCCACTTATTTTGGTACATTCATTGTCACTTTTGGAGATATTTTTAAAAAAAATTTAAGGAATCTTTTGAAAAGTTGGACATCGACGTTAGAGTCGCTACATATAACGATAACTTCTTGCTTTCTACCAGTAAGATAGGACTGGAACCAGTCTAGTGCAGCACCATTTACACTGAGTCTAGAGGATAGGCGTGTATGTGAAGAGAATGGAAATTGTATGTATTTAGTTTGAATTTCACTTTCTTTTTCTCTCTCGTCAGTTTTCTTACGAAGAAGGAACATAAGACAAAATGTTCGTGCTATATTAGAAACAATTTTTGCGTCTTCAAAGGGAAGGTTTTTTTTTTATTAACGTCGGTTATAGGATTATGTGGAAACTAATGTCAATTGCGGTATGCCCGCACCACATCGTGCTGTTCGTTTAGCTTTGCAGACAATGACTCCAGAATTGGTTAATGCGCTGATAAAAGTTAAACTTACCGGTCTAGTGGCGCGATGGGCGACGACTGGGCGAGTTTGCGATCTCTCAGCCTTCTCTGTGATTGGTCGAACGCATGACGTAGGCGATCGCGACATTATATGTCATTTTCGCGCCTATATGCCATTTGTAACTGAAGAGATCCCCTTCTTGTATTGCAGGCCGTTTAATTGTGTGTTACACACGCGTGTCATTCAAAAGAACATATATGCCATTCGAAAGGATAGTCTTTTTGTAGCGGTAGGGGCCCCGCGATTCTAGTATGACCTAGACACCCCCTCCATTTAAGCTGGGCTTTGGGTGCTTGGCGCAAAAGGATGACCTCGCACGAGTCTCAAAACTACGGTGGCTGGTATCGGCCATTCTATATTCTCGACTT